CCCCCCCCTTCTCTCTCTTTCTCTTCCCCCCACCTCCTAGATCATTGTGTTTTCCACCTCCTTACCTGCACTTTTTTTTTTCGTACACTTCCACCAACCACTTAATCTTATTGATTTCTATGATTGCTATTTATTAGAATTTGTGTCACTCGTCCATAGAAAAAAAATTAAAAGAATTTCGGAATTAATCTAAATTGCATTGAAAAATTGTTCATCTGTAAGGCCACTCCCCATGCCCCCCCCATGCGCCCCTTCCTCCCTTCCTCTTGCTAAGTCTCTCGTTTCCCAGTTGCCCCTTTAAAAAACATATTCAACTCTATTGCTTTAAATAACTCTCAAATCCTTTTTCTTCTTCTTTTTGTCCACTTTCACTTCTTTTTCATTCAACTAATAGTACTACTACAACTACTACTAATACTACTACCATGGCATCTTCAAGTCAAGAACAATTGACTACTTACAAAGCGGTGTCGGTGATAACATTCTTACTTTCTATCTATGGTGGCTTGAACTATGTCGGTGTTCCTGAAGGCGATTTAGCCCATACTCCTTATTCAGGATCAAATCTTTTGTTGTTCATTTATTGGGGTATAATGTACGTTTGGCAACTCATTTACATTATACAAGCATTCTTTTCCCTTGATGAATACAGATCTTCTGTAATTCAACTCGTTGGATGGCATTTCCCAGTGTTTAATGTGTTAGCGTATATATGGTTTGAATTCTTCACCAGAGGCCATTATTTCCTTAGTGAATTGACATTGATTATCAATTTCATCAATACCTTGATATTGTATTTTGGTCATAAAACATTTGCTGTAAAGCCCCTTACTAATTGGCTTTTGATTCATGTTCCACTTGTGGCTTTAACAATGTCCTGGTTGCTCTATGCTATATTTTGGAATGGTGCAATTTGGTTACATATTCACAAGACGTGGGGTAGAATCGTGGCCAATATTTTCATTTGGAACTTCCTTTTAGTTCCAGGATTTTTCTTATTATTGTTTAACGATTGGGCAACTGGATTGAGTTTTTCATTCTTGATGTTTGCTTTAGGATTTGGTCAATTGGGCACTAAAGTGTTTGCATTGCAATGGATCTTTGCTTTTGTTATTGCTGGTATTTTACTTCTCTGGAGTTTTATTGCAATGATTGTCGGTGCACCAAAGCAAATAATTGATGTTGAACAAGCACCATTATTGGTTGTTGAAGAAGAGCGCACCACAACCAGCTAAGAGAGGAGGAAGAAAAGAAAAGATATGCATATATATATATATATATATCACGATACGTCACCTCATGGACAGAGACGAAATGACGCGTTTGTCTTTTGAACAGTTTAAGTATGTTAATAAAAAGGACAAGATTAAGACTTCAACTTGTAAAATGGCTGATTTTTGATTTTTGATAAATACAACTTTAAAGTAGTTTTCCTCTTGTATTGCTGAAAGTACAAAATAGATGGAACACAATCCTTTTCCTGAAATGTATATGTATGTATACTCATGCTTCATGTGCCATTGAGTAGCATCACAAGAGATAAACTACGGTTGCGTAGTTCAACCTTAATAGCTAAATGCCCTCATATCTTAAGTGTAATATGTGTGCACAAAAGACAGATATGCCTAATCCCACCACTATATTAGACAACAAGAAAATCATTTCTCAGCATTATGCACGTCTAACTTGATCCTCCTGATCATGTCTTGTCTCAATATTTCCGGATGTTGATTCAAGATAATTGAATTATACAATAAAATATGTTTATGATGAGCCAAGGATGCTATGGTATCATTGTAGACAGTAGTCTGAAACTCGTCATTCAGGGTATTTGAATTACCTATTCCTTCATACTTAGATTTCAAAAATGCATATTGATGTTTCTCACGGATCTTATCGGCCATGTTTCATGTGGATGAAAAATGACAAGTTTGATAACTCATTCCACTTGACTATTGGAAAAAGAGAAAAGAAAAATGTTTGATTCTCTTGCTGGTATGGAAAATGCTACCATATGTCTCAACTTGTTTTCCTTCTCTGTAGAAAGTTTTTCAATTTTACAATCCCCATGTTTCTGGCTTCTGGTGTCGGGTTACTGCAGCCCCTTCGATAGTGTCGCCGGTCAGTGCTGCTCTACTATCGAGCAAAGCAAGATAGTGTCACTCGATAGTGTCTCTAGTTAGTGCTGCTCTACTATCTCGCTTTGCTCGATAGTGTCACTCGATAGTGTCGATGGTGTTGTAACAAGTTATTCAGTACTACTCCACTATCTCGTTTCGCTCGATAGTGTCGATAGTGTCCTCTTCTTTCCAAGTCAAACTTCCACCGTCTACTACCGAGTGATTTTAAAATAATAATATTATAATTATAGCTTTGAATTTGGATGATTTTCTTTTATAAATTTTCTTAATAATAATTGAAAAGCCAGAGTTGAAAGACACAAAGAGCAGGAGGAGTTTAACAAGAAAATTGATTCTTAAAAGGTCAAATTTGGTACCGTTTGTTAAGGCTAAAAAAATATTTATTGCAGAGGGGGAGAAACAAAGGGAATGTTGGTAAAGGAAGAGGGGGGGGAACGAAGGGAATGCTGGTGAAGAAAGAGAAAGTGAAAAAGTGCAAAAAAAAAGAGAGAAAGGCTTGGGTGAAGGAGTAAGCAAGAAGAAGACTCAAAAGAAATAAATAAAAAAAACGTCATACATTTCCTTTCTCCTGGTGTCTGCCCCTTTCTAAGCTATTTGGAAATGTTCCACTGGGTTTATTGGGGGGCCATTACACCAAAAACTATTTGGGTTTTTTCAACTTTAATTGTTAGCTTCGCTAAAAAAAAAAAAAGAAACCAGATTGGGAAATCTGGGGTAAGGTTTTTTTTTTCTTTTTTCAAATCAAGGCTCATTAGTAGGGCTCATGAACTAATTATAAAGGTTACAATGTAACCTTAAAATTGGATAAAAACTGGGAAAAATATGAAGGAGGGGTAACACTGGAACCGAGCTTTCTTAAGTTTCTATTGTTGAGAAAAAAACAAGAAAAGAAATGAAAAGAATACACCTTAGTTGGGTATTATAATACTTTCTACGAACAGGATATGGCATTAATGGACATGCAAATGCAGGAAAAAAAAATAGGATAAAAATCAAAGGGAACAGAGGGTATAAGGATATTTCTTGTGTTTGTCAATAAGTGAGGTGGCAGTTGGTTCTCAAACTATGAAAAAGAAAATGAAGAGCTGGTTAAAGGTTGAGAAAGTTGCCAATTGTCTTGTCTTGTCTTGTCGTATATTGTTTTGTATTGTATTAAACCCGAGCAGTGTCAAATTCTGGGTCTTTAACTATGTATTTGTGTCTAACCATGTATTTCTATTTAGCTATGTATTTCTATTTAGCTATGTATTTCTATTTAGCTATATATTTCTATTTAGCTATGTATTTCTGTCTCAGATCTGAATAAATATACGCCAACAATAGGAAGAAGCTACTAAGAATGGAAAACTGGCGAGATCAGAGTCTAGATCAGAGTTTTGTAATAGAGTTTGGAACGGAGTTTTGAGATTTTCTAAACTTGCGTGGAGTAACAGAAGAAGAAAATCAATTCAGATTCAGAGACATTAATAATATTAATTACTAAAAATAGTAAATGTAGTGTTTGAGATCCTCCCCCCCCCCCCTCTCTCTATAATACACATAACACATATATACATAGTACATACATGGTGAGAGAAAACAACCTAATCAACATACGAGCGACTAGGTCAAGATACGGAATTTAGATACGGAATTTAAGTGATACATCACAACTTTTTCAAAATTCAATAAAGTTTTTACTTGATTTTTTCCCTTGTTTTGTTTGACAAAAAGAGAGGGTGGCGGGTGGGGGTGTTTACATTAATATTAGGAAATATAATATCTGAACAAGTAATGACATCGAATTCCACCAATTAACTCCATGGTGCGTATATGTTCGTGAAAGACGAAGGGGGAGGAGGGGGATCCTCGAGATAAAATAATTTTGATTTTTTCAATCTTTGATACGGTAATGGGATCCTAACATACATATACGACAATTGTAATAAAGCCAATACCACTTTGTTCGAGAAGGTTAATAATTTTTTTTTTGAGAAACAAATTTTGTAGTGCATACTGATAAGCAAAGCTTCTTTAAAATAGAATTATTGAACAAGCAAGTTGCAGTTACTGGTAAAAGGTTCAAAGTTGTGAGATATAACAAGCAAGCTCAACAGTAGTGAGATAGTGTCAGAACTTCTTTATTAATTTTTCACTATACTATTACTTTTTCTATATTACTTTTTCTATACTATTACTTTTACTATACTATTACTTTTTCTATACTGTTACTTTTTCTCTCTATACCTTATTACAATCTATTGCTTTTTACACTTTATATTTTATTACAATCTATTACCTTTTACACTATACCTTATTACAATCTATTACCTTTTACACTCTATACTATTTACACTCTATATTATTACCTTTTTTTCACTTTGGTTTTGGTTTCTTTAAAGCAAATAGAAAATAGAAGAAAAGACAAAAAGATTTAAAAATTCGATTAGATTTTATTCATTCTTCTTCATCATTGTTTTTATTGGGTTTTATTTTTTCATTAGTTAAGAACAAACTGGCAATAGTGTAATATATATATATTTACATACTAATATACCTCCCCCGCTGTGCTCACACTTGCCTCACACTTTTCGCTTACAATTTGACACTCAAGGCAACTCAATAACCCACCCTCCTAACAAGAAGATACCGGGAAAAAGGGCATTTTGACAAAAACTCCACGTTTGTTTCTTCACCCTCTGTCTTTCAAATAAAGAACCTTTTTTTTTTTTCCTTCCCCCAAACTAGGAGAAGACTTTGATAACCTTTACATTTATGATTACAGGCTCATCGTCAGTAGCAAGTTCTATTACCTCGGAATCAACTATCAAGACGATTTCTTCTTCTTCCACAAGCTTTTCTGGTATGGACTACCAAACAAAAAGACCCCATCATCAAGAAACACCGACACATCAATATAACTTTGAACAGCCACCACAGCACCAGCACCAGCACCAGCACCAGCACCAGCAGCAGCGACCATCACCACCACAGCAACAGCAGCAGCGACAACCACCACCACCACCACCACAGCAACAACAACAACAACACGTGCTTCAGTCATTGCAAAATCACTCCAATACCAATAGAAACCACACCCCTTATAAGAAGTCTACTACACCAGATTCGCCATCCATACATGATCTTATACTAGATGACGATAATGCGTCATTGGACATTTTCAAAATGTACCAGCACAAAAGCTATCTACCTCATAATCAGAGGATTTCAAATATTGCATGGAGAATACAAAATAGAAAAATTTTGACTGGTAATAATACAGCACCTATACTGGGAAAAATTTCAAAACCAACATCGATGGCTAAATCAGTTTCTAATCCAGATAGATTGATGAGTAAGCAACAACAAAAACTGCAACTACAGCAATTACAGCAACCTCAACAACAAGAACCAATGAAAACAACCGCCAATGGTCTTGACAATGCATTAAATTCAACGAAAATTGTTCCTGGCTCGAATAATCCAAATTTAGACGAATTTGATTATGTAGCACATATAAGAAGGATCAGTCAAGAAGAGTATAAACTGACCAATATTAATGGTAGGGATATATCTCAGGATAATGAAAGTTTCCTTTCCTCATATATAAGTTCGTTGAATTCCAAGAATCCCTCAAACTCGTCACTGTCAACAATTTACAATCCTCCATCAGATAATACTGTGATGTCTTCATCATTCCCAACAACAAAAACATCTTTAATGCATAGACAGTCCAGTATAATTACTGAACATAACAATGACGATACGACTACTACCACTACTAATAATAATAATAATAACAGAAAATTTGCAGGTACCACTATCGCCAACAATACCACCACCACCACCACATCCGCACCAAAAAAGGTTTTACAATGTACAAATTGCCAAACCAGAACAACTCCACTATGGAGAAAATCTAACACGGGGCTATTACTATGTAATGCGTGTGGATTGTTCTTCAAATTGCATGGTGTTTTAAGACCCTTGAATAATAAAACTGCTAGAACTGGAACCGCCAATGTTGACTTTTTGAAGAAGAAAGTTGGAATAACTGCAACAAGTAGTAATGATGAGAAGATTGGATATAACAATATCAATTTATTTAATGAATTGAATGTGAAACCAGAGCAGCAACAAGAAAAACAACAAGACCGACCTCAACAGAAACAAAAACAACAACAACAACAACAACAGACGCAGCAACCACTGCAACAGTTTGCACCTAATCAAAACCTTATTCCTCTCCATCGACAACAACCACAAGAGTCACAAGCACCAGATGAAATAGATAGATTGTTAAACATGAATTTATTCCAATCGGATTTTACTACTAATACCACTCTTAATCAGGATTTAATTTTCCATGATTTTGCCCATCACGCTAATAAGACAGAAGGAGAGCAATTTGTAGATAATAGATATGGCAAAATAATGCAACAACTGCTGCTACAGCAACAGCAACAAAAACAAGAGCTGCAGCAGCAACAACAGCAAGGCCAACATTTGCACCAATACCAACATCATGATGAGTTGAATTTATTAGATCCCAATGGGATACCGCCAACTGATAATGTGAATAATTTAAATTGGCTTCAATTTTTAAGCTAGACACTATCGAGAAGAGGGAGATAGTAAAGCACACTAGCTGCCACCACCAAAGTATTTAGGCAGTTGTGTATAAGGAAGGAAAAAAAGAGGGCCTTTTGCATTGGTAAACTATACTCCCTTTTCCCACTTGTCTTTGTTTCCATTTCCCACTTGTCTTTATTTCCATTTCCCACTTGTCTTTTGATGTATTTTGTACAGTTGATAGACAAACCTCCTCCATTCTTATTTATTTTATAACCGCCCGCTTTTATGGAGGAGGAGAAGTAACTTCTAGATTGGGCTCTTATATATAAAGAGCAAAACGAGCTAGTGGAGCGAAATATAGTAGCAACACTATCTCGCTTTGCTCGATAGTGTTATTTCCAATATAAAAAATTGATATTTATGAATATCAATGTAAAACTTTCATCTAGAAACTAATTGGTCTCATCCACCCACTCTTTTTATTCCAATCACGTGATTTTCAGCTGACTAAAGTGCTTTGTAATGGTGTCTATTCCTTTTTTTTTGTGTCACGCCGCACACGTGCAACTGATTTCCATATTCGGAAATGCTGCAAAATTTTTGAAAATGACTGCAAAAAAAAAAAAGCAAAAAAAGAAATACAGATTTGGTCAATGCTACCTTCTTCACCTTGTAATTCATATCCTCAATCGTTGTTAAAAAGATGGACGTTTACGATATAGAATATGAGAAAAAACCCTAACTAATTAGGGAGTATTCATTATTAACAAGAACAAAAAGAGAAAAATGGATCATTAAGCAGTTGTGTCACAATTTTGATTTCCCCACATTTTTCATTCAAGTTTGGTAGCAGGCACCCAACACATTTGTTCCCTTTTCTATTACTTTTTACATACCATACACATCACAACCGATTGCACACATTACTACACAGAAATAAAACAGCTAGCATACGATGTTGGGAACTGACACGTAATACATACACATACATATAAAGATACTCTCACCATACTAGTCAAGTCCTAGTAAATTTTTCAACTTGACTATCAGTCAAACTACAAGTTAAAGCATTTCAATTTTGTTCTTTTTTTTTTTAGAAAATTTTTCTATATCTTTATACCACATCTTTTTACCATTATTATTTGAAAACTTCTCTTTTTGAGCTTTCATTTCTTCCGGTTGTTAGATCATTTTGAAAAGGAGAAGGGTAAGAAAAAAAGGGGATTAAAGAGTACAGTTGTGTTCAACGTCAGTAGTAAAAGAGAATTGAGAATGACAGTCAAATCCAAGAAAAGTGTCTCTGGAAATCAGGGTCATATGCCACACCAGCACCAGCACCAGCACCAGCAACAACAACAGCAACAGCAACAACAGGGCAACCAAGGGAAAAGAATGAATAGCAATAGCTATAACAATATTCCTAAAGTTAGGATGGAGCAAGAAGTTGATAGGGATTTATTAAGTGGTGTTGGTGCTGGTGCTGGTGCTGAGTTCAAAAAGAGTAGTAGTGATAGCGATGTTGATGGTGGTACTGGTGGTATGCCACAACAAAATACAAATAGAGTCAACTCCATTCATAAAGGGTATGAACATGATCCTGAAGTTAGTTCAGGGAAAGCGTTTGCACAAGCAGATGAAGTCGAGAAAGAAGATGAAGGGGATGAGGATGGTGTTGATGACGATGATGAGGTGATGGCAAGCACCACTGCTGTTGATTTTCAATCGCCACCTCCTTCATCACTGCAAGGTTCAACTTTACAAACCAAGGACCATGAAGAAGGCAAGGGTTTAGTTTCAGATTCAAACATCTTCCAAGAAGAGGAAGAAGAAGAGGAAGAAGAAGAAAGGGAAGAAGAAGGAAACCGCGATGATGAAGAGGGGGAGTTTGGAAATTTGGAGAGTTGGATTAGAGAAGAGACTATTCAGTTGATTCCTCAATTTTTCAAACCTAAATCTAATAACAGGAGAAACAAGGGACAACAGGTAAAAATGGGTGAACAACTTATTATAATGCTTACTAATATTTTTGAAGTATTTGTTGAATTTGGAATTGTTTTGTATTCATTAGCTTTATTTGGGTTGAAGTTTTGGATTATCTTCTTGGTTGCTTTGAAAGATTTGTTTATTCGTACTGGTGGTAACTTGAGTGATGTTGTTAGTAAAGGTATTAGGATGAAATAAAAGTGCCAAGACTGCAGAAAAAAAAAAAATACGCCAGTTCTCCGTGCACACAAGGATTTTGAGAAGGAGATATTGATTTGGCTTTTTGAAGAGTTGTGTTTCTTGTTTTTTTTTGCTTTGCTTTGGTTTGCTTTGTTTTGCTTTGTTTTCTTTTGTTTTTGTTTGTTTTACTCGAGTTTGAAATGGTTTAGATTTTAGTCTATATGTCTACTTACTTTCCCAATTTTTTTTACTCATAAAATATAACTTGTTTACCCGATTTTCTAGAGGCGGCAATCAGTTTGAGATATACTTGTGTGAGGTCTTCCTTATCACCATCAGTGGCTTTGTAAAGAACCTTGTTATATGGAACATCAGTAATCTTCCCCTCTTTATACAAATGTACCAATTTCTCTACTGTTTGCTTCTTGAATTGGGGGTCACGATAAGTATTAGCAGTTAACCAAAAAGGTTTTGTTGCCAAGTTTCTGAATAATTGTAGTCTCTCATCGTATTCTATTTTTGTACCACCCACAACCCCATATGATACAAGGGTACCATTTGGTGATAAGCTTTTAACCAAGCTTGAAACTGTAGAGTTGGTCGAGCCATTGAGTGCTAATCTAACGTTTGCTTTATCACCGGTATATTTCTTGATATCGAATTTCTCATCTTTGAACTCCAGCTCCGATATGACATGTTTTGCACCCAACTTTAACAATCCATCAATTTCATCCTGGGATTTTCCATCACGAACAATAGAAATGACGCTGATTCCATACAACTTGGTCGCCAATTGTGAAACATACTTGCTCACTTGTGAGTTACCAGAATTTTGTATAATCCAATCCTCGCCATTTTTCCAATCCGTTACGAACTGATTCAATATCTGATAAGCCGTTGAAGGGTTGATGGAAATAGTTGCTGCTTGATTAACGGATATACCATTGACTTTGATTAAATCTCTCTCTTCTGCAATTGCTATAGTTCTCCACGTTCCAAATGCAGGTAGCCAAGGAATCACTTGATCTCCCTTTGAAAATTCCTTGACATTTGAGCCAACGTATATGACTTGGTACACTCCTTCGTTTCCACCAACACTCAATGGTTGGTTCTCGGCAGTTCCTAGATGACTAATCTTCTTAGGATCATTGTATCCCCCTATAATTTGACCCAAATCGGATGGGTTGATTGGAGTGGCTTTAGCTTTAATGACTACTTGATTCGGCTTGATCTTATCAAATTCAACAGTGAACTTTGTCGTTTTGAGGATATTTTCAAAATCTGAACCTGGGGTTGTGTATGTGACTGCTGCTCCTTCAACCGACATTTCTTTTAATCTTGTGACTTTCTGGGGTTTTCGTAAAAACCAGGGGTTGGGAATAAAAACTGTCCCTGGGGTACTGATTTCGATTTGTCAGCTAGCGTCAACTTGTCGCGATCTTGCTCTTTTGCTCTTTTGCATTTATTGCTTTTTCCGCTCTTTTTCCGTTTTTGCGATCGCAAAGTGTGGCACTACACTAGTGTCGTCCGTGTAGTCAGTGTTGCTCATGCACATATATATTCTATACAACGTGTATAGTGTCGCTAGTGTCGCTAGTATCGGTGTATTTAATGCTGCTCATGCACAAATATATTCTATACAACGTGTATAGTGTGGTGGGTATAGCGACACTATCGAGAGAAGCGAGATGGTGATGCTAGCATCGGTGTATTCAGTGCTGCTCATGTACATATATCATTGGTATATTCAGTGCTGCTCATGCACATATATTATCGGTGTATTCAGTGCAACTCCACCATTTCGCTTCGCTCGATAGTGTCGCTAGTGTCGGTGTATTCAGTGCAGCTACACCATCTCGCTTCGCTTGATAGTGTCGCTAATTATGCATATGCAAAGACTTACCAAGAAGAGAAAGTTCATTTCTAGTGCGTCTATTTGAATAGTGTGAGATCTTGCAGATCAAAGAGTATGTTTTTAAACGGTTCTTTAGAGATGAGCCGTATATATATATATATATATATATAAATAGATATATCTGTGTATAAATAGATGTTTTGTGCTGAGTCACCCAGTTTTTTCTTAGTTATTGTTGAACGGAGAACACTCAATCTCAAACTTGTCCATATTCCAAAAAAACAAAAAAAAAGAGACTACATTCTTTCTTTTAAATATAGTGCAAAAGACTTGTTGAAAACAATGGATATGGAAAGGCCCTGTCTTGTTCAATGAGATTTCAAAGTATACTCATTATTACAATACAAAATAAAAAAAGAAAAGAAAAGAAAAGAAAAGAAACATTCGAGTTTCGGTTTCAATTGCCAAGTGAGCTCAATTGATACAACACCAAACTCATTCGTTTGATAATTAGCAATATAAGCTTTCTTTTTTGTAAGAAAGGAAAGAAGGGGAGGAGGGGCAGATGATGAGGAGTCAAATAATATATTATGTAAAAAAAAAAACCTTATTCAAACTTACGAGTAAGAATAACAAGTGACAAAAAAAAGTAACAAACTTTTAGTTAACAAACTTTTAGTTTCGCATTTCTCTAAACTCTTAACCATTTCTTACCATTCTCTTTCCAAGGTCATCTACCTCTTGAACAAAACCTTTTCCCACCTTTTTGGCATCATTTTATTCTTGCTGTCAATAGGCACCTTTATAGCATCTCTCTCTTTTTTTTTTATTTTTTATTGATCGGATGTTTCAAATTTGAGTGTTTATAATTAGTCCCAATTGGGTAATTCGGATGCAAAAAAAAAAAAACGAAATAAAAAACTAAAAAGTACAGGTAACTTTGTTAATTTGACTAAAGCAAACAAAGAGAGGGCATCAGTTAAGAGCTATCATTCGGCCAAAACTCAATTCTAAATAGGCTTATGGTTTGTGGTATTTACCAAAGCTAAATGTTTGGAAAAAGACCTTCTCTTTGAGTAGCTTCAGTTATTCAAAAAGAGTGAGTCGTTACCATAGGTATCCATGAACTACTCTAGATACTTTTTCTTGATATCTCGACTAAAATTTTAAAGTAGTCGCTTCTTTACTGGAAAGTATTTGTCGCCTCCATTGTTTACACAATTGAACCCCATTATTTGTCTTGTCTTATTTGTACCTAGAAGAACACAACACTTGTTTTAAAAATAGAGTCGAAACTCATAAATAAACTTGCGATAAATATTGACCAGTACGAATTACCCCTGCACACTTAACCCTATCATTTGAATCTAAGTATACTAATTAGTATACTACATGTTCCTTTTTGAAAGTGCAAACACGCAGCATATACGTATATCTAGTCAATATACGTGATCGTCTTGACGAATAATCCCAATTTGTAACTTTAAGCTCTCATAAAGGAAAACAAAAAAAGAAAAAGCAAAAAGATATTTTTAGGATTTCATCGAAGAACTAAGAGAAATTTGCTGTTACCACAAAACTTTCATATTTTTAACATACTACAACTGTCTACCTAGCTATTTACGGCCAGCAAACACAATCCCTTTCCCCCCTCCCCCCTTGAAAAATTACACTTTCTTGTTCATTTATATAGCTTCTACAATTGCTAAGCTATTCCATAATAACATAACCTATATATATACATATATATATATATGTATATATGTATGTATATATATATACATACATACAATATCTATACATATATACATACCTGAGTTAAAGGAAAGGAGATGGGTTTGTTTTCTAAATTTAGAGGTTTGGAAGAGACAAAATTATCTCCACTACGTGGTATCCTGAGCCAGGATCAGAGCCAGGATCGGATCCGAAGCAAAAGCCAGAGCCCGAGCCATAGTCATAGTAATAGTCATAGTAATAGTCATGGTCATAGCCAGAACCAAACCCGGAACCGGAACACCTTTTTAAGTTTGAGTCCCCTTAGTAGCAAAAGAGGTTCCGTGAGTCATAGAAGAACCAATACCACTAATTCATATAGCGAGAGTGAATTCCTGTCTACCGGCTCCGCCTCATCGTACACTTCGTCAGACTCAATAGCCTACCCTCCTAATCATCAGCATATTCAGCAAAAGAGCTTGAACGGATTACCAAAGCAAGAGAAAAGGATTGCACTAGCTCATAGACTGCCGCAAACGAAACATCAGGAATGTACAAAGTCTAACCTTTCTTTGGAAAATAGTGTACCAGCTGACTCTGCCAAGAACACCCACTTGTCACCATACCAAATTTCTGCTGAAGCCGTGGCCACGGTTGACTCTCCAATTGGCAAGAATGCTCAAACGCATACAGATTACGAAACTACTCAAGTGGGAGTAATTGAAGCAGATATTACTAATAGCATTGAATCGCATAATAAACTTAGACAAGCACTGAAAACTCCTCCAACAAAAGAGTCATCGGGCCCTGTTACGCCTTCAACACCAATAGGTTTCAAACAAGTTGATAAAAACTCCACCTTTACTTCCCCGCAACAAAAGAAATCCAATACATCTTCTCCCATACGTCAAGTACCAACCTTAGATCCACGCGTTAACGGACCATCACCCCTGTCTAAACATTTAGAACATGTCTCTGCATTGAATTCATCAAGGGTATCAGAATCCCCAATTCCTCAACTTCCTCAACCAAAAGTTGACTTACGCAAAATGGAGGCTCTGCAAGAGCAACAGCAAAACCAACAGCAAAACCAACAGCAACAATACAGGTTATCTACATTTATGAACAACCAATTTGGATACCAACAACCACCAATGATCTACAAAAACCAGCGCGATTCTTTCTTTGCAGAACCTGTACGTCATGAGTATGGAAGAGGGGAAGGAGAGGATGACGACGATGATACGGAAAGCTCTAATTCATACTTTGACCCAACACAACACCCACTTTATGAACAATGGAGACTATATTATCAAGCATTAGCCTTTCAGCAGCAACAGCAGCAACAGCAGCAGCAACAGCAGCAACATCATCAACACCATCAACAGCAACAGCAACAACAGCAGCAATTCCGACAGTCGATGTTTCTTGGTCAACAGAATGGGGGTCAGTTTCAACCTAATCCTAATTTAATAATGCCTTATGGTCAGGGATTCCCGAACATGATGCAAATGCCATTCATGTTTAATCCATATATGATGCAACCTCCACCTCCACCTCCACCTCATTTTTCAGCTCCTTTTTCCCCTCCGTCTCAGTCACTTGTATTTGAGCAAAATGAGGTTGCTAGTCCAAAACAACAACAAAAAATTTCAAAAACGGGAGTACAACTGGGGTCGCCTGTTTCGAAAACTGCTTCACCTAAAAGCAAATCATTTGCTGGTGGTGATGCGTTTGGGTTATATCCTGATATTCCCGAAGAAACAAGTGCCAGTACCAGCAACGGTGAAAACAAGGAGGAAGCACCTCGTGATTACCTTCGAGCATATGAACAAACAAGAAAAGGATTAAACAGACGCGATAAAGAAAACGAATTAATAATCAATTCCCGAAGATCGACTGTGAAGTCGAATAGATACTCATCAGCACCACATTTAGCAATGAACCATGATAAAATTAATCGGAAATCACGTGTATCATCATTGGAACTGAACTTTAAGCCAAGCAGCTTTAATGTATACGACGAGAATGATGACGGTGAAGAGAATGATGACATTTCACCAATATTGAGTGGTGGTGATGATGAAGAAGACGATGATGTAGGACCTATTTTGAAAATGAGCCGAACAATGTCGAACTTGGATTTGAATATATCGAGGCACATTTCAGATTATAACAAATATTTATTTGAGAACGAAGATGAACAATGTGAAGCAAATACTCTTGACAATAATACTGAAGGTAGTAACGAGAGTATTGTTACGGAACAGCCAGAAATACTAACCACTGACGATAAACTTGATACCGGTTTGTTGAACAGGAAGGACACATCGTCTTCAAAAGCTTCGGATAATTCTATACAAAGTGAAGGAAAATTCACCGTGGCTCCAAAGAATATACTTTCACTGGTGATATCGGAATCCAATAATAGCAATAACAACAATAATAATAAACCAGTGAAGGATAGAGCGAGAAAACGGAATCCTCCTAAATCGAATGTTGGATCTCCTTATTCTCTATCCTATCCAAACATGTCCATGCCAGATTTATCTATGCAAATGTCTATGAATCCAATGTTACAGATGCAAATGCACATGCCGATGAATCGTATGAGTATGAATCCAATGACAATGCCCTATCAAGTACAGTCCATGTTCTTCCCAAATAATGAATATGGTGGTGGTGGTAATGGTGGCATGACCAATCACATGAAAAGACCAAGTGTAGGTGGATTTGACACTAGAAAAATGTATGACATGAACAAGCGTAATAGCATTCCTGTGTTTAGTAATGTGCAATTGCCACCGCAACCAATGGTTGAACATCTTGATCCAGTGACTACTAAGAAAATTCAGGAGTTTCGTAACTTGAGAGCCGAAATTGCTGCTGGTAAGAAGACGATGGAGTATAGGTTGCTTTGGACAAAAATGCTTATCAATGCAACAAACTTGAAAATGTATCAGCATATCAACATAAAGGGAGACTATGTTTATTCCAACACTTTGAACAATAGAGCTGCATTTATTAAATCAGCAACTACACATATTCAAAAAATTATCAACGAGATTAAACAGGGGGGCTATGGTAATAGCAACGAAATCAAAGATGCTCTTAAATGTAAAGCATTTTTCATATTTGCCTGTTTGTTAAAGAATGATTTCTTGGAACCATATGGACAAGATTTTGGTATCAAAAAGAATATCCCACTTGCAATAGATTTTTATGAGCAGGTATTAAGTATCAATCCAAAGGACTCAAGAGTGCTCTACAAATTAGGAGAAATCTTTGAATATGAATTTGAAGATGGAGAGAAAAACGATTATGCCGTAGAGTACTACATGAGATCAGCTCAGTTTGGGTATTCCAAGGCTCTGGCGAAATTGGCCAAGTTTGGCATCAATGTTGAATCCATAAAATAGAGAACTTTCAATCATAATGATGAGCTCAGAAACTTAGTAATATATAATAAGTAATTTTCCCTTCTCTCTACAAAAAAAAAATCAAAAAAACAATAACACAGAAAAGGAGAAGAAAATTGGATGATAGACCCTCTCACTAGTATCATTTTAGTTTTAGTTACTGTCGTTTTAGCTGCCACGTCTTGTCTCTTGAGAGAGGACCATGGTAATCATCTTACTCCTGGTTTAAGCTTCTCTTTCCTTTTGATAAAAACGGAACCTATTTGCGGTGCGGCTCAAATATTTTTTTTTTCTCCTTTTTTATCAATGCCCTTTATCAGTTATCGAAGAAACCACCAAGCTGTTTCTTTTGCTTTATCTTCCTTCGTGAGTAGACCAGATATAGGGCCTCGGCATAGATAGAAGGGCCGTTGCTACTATCACTGCTCTTGAGCTTTAAAGAAGAGAGACTGCTGCTGCTGCTGCTGTTGCTGCTGTTGCTATTGCTAAAGATACGTTCTAACACACGCTGAGTTTTTCAGGTATATCAACATCTTCTTCTGCTATAATGACAAATCCCAAGGAAATAGTATCCACTAAGGAGAGAAGGAGATCAATAGCGTTGCTCGTGAAACCACCACTTTCGCAATCCCCATTGGGCTCAAATTATAATTATCAGCAAGATGGATCTTTGAGAGGATCACAAAACAGTTCATATATTGCAAATACGCAATTCTTGCGTGAAGGAAACATGACGCCCTTTATTCGTCCAGGGCTGGCATTTGATAAACTGGCCGAAAATGAATCAGCAGTAATGGAAACTTCTAATTCCTCATTCTCGGATATTGTTGCACCAACACATACTCCTACCCCCACCCCGACACCGGGACCAACGTTAATGAGTCGAAGTGGTATAAGCTCGGGGCTCGATGATCCAAAAGTCATATCTAAAATATCAAAACATTTACCTAGTGATTTTCAAAGTCTAGACCAAGAAGGTGCAGACATCACTCGAGATTTATATAAGATTCAACAAGATGTTAATGAGAGACCCAAGTTGAAGAAATACAAAAGTTGTGAAAGTGTGGAGATTATGGCTCTGGAACCGTTAAAGCCTCGAGCTGGTTCGTTCAATGTGCCGGGTGGGTTTAGGAGGGAGTTTTTGATTCATCAACATGAAACTCAATATCATTCTCATCATCATCAGCAGCAGCAGCAGAAAACTAAGGGTGTTTCCAATCACAATGAGCCATTACCGTCACCACTTTTGCCTTATTCTGCTTCTCCTTCTCCCCCTTTGTCTTCTTCTTTTCCTCCTGCTCCTTCATATCCCCCTAAAGTAATGCCGAACTTCTTAACGAGTAATTTTATTGAATTCCTAAGTATTTACGGTCATTTTGCAGGAGAAGAGTTGGAAGATGATGATAACATAGTAAATCATTACAAGTATTTATTACCGGGAGAAGAAACACCATTGATGTCTAGTGCTGACTTTAACCCCAAGGGAACGGCAACTGATAAAAAGGCATACTTTTTACTATTGAAGGCATTTGTAGGGACAGGTGTGCTATTCCTACCCCAAGCGTTTGCTAATGGTGGACTATTGTTTTCAGTCATTACTTTGGTGTTTTTTGCCGTGTTATCTTGGTGGTGTTACCTCATCTTGGTTTATAGCAAAGTCACTACCAAACTATCTGGTTTTGCTGAGATCGGATTGAAATTATATGGACCATGGCTACAACGATTGATACTTTCGTCAATAGTCATTTCTCAGATTGGGTTCGTAGCTGCATACATTGTGTTCACTGCGGAAAACTTGAGAGCGTTTATCGTCAATATTACCAATTTCAAAACCTCAGAGTTGAATATTGCTTGGTTTATTATATTTCAAGTGATATTGATAATACCAATGAGTTTGATTCGGGACATTACCAAATTATCCATCCTGGCTGTATTGGCTAATTTCTTTATATTGACCGGTTTAATCATAATCCTTTATTTTATATTTTATGAATGGCTTGTTTTAAATCATGGCAAATTTGGTATGCATGTTGATCTTTTGTTCAACCAAAGTGATTTTTCATTATTCATCGGTACGGCGATTTTTGCGTTTGAAGGAATTGGATTAATTATTCCTATTCAAGAATCAATGATACATCCCAGAAACTTTCCTAAGGTATTGGCTTTAGTGATTTCTACAATTGCCCTTCTTTTCACTATAATCGGATCTTTAGGGTATCTTACGTTTGGAAGTAAGGTAAAAACGGTGATTTTGTTGAACTTGCCCCAGAACTCACCAATGGTTATTCTTACACAATTTTTGTATTCCTTGGCTATATTGTTATCTACATCACTACAATTATTCCCCGCCATACGTTTAATTGAATCAAAATTGTTCCATTTCAGAAGTGGGAAATTGTCATTGGGGGTTAAGTGGTTAAAGAATTTATTCCGGACCCTGTTTGTTCTCACAACGGCATATGTTGCGTTTGTAGGTGGTCGAAACTTGGATAAGTTTGTTTCGTTTGTTGGTTGCTTTGCATGCATTCCCTTGGTATACATGTATCCTCCAATGTTGCATTTAAAGAGTTGTTGCCAAATCACCGAGGATATGTCATATATAGAAAAAAGGAAACGGTATTGGTTGGGTAAGCTAGACTATTTATTGGTTTTGATTGGTGGTGTAGCTATGATTTATACAACTTTAAAGATAGTAAATAGTTAGAAGCAAAGAAACAAGCAACTAGCATTTTTCTTTTCAATTTCCAAGGTTATACCTACTTCCCCTTTTACTTTTTCTCGTCCTTCTCATCAACACCATCATTGAAGATATCCTTCACTTGTTTTCGCCAATCATGAACTTGCGAAATAACGCAATCATTGAGCTTTATCCTAGATTCGTCCAATCCGTTTTTAATATCCCTCATATCTTTTATAAAATATACCCTTTTATCGTACACCTGGGGAACATATTGCTTCTCCAAATTCTCATACTTTTCAAATAAATTATCAAATGAACGAGGCATGAAATATTTAGTAGCAGCGCCACCAAACAATACCGGCGTAATAAACCTGACGGCAATATTCTTGTGACGCACTAGTATACTCCCCGTGAGAGCAGCAGTGAGGATATATATTCCACTAGGCAACACCGGCTCTTTTACAATTTCATGATATTGATGTTTCAAATTACTCCACTCATTAGCAAACGCCAGCTTTTGCGTATCCAATTCAGCATCAAAGATTTGGAATTTACCATTGAAGTAAGTGCGGAACCTTCTTGTCCACTGTTCTAGCTTGGGTGTGGTTCGAATTATCATACCATCAACATACTCTACTTCCCCATGAGGTAAATCTTCGGCTTTTAATTCGGGCAGAATGGGCGTGATTGTTCCCGGTTTGTTAATTACTGGAGAATCGTCTTCATAAAATGATCTGGCCATCGTGCTGCTGTATCAAAAATGGCCTAGTACTAAAGGTTGGTGTCTTTCAAAGATTCAAATGTACAAACTTCACCAATCAATTGGTTATATTTAACTTTTTTTTTTTTTTTTTTTGCTTTGTCTTTGATTCGCTTTGCTTCAGTGCAAAAAACATCAAGAGCTACAGGAGTTCAAAAGAGGTTATTCAGAAAATGCAGATAATCTTATAACTAGTATACAACGGCTTAACTAAACTACGGCTTGACTCAGATATCATTGCTCCTCTTTCTTCTTGTGTTTCTTTTCTCCTGCTACACATCTTTATCCTTCTTTTTATGTCGTCCAAAAAATCCCTTTTTCTTCTTTGTCTCACCACCAGCTTTATTCGACTCGGCAATTCCGCCCAATGGTTTAGCGTTAATATCATCATACCTCGTTGATGATTGTCCTTGCATTGGAACGTGTACTTGATGGTGATCGGCAGAACCATTACTTGTAACTGGTGTATCATTAGTGTTTGTGGATGATGATGAACTATTCATATTAGGAGGTTGCAAGTAACTTGAATTGGAATTAGTATTTGAATGCGGTGGTACCGACTGTTGTTGTTGTTGCTGCTGCTGCTGCTGCTGTTGCTGCTGTTGTTGTTGTGATTGTTGTAACTCTTGTGAAGGCACGTTGGTACCACCGGTATTGTGAGGCTGCATCAACATCATGTTACTTGACGATCTTCTTCCCTGTGGTGGTGAGTTCAATTGATTGTTCATACCCAAGTGCTGCTTTCTTGTACCAGGTAACGGCATACCACCACGACCTCCCATATCCAACCCATCTAAGTTACCAGAAAGGGGAGGCATTGCAGACCGACGATTGTTCTTTTTGAGATTATTCTTGAATCGACCCTCAACAAAGGGATCAATTGGTGCAGCGTTATTGAAACTCGACGGATTGCCGCTATATTGTTGAAATGCATTTTGTTGCATTGAGTTATAAGGCTGTTGCTGGAAATCTTGAAAACTATTTATACCGCCTGGCATTGAGCTTAATCTTCTTGGCTGTGGGTTGAAACCTTGATTCATTTGCATTTGATGTTGTTGTTGTTGTTGTTGTTGTTGTTGAAGCTTCTGCATATTGTTTGATGAACCGTTTGATTTCAAGTTTGGCGGGAATTGGTTTGGGGGTAAACCGCCACTAGGTAAACCATGTGGGGGCAGCTGATCAGCATACGGTGCGGCTGCTGCACCGTTATTGTAATTATAATTCTGGTTAAAATACAGCCTCTGTTGTTGAAATGGTGGAGCCTGTGGGCCAAATGGTTGAGGTCCAAAATTTTGTTGCTGTGGGAACCTCTGCAGCTGCGGCTGTTGTTGTTGCTGCTGTGGCAAGATATTCCCATTTTGCTCGTAGTTCAAATATCCTACATTGCTATTTCTCCTCTCTCGAGCCAATAAAGCTTCTTCTCTCCTTTTCAATTCTAATTCTTTCTGTATTATATGTGGTGGTAACTCTCCAGCATCTTCGAAATTATCTGAGCTTTGCAGCGTACTGTTTAATGGGTTTCTTGGTTCAATCGGAGGTTTAAGCGCACTCTGCTGCTGCTGATTGTTGTTGTTGTTGTGGAGGTGCTGTGATTCACCATTAAGTGCGGCTCCATACTGTACAATATGTTTGAGATCAGATAATCCGTCTTGAGTCATCACTGAGTCTCTATACCCATTTAGTTTTGGGTTTTGTTCCTCTTGAGCTGGAGTTGGTTGCTGAGCAGGTATCGATACTGGAGAATTATTACTGCTGGTACCGTTTAGTTTCAGTTTTTGCAAGTTCAACTCCAATTCTTTCAATCGTTGGTTATATTCATTATTCAAAGATTTGAATTTAGTTTCGTGTTCAAATTCCAAAGATTTGACCTTCTTGTCAAATTCGTATTGTACGTTGGAAAATCTTGTTTCCGTGTCTAAAACCTTTTGTTGTATTTGTTTAAGGTTGGCTTCCAGTTTTGCTATTTCGTTAGTTATAGATGTTTTAGATGCCTCAAGTCCCTTGATTATATTACTCAACTCTTTTTCACTTTGTACTTTTGATTGAATATCTTGTTCCAATTGTTTCAAAGTTTGTTGTGATGTGCTCAAATCTATATCGTCGGTTCGTCTTTTGAAAAAAATGGTTGATCCTTGATTAATCTTGTTGAATTGGCACATCACTGAGTATAAATTCTCCAAGTATGGTGTTCTTAATCCACTATCGTCGCTTAAAAGTATTGGCTGTAATAATAACAAGTCTAGTTCGAGGTCGCCCTTTTTATAATAGTTGTAGAAAAAAGATGGCGAGTTAATGAAATCTTGGTTATTTTGAGTCTTTGGGTAGGCAGTAGCCCAATTTTTCAATAAATTTGCTTCATTTTCAAATCCTTTAACCAATTTGCACTCCATCTTTTTTATTAGTTTAAACAACTCATTGATTAAGCCAGTAATCAAAGGCTTGGTTAAAATCTGGCTCTTTAACATTTCCGGAAACTCTAGTTCAAACAATACCATAATTGGATTGAACACTATTCTTGGGAGTGCCAATTTCCATTGGTATGTCATGAATTCCTTTGGATTACTCGATTTTAGCAAACTAATAGTGCCATTGCTATTTTCCTGAACCATTTGTAACAATTCATAAAACTTTTTATAATTGGCATTCAATGTTAATTTGTTCGACGAGGCTGAAGATGTGCCAAAAAAGACACGTGTGTCATTAGCTCTTATTTGGTGATGGTAGTGATTTGTTGAAATTCTACGCACATCACATTCGCTCATAATGGACATTACTAAAACTGCCTTAGCTTTGGGCAAACTCATTGAAACAAAAGGTTCCAAATTGATATACCCGGTGGACTCAACCAAGACAATTGAGTTTTTATCAACAATGTTTGCCAACGCCGAACACGTAGTCTGAAAATCCTGTAATGAATTACAACTTAGTATAACTACATCAAAAATTGTAGTTGAGGGTACCTGTTTGATCGAAGTGTATGAGTGGTGAGGTGAAAATTGAAACGATCCAAGCAGTGACGATTTCCACGATATCGGGGCATTTTTATCAAGCAACGGGTCAACTACACTAAGTTCAACCAATTTTGTTTGATATAGTCTAGATGCATAGAATGCAACATTTGGATTGGATCCAACTAGAAGAATCTCCGTTAGTATATGGTAATCTGACAAGTAAGGGGCTGGCATGGCATGAATATAATCAGTATCTTTTAGTTCACAAGCTTCAAGGCACTCTTGAAAGGAAACAAACAAACTTGTATCATTATCAAAAGATTTCTTTTTTTCTTAAAAAAAAGAAAAAGAAAATCCATATTCCTGACTGAAAATTTCAGCTCAACAGAAATGCAAGCTAGTCAAGATTAGTGTAAAGATGACATATGGCCCATGTATCGCAATGCGTGTCACTGTACGTGTCCGTTACTGTCTCTTACTCTTTTGTGTCCAAACCCGGTAAAATCGACAAGCTTTTATTGGAACCGAAAATTAATAGATAAAAACCCCTCCAAACCCGTATGTTTCGAGATAACCTAAATTTCATTAGCCATATTGGGTATAAACACAATTGCTGGTAATAAAATACATACTTGCTGCTATTTGACGTAATTGTGTCATTAGGGTGAAATCTCCAATCTATAGGATACGAAAATATTGGCGGATAGATCTGTAAGGAAGGTGCTTGTTATACTAGTAACTGGTCCCAAAACACACACACACACACACACACACACACACACACACTTTGTCTTTTTTTCTTTGTTGTTTCTAGGTTTTTGGGTTCCTTTCTTTTTGCAATAAAATCCTGATTAGTAGGTTACTCTCTGGTGGGAAATTTCTTTCAGGGAGTCTAGGTGTTTAATGTGTGGGTGTGTGTTTCCGTGTGTATAAAGTCTTCTCTGATATTAAATTTCTAAAGTTTAATTTTTTTTTTCTTCCCTTTTGGTTAAAAAAATTTTCAGATTATTTTCCGTTAGATTTTGATATGGTACTTTTGAAGCTAATAAGAGATTGCTACAAATATAATGTAGATTAATGTAATTTGACGTTTGTGGTGATTGAGGAGTTGAAACCAGACAATAGTGTGTGGGGGGGAGTAGGAGGAAGGGATGAAAGCAGTGCAAGGCGAGGCGAGCACTATTTCTGTTCTGATCTCTAGTTATAAAAGAAGAAAAAAAAAAGAAGAAGAAGAAGAAGCGAGTGTATATATGTAAAAGTGAGTGATAAGTTCAAGATTGGTAATTTATTGTCAATGTCTGTTAATCCTTACCTACCTGCTAATACAAGAGATCCTCTAAGAAAGAAAGAAAGAGTAAGAAGTTTATTCTCTTAATTTTTCACAACTCAAAATCAAATCTTTCCGTCATTTCTCGGAAAGAAAAAAGAAAAAAAAAAAAGACGCTCGATAGTGTCGATAGTGAATGTTGTCAGTTGAAGGAAGAATGAAAGGTAGATAAACAAGTAAACGAAAGATGGATGGAGGAAGTGAGAAGGAAAGAAGGTTACAATAAGCTATATAGATGAATTTGGTAATATTCATGCACGTCTTTATCCTGTTTCTCCGCCTATGATTTTTTAGTGGGAAAATGTCTTTAATGTAAGGGTATTTTATGTCCGTCCGTGCGATTTTCTTAATTTAATATGCAATGAAGTAACTAATAATACATTTTCTTCATATGCTATTAAAAAACGTTAACCAAATTTGTTACTATTACTTTATCAGAGTAATATTATATATATATATATATATATTGTTATTGCTGCAAATAAAAGCAATCAGCACTCTATTTTATTGACGCAGTTTGGTTATTATTCAACTAAAACTCACATACATCTACATATCTGCCGCTTCAAAAGCAAATTTGACCTTTTTTTATGCCTCAATTTGACCAGGCAACTATCAGTAGAATAGTCCTTTTTTTTCTTTTTTTTGGTTCTAGTCAAATTTGACTTGTTCCAGGACACCGTCAAAGAACTGAGTGTTTGTTCATAAAGAAAGAGAGCAATCCAAATGAAACAAAGCTTAGTCGAAGTGTAAGAGGTTAACCGCGAAAGTAGATTGCTATAGATCTAAAATTATTAATAATTTTCTTGCCGTAAACGGAAAGAGCAGCTACCATCTCAGTCGGCTAAATCTATTTACACTCTTTTCTTATGGCCGAGACCCGTCGGATCCGGATCCAGATTCCATTGTCGAACGAAGCGAGATAGTGGGAGCAATGCTGACTAGCTTCAACTATTATCTGCATGTTTTAGATGCTTCCCTGAACGACACTATCTCGCTTCGCTCGACACTGAAGCTCACTGACTAGGTTCTACTACTACCTGCATGTCGCTAGACGCTACACTGTGTATGCTACAAACCCTTTTTATCAAAATTTCTTGTTTATCAAAATTTCCTTTTTTTTCAAAACTTCCTTTTTTTTCAAAATTCAATTTTCGTGTCTGAAAAATAAATTTCTCAATGAAATTTTTCAGACACCAAAAATAGATTTACCACTTGGTTAACCAGCCGTCACAAATTTGGGCCTATATAGTGGTGTACTCAATTGAGAGTTGTTTTATAACATGGCAAAACTAATTGTATATGCAACCAAACCCTTGTGGATTTTCTTTTGAGATATACTTTTGGGGAATTGCTACAAGGGGGAAAGGCCCCACTCTACATCATTCTGAACAAAGTTATGCCACCAAATCGCACGACCTCTAAATCATTCTAGTGATTGAAAAAAAAAAAGGCTTACCTCTTCCTCCTCCTCCTCCTCTTCTTCTTTTTCTTCTTCTTCTTCTAGTCACCAAACCATCTCAACAGCGTCGTTTCTTGGGTTTCCCCTTATTGTCAAGGGAAAAATACTTCTGTCCAATTAACTTGATAGCCGTTGACAAATATCCCATCGTGCCCTTTCTTTTGGCGAGAGACATTGCGTTCTTCTTAGATGGGATTCGTTAGTATGGTATTTAATCTTTTGGAGAGTAAATTTAAGAAAGAGTGTATCTCCGGTTGATGAGTCTAAGACATTGATTCTCTCGGTCATAATCTCTTTCACATTGCTCATTGAGCGAAGCAGACGACACTATGGAGCTGAGCAGACAACACTATCGAGCTGAGCGAGATAGTGGAGCAGCACTGACTACACTAGCTGCCACCACTAGCTTGTTGCAAGAAAATGGTCACTGCTTTTCTCTCTTCTTCCTCTCGACTATCTCGCTTTGTTCGATAGTCTCGTAATACTGGGAATGGGATACTGATACCTTAGGGGGAAAGTTTCCACCAATGGGTGTCTTTTTTTTCCTTTGTCATCTCTCTCATCTCTCATCTCATCTCTCAATTGCACCTCCTCAATTGCACCGTTGTAATTACACCTCCTCAATTGCACTGCATATTTTTTTATTGTCAAACACCCAACAGATATGCCTCGAGGACAGCTAATTCTAATCGAGGGTCTTGATCGTTCAGGAAAGTCTACTCAGGCATCAATACTCGCGTCAAAATTTTCCCAAAATAAACTCATAAAGTTCCCTAATCGATCAACTGCTATAGGTAAAATAATCAATGAATATCTTACAAATACTGCATTTCAATTAAACGACCAGTCCACCCATTTGTTATTCCTGGCAAATAGATGGGAATTGAATCGCGAAATGCAAGATCTACTCAACTTGGGCTATTTTGTCGTCCTAGATAGGTATATCTATTCAGGAATAGCTTATACCTTGGCCAAGAACGATATTGATGATTCGAGAATAAGCAGCAGCAGTGGTGGCGGTGAAAACACTAATCTAGCTGATATTGATTGGTTATTGGGTCCCGATAAGGGTTTACCAAAACCCGACCTAACTTTATTTTTAACATTGTCAATGGAGGAGATAAGCAAGAGGAAAGGTTGGGGTGAAGAAAGATACGAATTACAACAGTTTCAAAATAAAGTGAAACAATGTTTCTTAAAGGTGTTAAATAATACAGAGGATCCAAGTATAGAGATTGTTGATGTTGGGGCAAATTCAATTGACCAAGTTTCTAATCAAATTTGGGATATAGTTGTATCCCACGGCGCAAACGTCTTGGTGGATAAACCAATAGCTTTCATAACTTGAGCTTTTTGACACCTCCATTTTATTTCTCGCTTTGCTCGATAGCGTCATTAGTCAATGCGCTCCACTATCGAGACACTATCGAGCAGAGCGAGATAGTGGAGCTACACTCAGTAGCTTATCACAACACTCGGTAGCTTATCACAACACTCGGTAGCTTATCACAACACTCAGTAGCTTATCACAACACTCGGTAGCTTATCACAACACTCGGTAGCTTATCACAACACTATCTCGCTCTGCTCGATAGTGTCTCGATAATGTCTCGATAGTGTCTCGATAGTGTCTCGATAGTGTCTCGATAGTGTCTCTTTAGTCCAATGAGTCCAAGTATGCTAACCGATCCAATATCTTTTGTTTCGAAATGTCTTGAATCTCACCGCCCAAATATATCTCATCCATAATATAATACAATTTATAAAAATTAAACACCAAGTCGACTTCACACACACTATTAAAGTAAACATCCAAAATCTCCACAAAAAAATGTAGACTCTCCAAGTAAGACAATTCTGAATCTTGCAAATCTATCAGTATTATAAAATAAAGTCCCGCATATCTTCTATAACACAATTTCATCTGATTTTGATATAACACGAAATTCGAGGATTGTTTATTTGCCGAGTCTCGCGACAGAATCAAGCGGTGAATATCGCTTATAGTTTGCTGCTTTTGCTGCGGCGTGTATGTAGCATTGTTAAAGAACTTGACTAATCGCGATTTGCCTTGCCTATTGAGAACCAATATGAATTGTATCGACATTTGGAAACCTACCCACCGATTATTGAGCCAAAAAGTATTACCAAGGAGGGATCGAGAGAGAAAAAATTACAAGGGGATAATTTTTGGTGATGATTAAAACGCGGAAGAAAATTGAATAAAGACAAGTGTGATGTCACGGTTGCATTGACCCTTGCCTTTTTATAATGGTTGGTTCTTATAAGGATGGCGGTGATATTGAACTTGATGATGTTGATGATGAGAATAACGAGTACAAACAAACAGAAGTTAGAGAAGCGATATGTTTCCTAATTGAAATAACACCTGATTTACTCAAACCATCTAATGAGATTGTCGATAATGAGTCGAAACTATATGAAATCCTCTCGTCGATAAACGATTTGATGCAGCATCTTATTAAAACTTCGAGAAATACGGGATTTGGTTTATATTTCTACAATTGTCAAGCCAACAAAGTATTGAAACTGCATCTTAAACCAGTTGGATTTGTTGAATTGTTCCATTTAAACCCATTGAATTTGAAGTATATGAAGAGATTGAACGATTTGATCCAGGATGCTCATGATAAAATCAGGCCATTGCAAGAAATCTTCAAGCTTGCACCTATGGAGAAAGATACTGATTTAGTTTTAATCTTGAATAAAATGATTGATGAATTAATGGCAAAGAAGGAATTTAACAGAAGACGGTTGATTTGGATGACAACTAATGATAAGCCATACGAGAAGAAGTCAACAAAGGAAGCATTATGGCGCGTGATTGACGATTATTACGCCTATGGGTTCTTCATTGAACCATTTTTTATTAACCCATCCCCTCACAAAGAATTTGATTTCCACGCGTATAAGGATTTATTCATGAATACTAATTTCCTCAAGAGTGGCAAAACTAAAAGTACAAGTCAATTCGCTCAATCTAATCAAGAAGAAGAACTAGATATCGGGTTTTCTAAAGACAGTCTTGTTTTCAAAAAGCTGATATTGGGGAATCAGATAAGGGCAAACATAATTGGTATAAAGAATGTCAGACGCATTTTGTTCACTTGTAATTTGATTCTAAGTGATGGTGGTACTGTTGGAGGCAGGCTAGGGTGTACCGTAAAGGGTTATCAGCTATATGGTCATGAAAGGATAAGAAAACGAGAATTACTTTTATATCCTAGGACATCAACTATGGAAAGAGTTTACACGGAGACAAAATTGGTTAGAGATGGTACAAGTGGGGAGCTTGAACCTATTGAGTTTAAACGTGACTTGGGGATGTCCATGGCGGATAAAAAGGAAGATGCTGGAATTAGGAAAGGGTATCCATTAGGTGCAGGGCAGGATATTCTATTATTGAATAAGGAACAAATGGGATTTTTAAGGAATTACACTTTTGATCATAAGATGGAGGATACCGAACGTGAGCAGGAGGAAGAGGAGGAAGAGGAGGAAGAAGATAGTGAGAAGGAAGGGGGGAAGAATAGTATATCCCTGTATTTCTCCCAAGTTCCATACCTCCAACTAATAGGATTCCGAGACTTGAGACATTTCAACCCGACTTATTCTTGTGGCGCTGCAAGTTTTCTTACTGTTGACATCACCGGTGTCTCAAATAGTACCATTAAGGGAACTTTTACCAATTCCTTCACGACATTTGCATCACTTTATCGCTCATGTTTGAAATTGCAGAAATACATTATAGTATTTGGATGTATTCGAGAAAATTCACGACCACATCTATATGCGATGTATCCGACTCAAGTAGGTATGTCTACAAAGTATTCGAATGAAGACGATTCGGAAAATAACAGCAATTTTCCCCAAGGCTTTTTGCTCATCCGATTACCCTGGATTGAAGATGTACGAGCATTACCTGCCGATTACATAAGAAATGTACAACTGAATCAAGAGCCAAGCACTATGGTTGATTCTGGTTTGGTTAAGTTGATGAGGGAACTTGTGGAAACCCACAAGGTGCCATATTACAACCCACGAGAATATCCTAATCCTTCATTAAACTATTTCTTCGACGTTATTAAGCATCAATTACTTGAGATTCCCTACCCACCAACCGAGAGATCACTAACGAAACACGACATAACTATACAAAAATTAGCCTATTTGAAGGACAATTTATCCAATAAATCATTACAATTAATAAGTGATATTAATCGAGAAATCCGGGTTTTGACTGAACGTGCCGCCAAGAGAGAATTGGAAGAGGATAATGCCATTGACGTAGCTGCCATGAGTGCCTTAGCGAAGAAACCCAAGTTTGTGGTTGAGTTGAGCGACCAGGATATACTTGTTGCATGGCGGAATTCAAGCTTGGATAGATTTACCATGGATCAGTTAAAACTGTTTAGGAAAAGGTATCCTGAAATCAATAGTGCTGTCAGGAAGCGAGAGATGATTGATAATATCTGTACGTTTTTAGAGGCCAACATGGGGAGAAGGGGACACACAGATTGATTTACTATATATATATATTAATAATGGTTATTTAATCAACTACACTAAGTAGTAGTTCCCAACTTTGTGTACCTTCTGGCGCTGTGATATAACATCCATTTCCAGGTTGCTAAAGCAACGTAGTCTATTGTAACGCGTGTAAGCAACCAAAGGTTCGACCTAAACGAAACTATATCCCCGCGATAAGAAGAGCCAAACAACGCGTCGACGGGCGTAGCGTAGGGCGCGTCGTTGCATGTTTTTTTCTTTTTTTTCTTTTTTTTTCTTTTCCTTTTTTTTTTCGCTTTATTTCTTTTTGTTTTATTCGTAAAGCGTAGTTTAATCTCGTTTCATTAAAATAAAGTTAATGTTTGTTTGTTTCAAGTGTTAATGTTAGGGAGGATTTAAATTTTAATTTATTCTGAAACATACAAGAACAAGTATACAAACACACAGCGATAAAGTGTTATAGTTGAGATATCTATTTATAACTATTTATAATAATTCAATAAGTATTTGGAATTGAAATTGAGAATGTAGAATTAAAATAGATGGTTTAATTGAGAAATTTACAAATAAAAGTAAATGATTGACTTCTTAGGTCTACGAAGAAATAGTAGTAGCAGAGAGAGACAAGACGAGGTAGTTTGGTGATATACGATAGTAAAAAATGCTAACCTACAGGGTCTAAATTATCAAACACACGGGGGTTTAATTTTTACACATGGCCTCCCCACATTTCTCCCCACACATCAGAAAACAAAATTTGAAATAGAAAGAATTAAGAAATAAAGGGTTCTTTATGCAAAAAGGGGGTCAATAACTATACTAGAAAAACAAGCTTGCCATTTATGAAAGGGGAAAGGGGAAAGAAGAAGAAAAATAATAAGAAAAAGGGAAAAAAGCCGATCCTTGTTGGTTAATTATTGTGTCTTGTTTCATATTTGTGGTGGCTTCTTTCTGTATATAGATGTAACGTCAACTGTCTTTATTTGGTTAAAAATGAACATGACTTTTCTTTGTGGTGTTGTACCTTCCAGAATCGTAAAATACAACAACAATAACACCAGCAATAATAACTTCAAATTTAAAGAATTGTGAAATAAGCATATATTGGTAATCATAATGAAAACCTAACACTATCGACACTATCGAACACTATCGAGCGAAGCGAGATAGTGGAGCACACTAGCTGCCACATACACTGACTACACTGTCACTGACTACACTGTCACTGACTACACTGTCACTGACTACACTGTCACTATCGAGCGACAGACGATATTGGCCCTTTAGTATATTGCATCAACCTCCTAGTCAGCCTATCTGAACCCCATGTAATCATTGCAAAAAAAAAAAAAAAAAAAGAGGATGTCAAAATAAAACGCAATCAAACCTGTGTGCTACTACTGCTCTCCTAGGAGCAAAGCGTGCTACTACAATCTGCTCTACTAGGAGCGAAGCGTGCTACTAAATACTACTCCACTAGGGGCAAAGCGTGCTACTAAATACTGCTCTACTAGGGAGCAGAGAATGTTGGTATGGATAGACCCCTTGATTGTACCTACATATGTCCCCGTAATTAGTAAAGTAAAGTGGCTTTTTTTTTTATACCAAAAAGTAAATGTTTAGGTCTAATATTATTGATGTTTAGGTCTAATATTAATGATGTTTAGGTCTAATATTATTGATGTTTGGGTCAAAGTATTAGCTCTATACTTTTGTTGTCATTTACTGTTCTTGACACAGATTCATGTGTCTCCAATAATCGATAATAGTGAATTCCTACAAGTGTAAGAAATGCAAAAGTTTCTGTCAATTAAAAGAAACAAGATTGGCAGTAAGAGATGGAATCATATTGTGACGTCACGATGAAACAATACTAAAAGAGTGTTTCTTTTACCTCCCGACTATATCAAACTCTTCTACTGAGGCTTGAGTCGGAACCAAAAGTTGGAACCAAAAAATAGAATCAAAAAACAGAATCAAAAAACAGAACCTGGAGACTGACTGACTGCCTGACCATAAACCTAACAAAACTTTAACCCTAATGTCTCTAGACGTTTCACTAAAAAAGCAAATTGTTAATGAAAAATAAAATAAAATTCTGAAAGCCAGGAAAAAAAAAAAGAAAAAGGGAAAGAAAAAAAAATGCAAGATAAAAAAAAAAAATATACATAGTTAAGGCACACACACATTAGTGAAACTTGTACTATACTTAAATACTGCTTATTCTTAATAGATACTTTTGTGCATATTACAATTATAGTTGTTTGTATATATAGAATCTTTATTTTTCAAGTATAAAACTTATTGGTAAAACCCTAATAAGATATTCGTTTATATACTGTGGCAGTGTAATTTTTTTTTAATATAAGATTTTATGCTATTTCACTTTGTCAATATAAGCTAGAGACGGGCTATAGGTCATAGATTGTACGCAACAAGGCCGAAACAACTAACAAACATTTTCAACCAGTCTGTATATCAAAGATATATAAACATACTTTAACTACAACTAGAAAACTATATATCTATTACCCTACTACATATCTACTGAAAACAGCACCAGTACTCTCACCAGTACTCTCAGCACCAATACTCACCACCAATACTCACCACCAATACTCACCACCAATACTCACCACCAATACTCACCACCAATACTCTCATTCACTACTCTCATTCACCACCGGCACCCTTATTCACCACCAGATCTTTTGCTACACATATGTCTAGTCCTTACATCCCAACGTTGATCACCTCGAATACTGCTACGGCTCACATACATAGTTCAGCCGCCTCCGCAACTACTGCATCTGCCGTTTCCTCAACAGCTTCCAATTTTTATTTCAAAATTCAACCGTACATACCACCGGGTTTACAATTTATAACGATAAATTTTCATACTACAATTTAAGTCAAGTTGATGGGCTAATGAAAAATAGAACAAAGAGCTCACAAACAAGTACCGATATAGATATACCTTTAAAAAGAAAAGAAGAACAAAACCACCAACTGCTGCTGCTACTGCTGCAACAACAACAACAACTACTACTACTACTGGCGAGGATGCCATCGCTGCCATATACTATATATTGCCAACAATATGATTTTCAATATCCCACTTCTAATACTGAGGATACTGCTAGTAATGGTTCCCAGCCATTGTCAAAGGAGCAACAGTCCCCGTCATCATCAAAGGAGCAACAGTCCCCATCATCATCAAAGGAGCAACAGTCCCCATCATCATCAAAGGAGCAACAGTCCCCGTCATCACCCGTTCTTATGTCTGCTGTAATATCTCACGAAAATTTACAGCAACAACAGCAACTGCTGCTGCTATCACAACTGTCTACAAAACAACTGGTTATACTAATAGATGATTCATTACCTCGACCTCAAACCAATATGCTATCACATGGTTATCAGTCATCCGTATCCTCAATATCATCAACTGGCTCTATATCCCCCTTGCCTGGTTTAATCAATTATTCACCAAAACATTCACGCAAGATAAACTCATTTCACGTTAGTAAGAATACTAAAAACTTGTCCTTGAACCTTACCAGCTCGAATGGATCTTCTTCAAAGTTAAACCAACCAAATACCATATGTTCCAATAGAAACGGTTTATCAATAAAATCCTCAATTGATTCACCAACAAAAAGTTTACACAATTTAAGAATTTCACAGTTACTGGAAAACAATAAAACTATTATGTATAGTCAAGAAGCATTGCAAACCCCCTCGGTTACTCATACTCCCAAATTACCACCTCCCACCCCACGGCAACTCCGACCCACCAGCTGCAAAAGTGACTATGAAAAAAAATCTTACAAGTTCCCATTGTCTTATATCAGCCCTGAAATGGATGACAATATCTCATCAATGAGTGGTATAATAAGAGACTCCAATAGTAGCAGAATTGAACGAGAGCGAATATTTCCTCCGGCTCCACCACCTTTTGCATTGGATTCCAAATCATCGCCATTATCAGCACCACCAAGATTACCGAGCCCGGACCAAGTCATTGCCTCTTCCACATCCACTTCATCAAGATCATGCAATAAGATTACTTCTTCCTCCTCGTCACCATCATCATCGGCGTCGTCGTCGTCGTCGTCGTCGTCGTCGTCATTGTCACCGCCTACAAAACTCCTGAAAAATATTAAAAAAATGTCTATTGAATCTCCTTTAGAGACGAATTTCTCAAAAGAGATTACGGAATCAACATCGCTCTTTCATGTAAAAACACCGCAAAATCTAACTTACAATTCCAAGCTTTTCAAAATCCCATATGAACTCCAAGAATCAACGGCTATAAATGCATATCCTACAGGTCCTCGCAACGTCCTCAACAATCTCATATTTCTATATTCAGACCCACACAACAAAATCGATATAAATCAGTATAACTTGGTGATAAACGTTGCTAAAGAATGCCTCAATTTATCTCATATCTATCTTAATCAAGAACGAAATCACCGCGAGTATGTGCATGTACCATGGTCACATACATCATTGATATCCGAAGATCTTAGTGACTTGACTACAAAAATCGATTATTTTTTATCCCGGGGATTGAAGATATTGGTGCATTGTCAGTGTGGGGTAAGTAGAAGTGCTTGTGTGATTGTGGCTTATTTCATGAAGAAGTTTAATTTAGGCGTGAATGAAGCTTATGAAATGTTGAAAAACGGTAAAGCTGTAAATGACACTAGTTTGGATACTGGTAGCGATGGTAAAGATGGTGCATTGGTTGAGAAGAAAATCGAGGTTGAGAAGTGTGATCACATATGTCCTAATATGAGCTTGATTTTCGAGTTGATGGAATTTGGGGATAAATTGAATTCAAATGTTGTTACTACCTCTCAATTATTGACTATGTCGCCTTCGAGGGTTGATATATAGCATAACTTGTGAGTAAAAATAAAAAAATGATAATGATTATACAATTTAAGATTTGTAAAATAAATAAGGAGTTAGAAGTTACGAAACTAAACACTATAGAGCGAAGCGAAGATAGTGGAGCACACTAGCTGCCACCAACACTATATTGGCTACTTTTCCTCTCCCCCCCGCGACACTATCGAGCGAAGCAAGTTAGTGGAGCACACTGGCCGACACTATCTACTTTTGGTGTACAATTTAGGAGTAATCGCAAAGACAGGAACTGAATTTTTCTTTTCGCAGCCAAATCAGATAAAAAAAATACCAGCAAAGGTAAATTACTTTAGTGAATACTAGTGGGCATGATGTTGCGACACTATCGAGCAGAGCGAGATAGTGGAGCAGTACTGACTAGATTACAACACTATCGAGCAACACTAAATAGTACCAAATAGTAACTAGCCAGTAGTAACCAAACAGTAACTAGTTAATAGTCACAAGTTAATAGTCACAAGTTAATAGTCACAAGTTAATAGTCACAAGTTAATAGTCACAAGTTAATAGTCACAAGTTAATAGTCACAAGTTAATAGTCACAAGTTAATAGTAACTAGTTCCTATTAACCAGTCAGTACTGCTCCACTATCTCGCTTCGCTTGATAGTGTCGAAAATAACCGAGCAATACATTATTAAGTAATGCAATATTGGGCAATTATTATTGAATGATACAATATTGAGCAATATTAAGCAATAGATTATTGAATAATACAGAGACGGCCCAACTACAACTTCATGAGTCCTATATCTAGCTTCTTCTCTATCTATGTTTCTACATATTCCATATATTCCACTTTGTTATCAGTCAATATGCTCCACTATCGAACAAAGCGAGCTCGATAGTGCCGCTCGATAGTGGCCCTGCTCCATAGTGTCGATAGTCTATTTACTATCGACTACGCTCCTTTCACTCGTCTAGTCTCTCTCCACTATCTCGCTTTGCTCGATAGTATTAGATGTCGGAAAAAATCTTCAATGTCGCAAATTTGAAAATTGGTCATTCTCATTGACAGAAAACAAAAAAAAAAAAAACGAGAGAGTTTATAGAGGACTCATCAATAAGCTTTATTAAACAAAGGATAGGCAGTATAAGTTACCCACCTGCCTCAATTTTATACAGTAGTATTGACCTATTTATTGTATTATAATAAGTGAGAATTACTATTAAAGTTTGGTTTTTGAAAGAAAGGAGGGTTGGATGAAGCATCATGCCTTATAACAGTGATAACAATAATACTAATGGCGGAAGTCACTATACTCCACGATTCAGTAGTACCAGCAACTCTTCAAGAAAACTACACGAACAAGCCGCCAAGAACGAGTCTAATCACGAATTGTCATCATCATCAGCAGCAGCGGTAGCAGGAGATACCAATGAGGCGCCCTCATCAAAAAGAAGAGATTACTATATTGGATCTGCAGGATACAAATCACGGTACAGTGATCATTACTCAAAATTATCTTCAAGTTCGAGAAATAGTGGTTCGTACTATAAGGGCTCTGCCAGTTCCTTCTACTCGAATGCAAGAGATGGCAGCAATATCGGAAGTCCATATTATTCAAATGGTCCTAATAATGTTAACGAGAGTGAAGGTAACCGAAGACGATCAGATAAATGTAGATACTCGAGCACAAGTTATAGCCTGATGGGGGATAAATACATTTCAAGAACCAACAGATACTCTGGAAGGAAGCAGCTGGATTCTGAAGTTGGCTTGACAAGAAGCTTATCTGATAATAGAGAAATATTACCAAAGCATGAAACTCCTACTACATCTGGTATATCCTCAAGAAGCTTTGACTTGAATGAACGACAAAAAAATAATAGTGGAGAGTTTGTTTATAATGAAGACAAAAGCTCAAGGGATAGGAGATCATCTTCATTGCGAGACTACAAAAGTGACAATCAAAAGGAAACTAAAGGGGAGGTAGATGTAAGTTCAAGGCGATATAGAGACACAAGTGGTGGTGGGGGTGGTACGCTAAAATTCGGTAACAGTAGCACAAGCGAAAACACCACCACCACAAACGCCACACCCATCGGAAAGAACGAACAAAGACAGTTTTCTACACTGGTTGTTAAGAATGAAAAGAAAGATTATATACAAAGGAAGAGCTTACCAACAATTACGAAAAATGAAAGTAATAATCATGTAGCGGAAAGAGTCATTGTTCCAACTGCTACTGAGAATAAAGAAGGTTCGAAAATATCCAGTGGATCGGAACCACCGAGAAAGAAAACCTTTTCAGAGTATTTGAAGTTATCAAAGGAAAAAGCAAAACAAGTTGAGATTTCAAAGCAACAGGAAGAACTTGAAAAGGAGCAGCTTGATGAGAAGGAGGGAATTGAACGTTTGGGGGAGTCAACAAAGGATTCAAAGGCTGAGACCAAGGAATCACTGGCGACTCAAACACTACCTTTTGAGAAACCGACTTCTGATAAATTCCGTGATCAAGCAGTTGTAGAGCGTGAGAATAAGCTGAATAATACGAAAAAGGAAAATATAGAGGATGATACTGTGCATGCAGTAAAGGAAGTAGAGGAGTCCTTGTCAAAAACGAGGAGCAACAGTGAGGATATTAGTAATGAAACTGAAAACAAGATTGAACCTTCAAACAAAGTAAACACCAAGTATGAGAATGATTTCGAAGAGAATAGTGCAAATGACAGGAATGAGGAAAACGCACTTCATCAATCAGACACGAATCATGATAGCAAAATGGAAGAGTCTAAGTCTTCTGAAAGCTTGAGTTTATCGACTCACGAATCAGATGGAATTGAATTGTCAGTGACACCAAGAACTAAATTATTGGCAACCGATTCATTTAATGACACATCTATTTTATCACCAGTCAACGAAGTTGAAATTGACCAGGATTATAACCTTGATGAGTTTGGTAAATCTCATCGACAAGAGAAGGATGTCTTATCTTATGAGATCAAATTAGAAAAACAAAAAGAGGATGAGAAGAAGGAGGCGGAGGATGAGGATGAGAAGAAGGAGGCGGAGGATGAGGATGAGAAGAAGGAGGCGGAGGATGAGGATGAGAAGAAGGAGGCGGAGGATGAGGATGAGAAGAAGGAGGCGGAGGATGAGGATGAGAAGAAGGATGCGGAGGATGAGGATGTAAAGAAGAAGGCGGAGGATGAGAATGTAAAGAAGAAGGATATAAAGAAAAAGGATGTAAAGAAGAAGGATGTAAAGAAGAAGGATGTAAAGAAGGAGGATGTGAAAAAGGAGGAGGAAGTGGACGAGATGGAGGTGGACGATAATTCATCAGAAGTCGACACTATTGTCGGAACCCCACCAAGGTTGAATATTAGTAAAAACTTGTTGAGAAAAAAACCTTATGACGAAGAGCGAAGTAAATTGAAGAGAAATCACAGATACCTTGATAGCTCAGATGAGGAAGAACAAGCAACAAACTTCTCGTTTAGAAACGAAGAAACTACTACCCACGAGCCTCAACGAAGTGAAAAGAAATTAATACCAGGGAAGTCAGTGAAAAGGGCTCCATATAAAATTAAACGTGACTCTAGTGGAAGATCCTTATTACAAAGAGCTTGCAAAAAGGGGAATTTTGAAGATGTCAAGGAGTATATTAGTCGTGGAGCTAGTGCCAATGAGAAAGATTTTTGTGGGTTCACTTGTCTTCATGAGGCCGCGTTGGAAGGGCATAATGATATTGTACGTTTCCTAATAGAAAATGGAGCTAATGTTAATGCAAAGGCAGACGAAGCTGGTGATTCTGAGACGCCATTAATAGATGCTGCAGAGAATAGGCATCTTGAAACGGTCAAGATATTATTGGAGAATGGTGCAGATCCCACAATCTTTAATATTGATGGGTTCACTGCATTAACCAAGATATACAACGAGCACACCGGTGAAGAAGGTTATGAAGAAATCATTCGTGTTTTGGAAGAAGCTAACAGCAACAAGATCATCAGTCACCAAAGCAATGCAACCTATTTGTCCAGGGCAGGATCACCTGAAATTCTGGTGGAAGTTTTTGAAGACCCAAACGAGGCTTACTTTGCCAATCTTATTAAGCGAAAAGGCATATTTAAGTGGGCAGCTGAAAATCACAAAGAAGTCGTTGCCAACCACTTTGTGTCAGGGAACAGTCTTGAAGATAAGCCAGATATCTTGATTATTGCTGCACGAAACGGTCATGCTGAGCTAATTGATATCATTTTAGGCTTGAACCCAACTGAGTACAATATTGATAAGGAGAGCCCATGTGGTGTAACCGCTTTATTGGCAAGTGTTGGGCGCGGTCATCTTGATGTGGTTCAATCTCTTTTGTCAAAAGGTGCCGATCCTTTCAAAACACGAAAGAAGGATGGATTGAATGCATTGCAAATTTCAGAACATTCTGCAAAGTTTAATGTCAAAGAAGTTGAATTGGTTCAAGAATTTATGGAAAAGAAAAGTGGAACCAAGATTTTGTCTGCAGTTCCTTCAAGAGGTATATCTAGGACAACGTCAAGAACGCTGTTTAGAGAACCATCAGTGCTGGGTTTTGAGGACGAGCTGAACAAACCTGTTTCTGGAAGTGAAGCAATGGATATTGATGAGCCGAAGATGAAGGAAGAGCCCGGAATGGTGGAAGAGGGAGTGTTGGAAGTGTATGTGGGTAAGGGCAAAACGGATAAGAATGAAGCAGAGAAGAAGATGGAGAAGAAAGTGGAGAAGAAAGAGGTGAAGAAAGAGGTGAAGAAAGAGGTGAAGAAAGAGGTAAAGAAAGAGGAGAAGAAAGATGAGAAGAAAGAAGAGGAAAGCGAAGAAAAAAACAAAGAAAAAAACCACGAGGAGTTTGTTATTGAGAATGAAACAGTCAAGAACCCAATAAGCGAAAAAGTCGACGACAAAGACAAAACCGGATTTGGCAAAATCAAAAGTCATGATGATAAAAGGAAGAGAAAGAACGAACACTCTTCTGACGAAGAGTTGAATCATTCGCTGAAGAAGAGTAAATTCAATGGTTCTCCTCTTGAAAGCAGGCTTGAAAGCAAGGAGAAACCATCACCTGAACCCCCAGTTTTTGGAAAATCCGAGAACGCAAGAAACCGTTCAATAAAGGTTGAACGGTCAGTTTCACCTACGGTAGAAGCACTACACCAAGTAAGTGTTTCATTAGAAACAAAATCTAAGGAGAACTCACCTCCATCTGCCCCGGCAGTGGCTGCTCATATACTGGAACAACAAAAGGCTAAAATTGAAGAAGATGCAAGATTATGGCAAGAAAAAGTCGAGGCGAAGAAGAAGGCTAGAAAAGAGATGTTTTTAAAGTCGGAGAAGGAAAAAGAAATGAAGAAGAAAGAAGAAGAGGAGAGAAAGGTTGAAGAAGAAAAAGCAATGGCAGAATCAAAGAAAGAAGAAGATTTACGAGCCATTCAAGAGTGCGAAGAACGACTCAAAGAGTTGGAAGCCCAAAAGGTCAAATTGATACGTGATAGGATCTTTGAATTATACCCTGTGGGTATAAAATTCATGAGATTTGATTCAAACCCGACAAAATCATCAATTGCCAAGTATTTGCCCCTATATATTTTCATCATTGACGACTCAAAATATGTCTTGGATCTTCATATTTCACTATTGACGCTTACTCCGTTTAAACAACTAAATAGTAACGTTTCAACCAGAGAAGCAAGTACGGAAGAAAAGTCACGCTTGTGGAAGTTGTTTTATGACTTTATTGGAAAAGATCCAACTCATTCAACACGGGATACAACCAAAGCTCGTCAAGAGGGAGAAAACTCTTTTAGAAACTTATCGTCAAACTTTATCAAATACAATGAAATATATCCAATCATCGAATCTAAATTTCCAAACGTACATGAAGCTTTGAAAGATCTGCAACCCGTGGAAGTCATATTAAATTCTTTACGTGGATTCGACGATATTGATGAAGCGATTTACAAGGAAGAAGATGAAATTGAAATTCTGATCAATAGAGAGCAAATTGAAAAGTTTATTCCCCCGCAATTAAGTCACCGGAAAGATGTATTAAGGACAATCCATACCGCTTACAATCCGTTATGGTAAATAAAAATTTAACGTATAATGCTTGCAAAAATGTTCTTTTTGTTTTAACGCTGTATAACCATATTTAATGTATTTTTAATGAATAATCTACTGATTGATGAGATAAACAAGAACAAAAAAAAAATTGTATTGAGATGTCATTTTGCAATCTGCACAAAAGGAAAAAAAAAAAAAACAAATTGAAAAATTGAAACAAAGTGATGTTAGTTATATCATAAGAAAGCATATAACTTCTAAGGAGTCACGAATTATGGGACAGAAGGCGTACGTTAAGCAGGTTGGGGAAAATGATCTTGGTTTTTCTTGTTTCTTTTTTATCTTTGTAGCTCTTTTTCTGAACATTTTACTAACTCTTACTATAGAGTATCGAGATCATCTTTGTATAATGATTCCGATGAAGTGGAGTATGATTCTAGTGAAGAATATGTACCCCCACAACTAGACTTTGAGTTTATCGAAGTAGACTATGAACAAGGAGGGAAAACAGAAGAAGAAGAGGAAGCACAAGGAAAAGAGAAGGAGGGAGTAGAAGAAGAAGAGGAAGCACAAGGAAAAGAGAAGGAGGGAGTAGAAGAAGAAAAAGACGAAGAGTTTGAATTTCCTCTTTTTGCCAGTGCAGCCTCATCTTCTATCTCCAACACTCTGGAAGACGAGGTAAGAGGACGACGAAGTACCAGCAAACACACACAGAAGATATCTCTTCGCGATCACTCCGAAGAACGAATAAACAGCAAAAGGCCAGAATCTTTTTATTTTGCAAAATATTCACCTAAAGAAAAACAACAATTTGAATATTGCGCCGTGACTTGGGAAGAAATGCGTGATCAATCTTATATATGTCCGAATTCAAGGAGATGTTTGAATCTTCAAGAGCATAACGCGAACATTGATAAAGAGTTGGTTCAGTTGAAAGCAAAAAAGAGTAAACGGCCAGGAAAGAGAAAAAGAGAAAATAAGATCCATTGTCGAGAAAGGAGAGAAGAAAGGGCAAAGTTGTTGAAAAAAGAAGAAAAGCGGCGAATAGCTAAGGAGAAACAAAACAAGTATGGGAGATTTGGATTTAATAAGTACGGAGCGCGTGCTAGTAAGAAATCGTTCAACAAAAGTCCAAAGTATCATCGTGAGGCTGTCACTGGAAGAGCTAGTTTAACGAAAGTTGTTGCAAAACCAAAGTATAGAACTGAATGATACTCATTCCTGTTTTTTTTCTGGAGGGGCCCTATTTGGATGTATATGGTATGGTATGTGGTTCTCGTTAAAATATAAGAATCCTAGATTGCTATCGGTCCATTTGATTCGTCATCTGCGATCCTCTGTTGTCTCTCCTTCTTGTAAAAGAAACAGATTCCTAAAAGTGTCAAGTTGAAAAGACCCAACACAAAGAATGGACCCAAAATCCACGAGTCTGCTATTATCCCACCAAATAGTATGATGACCATAATACCAATACCTCCACAGAAACTGTAGAGCCCACTCAAAGATCCTATGATCAGATGTGCATTGGAGATTCCACTCAAAGTACTCATGCTACATATGACTAGCCCAATTTGAGATAAACCGATAACACTAACAAAAAAGAAACAAGAAACTGTTTTAGGATTGTATTTTTCAAAATTCGTGTTGCACGATAACCCAAGACTACCAAAAGCACCGAGTCCTGATGCTATTGCAATGGTGTTTTTACCAAACCTATCAACCAAATAAGCCCACAATGGAGCAGAGACTAATGCAACTGTTTGTGCAACACCATTCAAGATAGCGGCAAATTTGTAGCCTTCATAACAACTATCCTTTTCTGACCAGCTACTGTTTTTACACTCCCCTTTGGAGTAATAGAAGTTGTAGACAACTAAGGGAATAAACGCCGTGGTAGCAACAGTTGTTGCACGAGCAACAAATGCTCCAGCAAAGGCCAAACGTGCATCTCTGCTATTTTTTGAAAATTCGAAACCTTCCCTAATCATTTTCCAATATGTTTGCGTGTGCCCTCTTGCTGCATCTTGGATAACACTGGACCCTGTACTGTAGAGGAAACGATACAATATAAGCATTGAAACTAGTGCAAATAATGCTACTACCAAATATGAATATTTGAGACCCTGCTTTGCAGAAGTGCCAGTCCAATCGACAATTTCAACCGGTAATGGAATGAGAATACACACCGATGCTATTGCTCCAATACCTGTACACATTCCCAAAATACCTGCAAATCCTCCATTTTTCTTACTTCTCACTACTGCACTATCATGTGGTAGATCTGCTGTTTCCTGCGGATGCTCTCCTCTCAGGTTCTTGGTCCAAAAGGAAAGCATCTTGAGTGAGAAATCCGAGGATGTTACTTCGTTTAACGTCACTGTTACTGTGCTCATACAAGCAGTGACGCCAAAAGCAAACAAACATCTAAAGATAAACATATCGGGAATCAACGATCTATTAATCACGGCGTAGCCAAATAGAGAAATAACAATTATCAAGAAACTTGAACTTTGAACTATTCTAGATCCACCAAACCCCAATGCGTTAAGTTTGTCGATTAAGCCACCCAAGAATGGAGCAGAGATCATTGAAGTCAACTCATCAAAAAACCCCAATGCTCCAATAATATGGCCTATCTTTGAATCCTTAGAAGAGCCAGGCTTTGGCTCAATTCCAATCACTTCTTTAATGTAAAATGGTTGAGTTGCCGTTAAAAAGACAACGATTGCAATACATGCAAATCCCGCAAAATTAAAAGCAAAGTAGTTCAAGACTGAATAGTCTTTATATCTCACTTCTGCCATGGTCCTAAAGAGAAAGAGGAAGAGGAACAAAAACAAAAAACAAGAACAAAAAACAAGAACAAAAAACAAGAACAAAAACAAGAGGAAAGAAGAGTTACAAAAATCCTCAATAACCTCCTTTCCATAAAAGATTTAGATCCTTTAGATAAAAAAAAAAAGGTAAACTCTGATAAAGGAATTACTCACGTGACAATCACGTGAATTATCTTTCTGGGGTCGCTTCATCGCTTCATCGCTTAGACGCCGCACAAACTTCCTCTTTTGTAGATAACATCGAACTCAACAAAGGTATATGGACTTGTAGTTTACAAGCAAACTCCAATCTTTTTATCTAGTGAAAACAGAAAAGGTGGATATGACGGTACCAGTAGAGGCTAACAAAAAAGAGCTAGAGGATTTTGAGGCGTACCTTGAGACCGATTTTGAGCCAAATAAGTTTGCCAATAGTCTTTTAACTGTGTCCAATGGTTATGAAAATCAAGAGCTTGATCTATCAACGTCGTTGAAGAAATTGAAATTCGACTTGGTGGAGCTAGACAAACGAATGAAATCTATATCCACGTCGAACTATGAATCATTGATTAGAAATTTTACCGAAATCTCTCAGTATCAGAAGCTTGTCGAGGAGAGGATAAATCCTCATATACAGCAAGTCAACAAACCATTTGATAAAATAAAAAAGGAGGTATTGGATCCATATGATACAGCAGTTAAACTAAATAGTGCCTTGAGGAAAATGCATCAGACTTTGGAGTTGTTGAGGAGTACAAGTTTTTTCATCTTCATTTTCCAGCAACTTGAAGATCTACAAGTACTGGGTTATGATCGTGATATTGTAAAAATATGTCGATTACACGTGCAGTTGCAAAGTCTCTATGACGAGCTGATGAACGAAAAAAGCGAAGAAAGTGCATTAAGTGTCAAGTTGGTGAAAAACTACCAGGCAACAGCTACTGCTAAAAGATTAGCTTTGATACAGGAAAGTTCAGCTACAATTAGTACCGAGTTGAGTCGAATAACTAATTTCCATTCTAAAAATACAAAACTATACAATAACTTGCAAGCATTGTTCATTTTGGATCAAAAGGAGTTTTTCAGTACTTTTGAAAAATCAACTGTTCAAAGACAAGCAACACTAGGTTCAAGTCAATTGTCCAAGGCATTGCAATCGCCAAGAAACTTAATATCTATTTTGCTAGAAGTTAAAGAAAATGCATCCAATTACTTTGCAAAATTGGCAGAATTACTAAACAAATGGACTTTTTTTGTAGATAACAAGAACTTGCCCATTCTGAATGTGATTTTACAATCTTTCAAAAGTGAATCATTGATTGCAATGTATTGGCAAACATTATCACAAAAGTTGAAGAAAAACATCGTTGCAACAATGGCTAGAGGCGGTCCCATTGCTAAGAATTTAAAGGTTTACAGTCAAGGGTTGCAATCTGCTGTTGAAGAAAAGTTTGCTAATGCTTCAGAGAAGGACCAGATTTTAGATGCATTGACAATAATTGACTATAAGTAGAAAATGGTAATAACAAAAAGAAAAGGAAAAGGAAAAGGAAGAAAAGGAAAGATATATTCCATAACCTCTCCTATCCCTCTTAGCTGGGTTTTCTGCAAAATATCATTTTTGTCTACATATCTTATATAGTCATTCGTGGTGTTTAAATTTTATTGTGAAACTTTTGACTTTAATGAAGTCAAGAAATCTCTATACGAAGGTTCTGTACCAGTTTTATCCTCTACTAAACAACTTGAAGCCCACATTCTCAAAGCCATAAGATCGCGTTGCTGAGAAATTTCAATAGGTTCGTTTGAGGACGCTCCAACAACAACGTATAAATTTTTCCAAATGATTGAGTCAGGTTGTTCTCTAACCTTACTAATTATTTGGCGCACACGATAATTGAATTCACTCTCTTCCATAGAATACTCGGGTAATTCAGTTTTGCCTGTGCGTATATCGTACAAGTTCTCGGTACCAAATACATCTTGTATCAAACCTGGAACGACATTACCTGAAACCCACAAAAATAGTTCACTGCCGTTATCAATAAGATATAATCCATAGTTTTCCCAAGAGGCCTTTGAATCATTTATTGGCTCTGGCAAAACTACATCAACTAAAGTCTCATTCTCATCCTCTGTCTCTGCTTCATCCTCATCCTTCACTCCTGGTAAGCCGCATGCATCTGGCATATTGTGCAAGGAGTAAACTGTTGGATATATGGATTTTATCAACTGCGGAATTGGTAATGATCCAAGATTATTCAACGCAGCGGCCCTGTGATCAGAAGGTACTCTATCGCTTCTAAAACCCAAGTGTTTCGTTAAACAGAATAGTAATAATGGCAACATTCTTAAATTGGTTGAGATCTGCAATGGAGAAGCACCCGAAACATTTCCTGCGACAAGCTCTTTCCTATATATGTTCAAGATATCAACAACTCTAGAAATAAGATACTCCCTGGCTTCTGGTAATGATGTCGACAAGGCCTTTTCAATAGCCTTGTGGGTGAAATAATTAGTGATTGCTAACTGATCAGCAGAAGCATATACATCTACTAGTTTTGAAGATGTAGGTAAAGCCAAATTCATAACCCTGATTCTTCTCTCTCCAAAAGAAGTGGAATGCAACACGGCAGCCTGGAAATATACCACTGGTTTATTTATTGTTTCCTCTATCGACATTTCAATCAAGTATGATTGGTCTCTTGGGAAAGTAGGGAATGAACACAAGTCAGAAGATCTATTGAAAAAGTTTCCAAAAAATGAGGACATTCGGAAACCGGTTGAGCCTCTAACTCTTAAAACAGCCTCCAAAGCAATGTCCTGAGATAAGTGGTCACTTACTTCCTTTGATAATTTGGTAACATCTTCAGATTTATTGCTTGTCCAAGCTGGGTAAAAGTGTGTTTGACCAGCTGTATATCTTGGTAAATTAGACAATGTTGCAACATCTTGATAAGCAGACGAAGTTAAGAAAAGATCAACTGTGACTTGTGATGAGTTACAATTAACAGCAAAGGATTTATAAAAGCTGTCTGCTGACGTTAACAAAGTCTTGGCCTCCTTTGCTTTACCCGCAACACTTGCTTCGTCTCTAACGCTAAGTTTACCTTCACCAATGTTTGGCAATGTAGCTGCAAAGCAAACTAATTTACCACCAACGTTGCTGATCATCTTGTGACCTGCCTTCAAAGATGGACCCAACGCAAAACCTTGATTTGTAGTACTTTCAAAGAAAGTTGGAAAGTCCAAAAGTAATTTTTCAATCGCTTCTTTATTTTCATCCAAATTCACCAATAATCCTCCGGGAGACGGCAAGAAAGGCTCTTCAATATCAGCAACAACCATAATCTCTGTACCTTCCAAACCTTCGTTGAATCTGAAATAGTGCAAGTTTGAATCGACACCAATGAAGGCAACTCTTGCTGTTCTGTTTTCATTGGGGATTCTATCTAAACTTTCTAAAATTGTTCTTGTGATGGTTCCAGTTAACCCGCTTTGCACTGCGTGCACAGACACATCAATGATAAAAACGTAAACAATGGGTTGTGGTGCTCTAGCCATATACTCCTTTGGCGCAATGAATTCGACAACAGCATGATTCAATTCGACCCTATCAAACTTATTTCTCACAGTGCCGCTAATTTCATCATAATCAAAAGCGCTTGGTATGTCATTTAGTAAATTACAGAAATTACATCTCCAACGTCTTCCATTTTCCGCTAAAATAACAAACGGATTGATGTAACCACGACAACGACGACATCTGCTAATTGTAGTATCGCATGTAACTGGAATGTTTTCATCCGCAATCTTCAATGCATTATATGGTTTCACAACCAATGCCAAAGGAAGTTTAGACTTTTTCAAAAGAGAGGAGCTGGTGGGAACAACATTTAATGTAGACCTAAAATAATCAGGCGTGGCATTAGCGGTTTTGGAGCCTGGAATCAACGTTGCGTTTTCCGCTAAAGTAATTGGCGGAGGTTGAAACGACAATTCAGCAATAGGTGGTGGTAAATCCCTTGACAAGTCAGTTGTATATAACGCGTTTAATTGTACTCCAGTGGGGATATTGTTAGCTTGACCATATGCGCCGCCGCCGCCTCCACCGCCATAAACAGAACCTATACCTGACTGCGAAGCAGGACCGGCCGTAGGGGGAACACCTCCCATTCCCTGTCCATAAACCCCGGCCTGTGGTTGTGGCTGGTATGGGTCGTAGCTAATTTGTGCATTGGGCAATGGCTGTTGTTGTTGTTGTTGTTGTTGTTGTTGTTGCTGATAATGTTGAGGTTGGTAAGCTGGGTCACCGCCACCACCAACATTCATTCGTTGGAATTGACCTTGTAATTGATCAGCTCCATATGGTGAGCCATAACCTTGTGCTTGTGCCCCTCCTGGTTGTTGTTGTTGTTGTTGTTGTTGTTGGCGTTGGTCAATAAAAGAATTTCCAACAGCGCCACCACCGACCGGTGTACCAGCTGTATACTGAGGTTGTGGATACGCTCTTCTTCTACCTGACATTCTTTTCAAGTGAGCTGGTAACTGACCTGGCAACTGAGCTGGCAAATGTGTTAGATTAACTCAAATACCAAATACAATTATACAGTAACTTCTCTCGAGGTCGGTTAATTTTTCACTCCAAAATTTTTGACGTGGTCAATAATTCAGTGTCGCAAAAAAATAGAGGCTCGCTTTACGACACTGCTCAAAAAAAAGAGACAAATTGTAAGTTGGTAGCGGGATGCAAAGTCCACGTGACTTTTGATAAACTGTGGAGAAGTCAAAGTGAAAGGGAAGGAGGAATAATATTATGCAGGAATGATTGCAAAATTTTGCACTCTTTCATTTATACTTACAAGTCTACAAGGGATTGGATTTTTGTTATTAGGAATTACGATAGTATAGGCTATGGCTGGTTCTGAGGTTTATGATTATGAGAAGGCAGATGTAGCAGGGTCAGCTGGAGCTGTGGTTGACAATTCGCTATTACGGAAAGCCAAAGATGTTGCAGCTGGATTTGTAGGTGGAGCTACGCAAGTGTTGATAGGACAGCCGGCAGATTTAGTCAAGATTCGTTTGCAAACAAGTTCGGCGACATCTTCAATTCAAGTGATTCGAAACGTGATTCGAAATGAAGGACTTTTGGCGTTTTACAAGGGAACCTTGCCTCCGCTATTCGGTGTTGGAGTATGTGTATCCTTACAGTTTTATGGATTTTACGAAACAAAAAGACAAATCTTACACTTTACAGGTCAATCGAATTTGAGCTTATGGCCTCAGACTTATATTGCAGGAGCTATGGCCGGTGTTGTTAACTCGCCGGTAACTTCGCCAGTGGAACAATTGAGGATTTTGAGCCAGTCATCTTCTGGCGAGACATTGTCAATGAGGAAAACCATTAAACAAATTTATTCTTCTTTTGGTTGGAAAGGAATATATCGTGGATTCAATATCACACTACTCCGTGAATTCCAAGCTTATGGTGTTTGGTTTCTCACTTACGAAACTATTATTCAGCAGATTATAAGCTTACAACATTACAAGAGTAGAAATCAAATCTCAACTCCCGAATTGCTCGTCTCTGGTGCTTTGGCAGGGAATGCCCTTTGGTTAAGTTCTTACCCGTTGGATGTGATAAAATCCAATGTTCAAAGTGATCAGTGGGGTAAAGATAGCAAATTCAATGGTTCTTCAATAAAGGCAACAAGGTATATATACAAACATCATGGATTTGTTGGATTTTGGCGTGGAATTGTACCCTGTTTACTAAGGGCAATCCCATGTAGTGCCGGCACGTTTGCTAGTGTGGAATTAGCTCTCAGATTGATGGGTTGATACGAAAATGTGTGAGAGGGAGAGGGAGCAAAAAGTATATGATAAATGGATTTGATATCATAACAATATTCAAAAGTTTATATAAAGTAGAATAAACAAGAAAGAAAAAGAAAAAAAGGAGGATATGGTCAACCGCTCTGCTCCTTTTGAATAAAGCTGTTGTTCCTATGCAAATCACTAAAGCTACTGCGCTGACCAGAAGAGCGGCGCATTTGTTCTGGACTTGATAGTAGTGGTGGTGGTGGTGGTGGTGGTAATTGTGATTCTTGTGACAGAGTTGGTTCTTCTATCTCCGAGTCAAAGTTGATATTGTTTCTGGATAATGAAGGGATGTCTGAATCCTTGTTTAATCGAAGTACCTGTTTCACTGAGATCAACATGAGCATGCAAAAAAACAATATTGATCCTGTAACAATAAACACGATTCCTGGACGATGCCACTGACTCAAAGAATATTTATAAATTGTCAAGTAGAAAATAGGTGCCACTAATGCAAATAGATTTTTCAATAAAGACATGGCTCCAAAAACTTCTCCAATTTTAGCTTCTGGATAAAACTTAATAATTGCTGAGCCAATAGATGGACTAATCAAGGAGCCAAACCCACAAAAGACAGTAAATATGAAAAAAACTTGAGTTGTTGGAGCCAAGCTAAATCCAAAAAAGCCAATTACCTCACATACCAAGCCGAGTAGACACATTGAAAAATCAACCATATCAAATCTCTTTTTGAACACCTTAAATCCAAATCCATGTTGCAATACTTTATGACTTATAATCGGGGATAAAACAATCAAAACAACTGCTTTACTGGAACATGTAATCGCTAGAAACTGGCCCAAATCACTTTGGTTCCAATTGTAACTGTAGATACCAAAAAGTACAAAAATCTCACCTAATGCCAATGCCAATGTCATCATGACACAATCTATTAAAACCAAAACAAGTATCGCAAATCTATCGCGACCTATGGTCTGTCTGTTTGCATGGCTGACAAATTCGCGAGGTAAGTAAAGCAATTTCAATGGCTTGAAGAAATTGATTTGAGCTAAAAATGTTGAGAATTTTGAAGATTGCTCGTTATTAATGTTGTTGTTGTTGTTGTTGTTGTTGTTGTTGTTGGTGGTGGTGGTGGTGGTGGTGGTGGTTTCACCAAGAAAACTGCTTCGGCTCAGGGACCTTGAAATTGACCTTGATTTTTTCCTGGCTTTTTCTGATCGTGATTCTGGTAAGATGAAAATTGCAAGCAACAAATCAAGCAAAATGATCACCACTTCGAACCGCAAGGGGATAAACTCGTGACTTGCAATGTCTACGGTAGCGTTAAATCTTGTTGTCAATGAAATTACTGCATTGCCAATCAATGGCCCAATACTCAATCCAACAAACATAGCAGCTATACTAATGCCCAAGGAGTAAATTCTTTGGTGAGGCTCAACAACGTCAGATATGTAGCAATTACTCAATGCAATCAATGCCATTATTCCACCACACAAGTTCGATACAACATCACAAGCGATCATGGGATAAAACTGCAAACTGTTGAAATGGGACATGACTAGCAACTTCAGTACTCGACCTACAAAGAAACACGCGACAACAGCTACAATGAATATTTTCCTGCCATACAAATCACTCAAAGGAGCTACTTTCCCCGAGGATATGAGCATTATGATAGCTCCTGAAATACTGTAGCCCAATTGCAAATTGGACATTAGCACTTGTGCCGATTCCTTGGTACATTTATCTGCACCAAGAGCATTGCATGCCAATTTCAAAGTTAATAGTTGCCTAGTTGACTCTGCACTTGAGGAGGCGAATGCCAATAAAAAGGTTATGGTTGCGATCATGAGCACACTTGGTCTCTTTAGCCAATGTGTGCTTTTGTTCAACACACGCTGTTCCCGTAACCAAATGACGTCTTCATTGTGTTCATCTTCATCGTATTCTTGTTCATTTTCAATCACTGCTTCGTAAACATCGTTTGCCGCCTCCTCCAAATGTAACAACGGCTGGTCCTGGATATCAACTACTAAGTTTGAACCAAAACTCGGCTCATCCGAATGTGTAGCCGGCAATAGTGGATCATCCTCTGTTAGTTCTCTAGCCATACTCATTCTCTCTCGCTCTCTCTCTTTCTCTCGCTCGCTCCCACGGCCCTAACAAAAGAAAAAAAAAAGGGCTAAAATTAAGGGATTTAACTATTAATGATTATATTAATAAATAAAAGACTAAAGTTTTTGCTAAAAGAGATAAAAATCCATTTAGAGCAATAAACGGAATAGAATAATAAGATAATAACGGAATAGAATAATAAGATAATAACGGAATTGAATTAATTAGCTTTAGAAAAAAGTAACGAAATAGTAGATTGCTTAAGATAAGTATTGTTAGCAACTGAAAAAAGAAAGCATCAATACTATCGAGCGAAGCGAGATAGTGTCCGCTCGATAATGGAACATTGATAAATATTCAGTGTTGCTCCACTATCGAGCGAAGCGAGATAGTGTCCGCTCGATAATGTCCACTCGATAGTGGAACATTTATAAATATACAGTGTTGCTCCACTCGATAGTGGAACATTTATAAATATATAGTGTTGCTCCACTATCTCGCTTTGCTCGATAGATAGTGTCCACTCGATAGTATCTATTTCCAAGGATCATTTTTTCTTCTAATTGGGAGGGGTCAGAAATCAGAGGTAAGCTCAAAGTTATATCTAACAAGTTAGAGTCAGTGGGCCGTTGATACTACATACTGCTCCACTAGCTCGCTTTGCTCACTAGTGTCACTTGTTTTTGTCCCTTCTCCCTATGAAAAATTAATTTTTTTTTTTTGTGCGAGTTTTATTTAAGCAAATGCTTTACCATTTAAAGCCTTGCCACCCCGTGGAATAGAAATTGATCCAATAAAATTTGAAAACGAGACTTTTACTTGTAAAAGCCACTTCAGCAAATGTAGCATAGAAACTGCAATGTAACAAATTGTGGCCATAGGGTGTAGCAACTTTGTTAGGCTCTGTGCAAGGTCAACTCTTCTTGCATGGAAATGTCATCATTACCTGTATTGTCAAGACGTTTACTATATACGTACTTGATATATTTCGCACGGTAGTTGGTCAATTCATCAAGCACGCTGTTTAACAGTTGATCATGGTGTGTATTGATTAAAAATTTTTCCAACTCATTGATAAAGGAATAGCATACTTTGTGCAAACTTTGATCCAACTCTTCTACTTTGTGCAAACTTTGATCCAACTCTTCTACTTTGTACTTTATTGCCAATCTTTTAAGCTGAAAATCATCAGTTGACTGTGCGAGTTTCCAAAAAATCTTCTCGAGCTGATTAAGCTTGTCTCCATGATGCATCAATAACCATGAGGCAACTTGTCTACTCCTTTCCTGTGAACTGGCTTGCCAAATTAAAGCACTTGTTCTTATATTGTTCATTACTTTGATGTAATGTAATTGATCATATTGCTTCATATAGTTAAATGCGAACCTCCATACTGTTCGTTCATAATGTGCCGAGAGCTGATGCTTCTTAATCAACGAGAGGTATTCTTCAATATTTTGCTTCAAATTAGCCAAAATCTTATTAGGCTGGTGTAACATTTGATATTTCCGGAGCAAAAGAATACGTAGCTTAACAACCAGTAATCCTTGTATACCCTGTATCTTCTCAGGCTCATCTAAATTGAACGGGAGTTTCCTCAAATTCACCAATTTGGGATGCATTATTACATCGCCCAAAACACGCAAGTTGAGACGTTTATGAATCAAGAACAAATGAACAATTTCAATCAACACATTTTCATTTTGTACCAGTTTTATATAGGAGCTGAGTTGACTCGCATTCATTTCATTTAGCAATTTTGGTGCATTTATATCAAGCATTGTACTCAGCGGCAAGTTGACATCACGTATTAAACTATTGATAAAGGATATGTGCTGAGCAGCGTCTGCTTCCGATATGAATGGTGATTCATTTGGTAATGTCTCAGTCAGCGATCCGCGAGTCACGGCTTTGAAAAGAGACGGTTTGTAATCAATCGAATAAGACAATGGTGAAGATTTTTGGGGCTTTTTAGTAAGAAGGTTTAGTGCAGCTGCTAGTATTTCTGTCTCTTGCTGATTATCGTCTGATCTCTTTAAAGTCGTATTTTGACGACTCCATATAAACCTCGCAACAAATCTCAATGTTGATATTGAGACCGGCGATGAAACCGATGTGGAAACTGTCGCTTTTGTAGATAGTTTACTAGCCAACATTGCTTTTCGGATGAGGTACCTACAACCCAACGACTCTCAAAAAATAAAAAAAAAATTGGACACTAGAGAGCGAAGCGAGCTAGCGGAGCAGTGAAGAGGAGCAGTAGTGAGTAGAAAGTAGCCGAGCAGTAGTGAGTAGTGAATAGGAGAGGAGCAGTTTATAGTTGCAGAATCGTGATTCCTTTGCACGCAAAAAGAAAAATCTTAATGTCGGAAAATCTACAGTTTTATAACACGACATTGACAAGCGACACTAGGGACCAAAGCGAGCTAGTGGAGCAGTATGGAGAGTGTAGGGCGAGTTACTGTCGTAACAAGCTACTAGGTGCTGCACCACCATCTTGTTCTGCTCAATAGTGTCGTAACAAGCTACTAGGTGCTGCTCCACTATCTCGCTCTGCTCAATAGTGTTGCTTCTCGCTCTGCTCAATAGTGTCGCTTCTCGCTCTGCTCAATAGTGTTGCTTCTCGCTTCCTCGATAGTGTCGTTTAAACATTTGTGCGCCCCACAAACGTGAGGTTACAACTCTGCAAGGTATGTAATTTCCCCATATTATCACGTGACACGTGAAAAAAAGCCATTTATAGAAAAAGTGAAAAATTACACCCCTCTAGTTAGTTTATTCAAACCACCGAGCAGGAGAAGAGAAGAAATTATGAAGGTAATTACTGATAACGCCGTGGCCAAGTTCTTGAATAGCTATTTAGATAGAAACACTATACTTGATGAGTTTCGACCAACTTTGGTCAACAGTCTCACTGCTTATTCTACCAATCCCGATCAAATTGTGCCGCCTAGAATTGTTCAACAATCTAATAATTCAAATTCAGATACTACTCACGTTTTCATGCCATGCGTATCACCAACTGAGGTAGGGATTAAAGTAATTAGTGGCGGTCCAGGGAATAACTCTAAAGGTTTGGGATTTCAAGGGTGTGTGCTAGTCATTGATGAAATAACAGGACAATTGCAAGCTGTTATAAATGCAAATACGCTAACTGCTTTTAGAACAGCCTTGGCTTCCACTTTAGGGTTGACAAAAGTCATTGACATCAATGATGAGATCTTACTACCTGAATTGACAGTTTTCGGTGTCGGGTTACAAGCTTACTGGCATGTCAAATTGACATTAATATTATACGGTGCCGAGAAAATAAAAACAGTTAATATCATCAACAGATCTTTAGCTAATGCCATCAAGTTGAAAGAAAAGTTTGAAAAAGAGTTTACAAACGTCCAGTTCAACGGGTTCCTGAATGGAGAAGAAGAAGACGACTCTGTTTTTAAAGATCACATTTTGAATAGTTCCATTATATTCGGTTGCGTACCAGTTTCAATACCGGTCATTAAAGAAGAATATATAAACAAGGATCCTAAATGGCCAAAATTCATATCATTGATCGGCTCGTACAAACCACACATGATTGAACTAGACTTAGACTTTATCAAAAAGCTAAAGAGCAGAGGAGTCCAAATAATTGTTGATTCCAAGACGCATACATTACATGAAGCAGGAGAGTTGATCCAATCAGAATACAAAGCAGACCAATTAATCGAAATTCACAAACTATACTCAGAAAACGCTGTCACCAAAGACTCCTCTTATACTGATCCTACAACAAATACCACGGTTCAAAAAATTGTTGGTTTGTCTATAATGGACTTGTCTATTGGAAAGCTTATCTACAACAAAGCAGTCGATAACGATATTGTTTGTATACCCAACTTTTAAGAATCGGTAGCATCTTTACCTCCTTGCGTTAAAACTGCAACAAGTTTGGGTTGCATGGTAGAAAGATAAAATCTTCAACAATAGATGATTCCATAGAGGCGATGACAAAAAAAGAAAAATAAATAAAATAAAATAAAATAAAAGACCGCGCTTTTAGTACAAATGTATGTTAATTTTTTTTTTCTTCTTCTTCTTCTTATCTATCTTTTATTATTTTGATAGGAATATAATTGTAAGAAAAGGCAAGATAAAAGGTTTATCTTGTGCAAAAGTTAGTCAACAGATAACGATAAGGAAAATAGGAGAAACCTGTTTGTTTCTTCTTTTTTTTAGAAAAGAGCTGCAGCTTTATAATGGGTGAACGCTTACCTCTCCTTGGTGGAGATACATTGACATGCAAAAACAAAAAGTCATCTTCAAGGTTAACCAGGAACCTATCATTTATGCTCAATGTAGTGACCCTCATAACTATAGCCTATTTGTACTTTTACTCAAATAATGCTCGAGAACAAAGAGAACCGGGGTTGCTTGAGTTTGATCCATATAGAAAGAAAAATGTGATAATGATGGTTACTGATGGAATGGGACCTGCCAGTATGTCTGCAGCTAGGTCATTCCGTCAATATCGAGACCAGTTGGCCATAAATGACATTTTGACGTTGGAAAAGTATTTTGTCGGAACTTCGAGAACAAGATCCTCCAACTCGTTGGTGACTGATTCGGCAGCAGGTGCAACTGCGTTTTCGTGTGCTTTGAAGTCGTATAATGGCGCTATAGGCGTTAGCCCAGATAAAAGTCCATGCGGAACTATCCTTGAAGCCTTGAAATTGCAAGGTTATTATACAGGGTTGGTTGTTACTACAAGAATCACTGATGCAACGCCGGCTGCCTTTTCATCGCACGCAGATTATCGATTCCAAGAAGATTTGATAGCACAACATCAAATTGGCGAATATCCCTTTGGACGTGCAGTTGATTTAATTCTAGGAGGAGGAAGATGCCACTTTTTACCAAAATCGGTTTCGGGTGGTTGCAGAGCTGATTCTCGTAATTTGATAGAAGAAACCGCAAAGAATGGTTGGTCGCACGTTACCAATAGAGAAGAGTTTGATAGATTGGATGGTGGAAAGAATGTTAGTTTGCCACTTTTGGGATTATTGGCGGAAACCGACATACCATATGACATAGATCGTGACTCTGCCGAGTACCCATCATTGGCTGAGCAAGTTAAAGTGGCATTGACTGCTTTGTCTGAAGCTACCAAGGACTCGGATCAGGGTTTCTTTTTGTTGATTGAAGGATCAAGAATAGACCATGCAGGACATCATAATGATCCGGCTGCTCAGGTGAGGGAAGTTTTAGCTTACGATAAAGCATTTCAAGAAGTTATCAACTTCATTGACAACACTGACGTTGAAACGGTAGCAATATCTACTAGTGATCACGAGACTGGCGGGTTAGTTACTGCTCGACAGGTGACCGAAGCGTACCCCGACTATTTATGGTATCCTGAAGTATTATTGAATACAACCAAATCCGGTGAATACTTGGCTAGAAAAATACATCAACAAAAGCTAAAGAGCAGCGGTGATAATGTGTTAAGAAAATTTATAAAAGAGGAAATCTTGCAATCTGATATGGGTATCTTTTCCTATACAGATGAGGATGTTGCGCAATTAGTTGAAAAAGCATCAAATCCAGAGGCTTTGTTATATGCTATAAATAACATCACCTCCTTTAAAGCCCAAATTGGTTGGACCACACATGGTCACTCAGCAGTAGATGTCAATATATATGCTCATACAAATTCAAAGTCGATCTTGGATAGATTGAGTTCCAAGAAATTTGGACTTTTTGGGAATCATGAGAATATTGAGATTGGCGCTTTTATGGAAACAATAACCGGTTCTGACTTAACCAAAATAACCAAAATGATTAAAGAAACTACTCATGCCCCAAGTGCCAACGAAGTATTTGTTGTTGATGAGCTCCATGCAAATGTTGTGAAAGATATGCCACTAGGAAGCACTTGAGAAACTACGAAGGAACAATACCATAAATAGAGATATGCGCATCATTTAGTTTTATAAACAGTGCTCCATAGAGTGGAGGAGGGGAAGGAGGGGGGGGTGCTGGATATGATAGCCGATGGTATATAGTATTTACGTAGAAGAGTTAGTTTCTAACAAATTTTATTTATCAATGAAACTGGTGAAAGGTTTTCCGAAGCACAAAAAAAAACCTATCAAACCCCATAGTGTAAGTTTAACCGCGGCTAAACTTTAAAAGTATTTAAAAAAAAAAAAAAAAAAATGCGAATAAAAGCAGCACTGGGAGATAAGTACTAGAATCTCTACTACTAATACCCAGCAAAGGGTGGTTACAAACTAAAACATCAATATCTTGAGCCATCACCAAGTTCCATCTTGTATGTAGGATCCGTATGCTTAATATTGAATTCATTGGATCAATCAATTGCAAAACGGTTTACAAATCCCCTTTTTAGCAATTCATACCCCAAACAGCTTATTTATTGTTAACTAAAAGTATTGACAGTTATATCCTTACTCCATACGGCCGTCATTTCAACTTATAATAAAGCATAACCAGCTTAACTTTATTGTTCCCTTCCCTGTACTCTCTTTTTTCGCCGTCATCTTTCCACACCCATTGTTTCTTCGTATAGCGAAAGGTACATTGATATTACACCTTCTAAACCCTCTTTTTTAAGAGAAAAAGATTCTCCGAGCGAGCCTGTTATCTTTCATGCGATAGAACATTTCCCAGGATATTCTAAAAATATTTCAAGTTATTTCTTTTTTTTTTTTTTTTTTTTTTTTTTTTTTTTTTTTTTTTTTTTTTTTTTTTNAAATTTTCCAGGATATTCTAAAAATATTTCAAGTTTTTTTTTTTTTTTTTTTTTTTTTTTTTTTTTCATAAATTCTCTTAGCTGGATTGTATGTTTGCTCTTGTCCCCTAAGGATCGGATAACCATCATTTTACATAATGACAGAGCCAACTTCTTGTGTCAAACCCGTGTGAGCTGCAATTAAGTTGAGCGACTCTAGTTTGCAAATTTATAGCTTTTCCGCCATAAAAGAAGATGATTGTCCTTATTGAGAGCTTAGATAATAACATGCTATAGTAAGAGATCAAAAAGATAGGAAATATGACCCAAAAAAAAAGAAGAAAAAAGAAACTGCGGTTCGGAAACGGCTAACGAAGTTAATTCAGTTGAAAAGCAAATGCAGCAAACCATTTAGTGCAAGATTTGAATGCATGGATCATGATAAACTAAACGTGTGAGCATATGTACTCTATAAACATGAAAACGTTATACATATATATATAACGAGAATATATACATCTCTGTAGATTTATCACTTGTTTATTAGTAATTTTTTTTGCAATCACATAATATAATAGTAAGCTTTTAATAAAATGGCATCAAGTGACTCGGATTCCACCTACTCGCCACCAGTCCCTTATGACCTAGAGTCAATTGATTCGCTGCAAGTCAGGTCTGATGATGAAGATGAGTTGAAGAGAGAAACATCAAACAAATTAAGCCTTCGAAAGACGGAAACGGTTTACTCATTAATTGAAAGAGGAGTAAGCAAAAATGCACCATTACAGGGTCTTAATCAGCCACCGGTTGAGAGTCCGATGTTCCCTGAAGAGTATGTTTTGGAAACAGAAACAGGTTTGGTACCAGCCAAAACATTGGAGAGTTTAGGTAGAGAAGTTAGTCAGAAACATAAGCTTAAAGATGAGATAGTATTTGTCACTTTTACTACTAATGATCCAGAAAACCCTTTGAATTGGCCAATGTGGCTCAAATGGGTATATACGTTGTTGTTTTCTCTTGCTGTTATTAGCGCAGCCTACGGGTCCTCTTGTCTATCAGGTGGTTTATTCACAATTAACGAAAAGTTTCATGTTTCAACTGAAGTGTCGACACTAACGGTGTCTTTGATGGTTCTTGGCTTTTGTGTGGGGCCATTGCTTTGGGCCCCTTTGTCTGAGCAGATAGGCAGAAGACCGGTTTATATTATAAGTTTTGGACTATATACCATTTTCAACATTCCGTGTGCTTTGGCACCCAATATTGGTGGTTTACTTGTTTGTCGGTTTTTGTGTGGAGTTTTTGCTGCTAGTGCTTTGACCAACGCGGGTGCTAGCCTAGTCGATATTCACGATGAGACTCGTGGTTTGGCTATTGCATTTTTCAGTTTTTGTCCTTATAGTGGGCCCGTTTTGGGCGGCGTTGTTAATGGGTTTATTAGTGTAGGCACTAAAAGATTCGATTTAATGGTTTGGGTCAATATGGCATTTGCAGGTGTTATGTGGATTATCTTAGCCTTGATTCCGGAAACTTATGCGCCAGTTATTTTGAAGAAGAGAGCCAAGAAGCTAAGAAAAGAAACCGGTGATTCGAATATCATGACAGAGCAAGAGATGTCTCCACTTTCATTAAAGGAAATGGTGAAAATCAATTTATTGTTACCATTGAAGTTTGTTGTCACTGAACCAGTATTGGACCTAGTTTGTGGTTATGTTGCTATAATATATGCATTATTATATGCATTCTTCTTTGCTTATCCATACATTTTCAACAAATTGTATGGCTTTGAAGATAACAAGATTGGTCTCATGTTGATTCCAATTTTGATCGGCGCTGGATTAGCTGTCACCACAACTCCATTTTTGGAGAGCCATTACAAGAAGATTAGCAAAAGTGGTAAGCCAGTACCACCAGAGATGCGTCTATGGGGAGCAATGATCGGTTCTCCATTTCCGGCAATAGCGTTGTTTATCTTGGGAGCGACGTCTTACAAACATATCATCTGGGTAGGACCAGCGTCGTCAGGTTTAGCTTTTGGATACGGGATGGTTTTAATTTATTATTCGCTCAATAATTACATTATTGATACTTATGCCAAATATGCTGCTTCGGCATTAGCTACAAAAGTGTTTCTTAGAAGCACTGCCGGTGCAGCGTTCCCGTTATTTGTTACTTATATGTATAAGGGATTAGGGCTTCAATGGGCGAGTTGGTTACTAGCATTTGTTTCATTGGCAAATATCTTGATCCCTTTTTCATTCTTTAGATGGGGTAAAAACTTACGAGCAAAGTGGTGTAAGGAGGACTATACCATGCATAGAGACTAGAGACTAGAGACTAGAGACTAGAGACTAGACGAGTGAAACGAGTCTAGTCGATACACTATCGAGCAGAGCGAGATGGTGGAGCAACACTCGGTAGCTTGTTACAGAAAGAGAGGAGATAGACTATCAAGTAGAGCGAGAGAGAGTACAGATGTGGATTATAGATTCTTTACAAGTATTTTATAGAAATAGAGTAAGGTGAGCAGTATCACCGTTTTTGGGTTTTAAGTGCAAGTGAGAAGATGGGAAAAGTGTAGATAAAAGTGTAGATCATTAAACTGGCTTATTTTCGCCAATTGCAGTAAAGAAGACCTTTTTAAATAAAACAGTATCGAGCTGGAGCGACACAAGCGAGCAAAGCGAGCTTGTGTCGCTCTCTCCAAGTACAACCAAAGGTTGCTTAGACAAATATATCCAACCTCTAATACTGTAGTTGGTAATGCTACAAAGTCCTACTCACTATCGATAGCTTCTCACTATCGAGCAGAGCGAGATAGTGAGCAGTACTTGCTAGCTTGTTACAACACTTTTAATAGCTAGCTTGTTACAACACTTTTAATAGCTGCTTACTATTGAGCAGACCGAGATAGTAAGCAGCTATCGATGAGTATCACATGGTAGCTCCATTTTCATCAGTCGATAATACCCTAGTTATTTCTTTTCACTCTAACCATTACAGATTCAAGATGTTTGAGAGCAACATATAGAGATGATTTAGAGCAACACTTGAAGCTTATTACAGAGGAAGCGCCAAGATGTTTCAACATTGGGCAATCACTGATGTAAACAGCTTATAGGATTTTTATCTCGCTTTAGTAGCATTTTCCAGTTTGATGCATTTTTTAACTCGTTTCTTTTAAATCTTCAACAATCAAGTCATAAAAAAGTCTTCTTCAAAGTTCTTTACTCCATCAAAACCGTTATATCCTTTTTCCGCACATACTTCCGTACCTTTCCCGTTCTCTTCTTATCTCTATTAATCTCTTGTCTTGGTCTTTCAATGCCACTCTTTTATCCATCTTTTCTTCTTTTCTTCTTTTCTTCTTTTCTTCTTTTCTTTTTTTTCCGTTTCTTTACTCCAGGAATCAATTTTGTTTGAATAAAATTTTCACTAGGAAAGAATCATTGCTTGGTTTTGGTTTTGATATAAAGTCTAGAGAGCGAGCTTCATTACTCCGGGAGATCTCCAAAGGATGATAGAAGTGTTGATTACGGTGATACCTTCGATATGCTGGCTTCTATATCGGTTTTATACAGTTTTGAACACACCAGTGGAGAAAATCATTGAGGATCTCAATATTGAAATTCCACATATTCCCGCCATTTGTGTTGATTCTATTTCAGAAACTTGGATAGTCATACATTGGGATATTGAGGTTAAAAGCGGGGAAAACTTGTACTATATTGTGGTTATAAACGGCCAGGAAGCAGCCACACTAACCTCAACCTCATGTAAGTTGAAAAATTTACTTCCTAAGCAAATGTACCGGATAGAAATCATCGCTAGCAACTCCATAACCAAGTTCAAATCCAAGTCTGATATTGTTTACGTTCAAACTTATGATAAGAGCCATGTCGAGAAAATTGTGAATTTAGAATTGCAGAATTTGGACGCTCTAATGTTGGAGCATTCGGTGGATGAAGATATAATCAATAAAGAAGATCTACAAGAGAGTTTGGAATCTATGACAAGAGACGAAATACAACGCATTGATGACGCAAAGCTATTGAACAACTATCTTGTAATAGCACTGAACGAATTGGCAAAAGCAAATGCTGAATTTGCTAATGTGCAAAAAGAAACTCAAAATGAACAAGCATCACTTCAACAAGAAGTGGCATTTTATAAAAGAGAATTTGAAGAAGAAGCAGAAAACAAGGCCAAAAAGGAACAGGATGTTAAATCACTAGAGAAATCAAAGAATAACCTATCGTTTCAAAAATCCAAATTACAAGCACAGTTGAACAGTTTCAAAAGCTCATTGGCATTACTAGACAATAAATTTCGAGATAAAGAGAAGAGAATTAAGCAATTACAGGATAGAAATCAACATTTAGTTGAAGTAGAAGAACAAGAAAAGGTCAAGGTGGCCAACGAGATTGAGAATATAGAAATCAAAATACAAGAAGAAAAAGCAGAGTGTGAAAGAGTAGAGGAAAATATTAAACAACTTGCAATAGAAAAGAAGGAATCGCTTTCGTTATTGAGTCAGTTGAAACAGTTGATTGATCTATTTAACCTGTCGCATACAGCTGCTAACGAGAATTTGCGTTCGAATTCGCATTCGCCTACCCCCGTGCCTAATGGCTCATGTACTTCTTTGTCAACCTCAATCAACCCAAATCTGCTCTCGGTGTTTAATAAAGATGGTTCACTTACTAAAAATGCATTCGACGCACTATTGAAGATATTCCAACTCATTCCTAGTTGGCAAGATGAGATAATGCAAGAAATAAACAATTATCAAGAGTTTGAAAATCACTGGAAAGAAGCATTCAAAGCCGAGATTAAGAAGTTTGTATCTATCCACCAATCGTTGGAAATTGCAAAGTTAAATAGAGACAATAATTATCAACCGGTCAAATTAAGTGAATATCAAGCCTCGATTGAGTTTGGTGGATTCAGTAATGCATTACCGAAACCCAAATTCAGCCAATTGAGCAAACACAACAATTATTTACCAGTTGATGAACACAGCAAGAAAAGTAACAATAATTGTAGCAGGGGCAATTTTGCAGATCATTATAGTCAAGTTTATGCAAGGGATGAAGCAGTAAGAGAAGAATCGCCTTCTTCACAAGGCCCCGATGTGGTTCAAGCTGGAGCTTATGACTACATTGAACAGCAGCAGCAGCAACAGCAGCAGCAACAGCAACAGCAACAACAACAACAACAACAACAACAACAACAACAACAACAACAACAACAACAACAGCAGCAGCAGCAACAGCAACAGCAACAGCAACAATCTTATCAAAGTGTTTTGTCTAATGAACATGTGCTGTTAGCAAGCGGTCACAATACTTTGGAAACACAACAACCATACATTAGTTTGGAGAGGATAAATGCCGCAACTATGGCACAGAAACGAAATTATGACATGCACTCACCTACTATCCATCATAATGTACTTAACGTGGATTCTACTTTTGCAAATAATGAGGGTAGCCTAGGTAATCAACCTGTTAGTCAAATGGCACCAGGTTTTGGGTATGAAAACCACCTACCAATCCCGAGCGTGGTTTCCCCTTTACCTCAGTCATCAATATTGTATAGCACTGCTGGTGGCAGTGGTGGTGACTCAGCATCTATGACAAATGGAGGTATGCATAAACATCTTGGTTCCAATTTTTACACTACAAGTTATAACAATTCGGGAACGCTACAACAATCAGACTTATGGAGCACTACAAGTCAAACTACAAAGTCTACGTTTAACGATTTTTTGAACCCTAATGTATCATCCAATTTACCAAATGGATTTTTATTATCTTCAAGTAGTAATATATGGAATCACCATGATGAAAGAGTTCAAGCGTTTAGTCCCACCACGATAGACCATTCAAGATCAGTTTCAAATAGTTCCCAGATATGGAGAAAAGAAAATGTTGTGTCTTCTTCATCACAACTCAACTTTAACCCATATAGTGGCGGTAGCGGTAGCGGTAGTGGTAATGGTAATGGTAATGGTAATGGTAGTGGTAGTGGTAGTGGTAATGGTATGACAAATTCTTCATCGCCTATTCCAAGCAGAGAATTCCAACCCTTTGGAGATTGCATTGACTTATCCACGACAAGTTCAGCACCTGTTGCAGGAAGTTACCCACAATCTCAAAGTAACACATTTCAGCAATTTCATGATGCTTTTAAACAACAGACACAGACATCTAGAAATGAAACTCAATATGACCAGTTTTCTAAAACAGGTGAATTGAGAGAAGATAATTAAAAAAAGAGTTTGACTATTTGCAAAGGAGATATTGTTGAGAAAAGGAGATATTATAAAGCTAATATTTTTAGGTGTTGCTCCATTATCTCGCTTCGCTTGCTAGTGTCGATTGTAGAGCTAGGGAAGGACTTTGTTGTTCTTTCCAGAGTTTTATGTGCCAAGTATAATTGTGTCTTTGTAATGTTCGCACTGAGGCATTTTGATTTCTCCCCTCTTTTTTCTTTTGGCATTTAGAATCACAAAACCAGAAAAACGGTTAAGATGGCATGGTAGCGTATAGTTATTGCACAAATGCCATAGACTAGTTTAGTTATAATTAGAATAATCCACCGTGGAGAAGATGAGCAACAGCAATAATAAGGACAAATCACATCAGAAGGGAAAGAAGAAATTTGGGTGTACAGGACAAGGAAAGGAGGCATTCAATCTCAAACGGTAAACTTTGAATATAAACTGCGACATAACGGAAATTTATTCCCATCAATTTTCACCTATTGTTGATTATTATTCGGCAAAGAAACTTTGGTAAATACGTTATTTTTTTTTCAAGTATAAACTACATTTGGTAGTATCGGACTATTTTAAATTGTTTTTCCGAGTAATTTTGTCTTAGTTTGCGACTGAAAAATTTGCAATCATACAAATTCCAAATTCGGAAGAAAAGGTCTCAAGTAGCGATGAACAGCAGACGCGAGAAGGGTTTCTTTCTTATCGACCTTTCTTCCACTTCTTAATCAAAAAGAAACAAAAAATAGGGTAGACAATAATAAAGTAAAAAAAAAAATAAGAAAAGATCAACTGTAGAGAGTTTGACTTATTTCTCTTCCTCTTCTGACTCACATTTCTTTCCTTAAAAAAGCCAGGTGATTTTAGGGAAATATATAAAAACAAGATTGCAATTGCCACCGTCACAACAGCAACAACAACAGCAACTACCACTACCACCACTACCAGTATAGCAGCAATGACGGCAGACGAGGAAGAGTCGTTTACAACTTATAACGAATTTAGAAGTGACACATTCACCGTGCCTACCAGATCGATGATTGAAGCCGGGTTCCTCAGTGCCACCTATGGAGATTCAGTTTATTGTGAAGATGAAGCCACATTGCAGTTAGAACAACGTATGTGTGAAATCACTGGTAAGGAAGCTGCGTTATTTTGTTGCAGTGGAACAATGTCTAACCAAATTGGATTAAGAGTCAATTTAGTGCAACCTCCTTATAGCATATTATGTGATTATAGGTCACATGTGTTTTTGCACGAGGCTGGTGGATTGGCTACGTTAAGTCAAGCTATGGTACACCCAGTGAGACCAGCTAATAAGAATTTCTTGACTCTTGAAGACATTATGGAAAATGTTACTTTTGATGACGGAGATATCCATGCTGCTCCTACAAAAGTGATATCTTTGGAAAACACTTTACACGGAATTATCATGCCTCTTGCAGAAATAATCAAGATTAGCGATTTTTGTCGGCAAAATGATATCAAGCTACATTTAGACGGAGCTAGGTTATGGAATGCCTCGGTGGAGACTGGGGTCAGTATAAAGGAATATTGCTCGTATTTTGATACCGTATCGCTTTGCTTATCGAAATCTCTTGGTGCACCAATGGGATCGATATTAGTAGGAACGAGAAAGGATATAACAAAGGCAAACCACTTTAAGAAACAGAATGGTGGTGGAATAAGACAAGCTGGAATAATGACTTCAATGGCGATGCATGCAGTGGATTACAATTTGCCCAAGATTAAAAAATCGCATATTTTTGCAAAGAGCATTGGGGATTTCTGTGATGAAGTTGGAATAATCTTGGAATGCCCAGTTGATACAAATTTCGTTTTTATTGACCTTAAGACCAATAAGATGGATGACATGTTATTGGTTGATTTGGGTAAGTCAAAGTATGATGTTAAACTAATGGGTGGAAGAATAGCATGCCATTTCCAACTAAGTGCTAAGAGTGTTGAAAATGTCAAGAGGTGTCTCTTGGAATGTTACCAGTATAATTTAAAGCATCCATATGAACCAAACGGAAGAAATAACAACAAGATGTATAATGTCGAAGCTATGAAGAAATAGGAAATAGGAAAAAGGAATGAAGAGGCAAAGATATAAAAAGAGAGTGAGATATAAAAGAGAGTGAGATTGAGACGGGATACTAATTGATGTGACCCCTTTTGTATGGTGCAAAAATATCCACGTGGTGATTCAAAATAGAGATTTTGGTTTTTTTAATCGTTGTTATTGATTGATTGATTGATTTTTTTTCCCGTTCCATCGCATCGCATCGCGTCACTTGGATCTCTTATCCTCTAAGGCGAGTTTCGTCGTAGCAAGTAAACAATTACAAAGACAAATTCCCATTTACCCTTCTCTTGCGTCGTCACATACCATTTCCCCCCCCCCCCCCCCCTTATTTTTTACCTGTCGTCCCTGTTACGTATTTAGGTCCAACTAAGGTGTAAAAAGAAGAAGAAAAAAGGAGAGAAAAGGTAAATAGGTAAATACCGCTTTATCAATATCGTGATTTTGATAAGCAATAAACAAGAAGGAAAAAAAAAAAAACCCCCCGTGTGTCATTGAAACTTTGGCAAAAGAGAAGGATACAATATTTATAGAAGAGGTTTCACTTTGTTACAGCTGGTTTGAACATAATGGCAAAGAAAGGACTGGACGGGCTACTTTTGCTGCAGAAGTTTGCGGGTGCTAATAAAGAAAATGAGTCGGCTGTTATAGATGATGACGATGATGAGCAAGGGTTTTATGCTTCTTCCAATGCTAGTCAGTCGCTGCTTACTGGTTCACCTACACTAGTGAGGAATGATTCAACCGTCTCTGTTCCATATTTAGACCTTTCCAAGCTCATGTTTGCCAATGATTTCGACTTTGGATTCGACTTGAATGGAGTCAGCCAGAAGACAAAACGGCGAGTCAAGAGCATTAAGAATAAAACAAAGGAGAAATTTAATATATACAACAAGAAGGGAAACATTGAATTGGACAAATTACAAGATATCTTGAATCAAAGGTTGGTCAAATTCGACGAAAGAATACACAAGAACTTAACCAGTTCGTCAACTGAGAAATTGTTCTACGCTGTAAGTGTTTTTATTATTGCATGTGGAGGATTCGTTATTGGCAAGTACCCCAAATATTTCCCCCATTTCCATACAGGGTTATTTATAGTCTTGATGCCTATTCGATTTTATACTTATTTCAAGCAATCCTTTCAGTATTACTTGGCTGATTTGTGTTATTACGTGAACTTGTTGTTGATGTTGTTCATTTGGGCTTTCCCGCAGTCTCCTACATTGTTTGTTTCCGTGTTCTCGTTGTCATTGGGCACATTATCTTGGGCAGTTGTCACATGGAGAAATTCTTTGGTATTGCACTCAGTTGAGAAAACCACATCCTCGTTTATTCACATTATGCCTCCTATCACGATGTTTGTCATGGTTCATGAATTGAACCCTGAATATATTCAAGAAAGATACCCTGGCATTGCTGCAATTGACAATTGGAATTTCGCGAAAAGCTTAATCATCACATCGGTATACTATACCATATGGCAAGTGAGCTATCACTACTTCATCACAATAAAGCGCAAAGAGCAAATAGAAAAGGGTAAAGTTACTTCTTTCTCCTATTTGAAAAACAAGAATAAGTCAACACTATTGGGTAGATTTGTTAATGGCTTGCCTTATCTATGGATGCAAACATTGGCATTCACATTGATTCAATTTGGGTACCAGTTGTTGACAATGTTGCCTTGTCCCATATGGTATAAATACAAACATGCATGTGGCGGTTTTGTATGTTCAATATTCATATGGGCCAGTTATAATGGTGCTACTTGGTATATCGATGTATTTGGCAAAAGGTTGGAAAAAGAAGTTGACAAACTTAAGCTAGAAGTAGGCAAGTTACAACAAGAGAATGAAAAGTTACAGTATTCCCCAGTTTACCGGCCTCAAGCCGTAAACGATGATGTCAAATTCGTGGATTTGAATAACGAACAGGGTAAAGAAAATGTACCTATTCAAGAGATTAAAGATTCAAAACCTGGCGCAGTATCCTCTGCTATTTGATCATCGCCATACCCCCATGAACTTTTTTTTTTTTCTTTTCTTTTCTTTTTCCTACATCCACAACCCCACTCTTCCCCACACATACCTTATTCAAGGCGAAATAGATATTTATTTTATATACAAAGTACGTTTATCATCTTTAACTCTTCTTCATCCAACTGACTTTCCATGATTCGATTGTATTGTAAACCTCACACGACTCTTGGAAACAAAAAAAAAAAAAAAAAAAAAAGAGAGAGAGGAAAAATTATGAATGAAAAATTTGAATACGGAGAGAATCATAAAGATCAAACATCAGCCATGATGATAAAAAGCTCAGGTATGATCAAGTCTGTATCTAGCCAGGCCTTTGTTATTAGAAGGCTTATACATGCCACACCACTGCTACTTAAAGGTACGCCAAAAGCCACCCCAAAACTAGATACTCATTTGAAATTTCTCAAACATTATTATAGTCCAGAGTTATTGCAAAGCATACAAATTGCCGAGACGTTAGTTGAGCCACAGGATTACCTCGACTTGCAGAAAAAAGGCGACAGTGGTAGATCTACTGTTGCCCCCAAAGACTCCACATTCGACTACTCGACAAAGGATGCAGAATGGGAAGAACCAATACTATACCCAAATCAAGGTTTAGGACGAGTACCGTATCCACCCATACCACAAGTTCGTAGTCCCGATCGAGACGACTTGAGAATCCGTTTTGCAGATGCACCAAGAGGTGACAGTAATAGTGCTCACAATGTTACTGCGACCAAAACGACGTATCAGATTGCAAAGGAATTAAGTCAATTAACCGGGTTAGATGAACTGTATATACGCAACTTGTACATTAGACCCCTTGTAATGAAGCGTGTTTCGTTAAAGACAGCAAAGGGAAACATTCCTAATTTCTTTGTCATGTCTGTTGCAGGCGATAAGAACGGAATGCTTGGTTTGGGAATAGGCAAATCAAGAGATGGTATAAGAACCGCTGCAACAAAAGCCCATTGGAGCGCCGTGAAAAATTTGGCACCTATAAAGAGGTATGACAATAGGACCATTTTGCAATCTTTTGAAAAAAAATACCATGCTTCAAAGTTGAAATTTAGTCCCGCGCCAATTGGGTTTGGATTGAGATGTAATAGTAATGTGTTTGAGATTTGTCAAGCTGCGGGTATAAAGGATATTAGAGGCAAGATATTTAAATCAAGAAACCCTGTATTGGTTGCAAAAGGGTTTGTGGAAGCATTAAAGGAACAAAAGACAATTGAAGAACTAGCTTTGAATAGAGGTAAGAAGGTTGTTGAGTTGAGAAAAGTTTACTATTCTCAGTAGAAGCTAGACGAGCAAAGCGAGTCTAGTTGAAAGAGAGAAGAATGACGAGCAAAGCGAGTCTAGCTGAAAGAGAGAACAGAGACTAGCAAAGCGAGTCTAGTTGAAAGAGAGAAGAGAGAAGAATGACGAGCAAAGCGAGTCTAGCTGAAAGAGAGAACAGAGACTAGCAAAGCGAGTCTAGTTGAAAGAGAGAAGAGAGAAGAATGACGAGCAAAGCGAGTATAGCTGAAAGAGAGAAGAGAAGAGAGAAGACACTGCTAGTTGGTGGATATAGGACAGACATGAGTATCTCGTTTGAAAAAAAAAATGTACAATACACAATTGATTATAATCAGTAGTGAATTAAATCAGTTAATCAAACCCGGTCGAAAGAGTAGTTTCAGTATATGAAACTACTCTTTCGACTTGCTACACCACTTTTAATAGTTTTTGGCTTGTATATATATATACCACATAGATATGATACTCTGTATTCCCTTTCCTCCTCTAGAGTGGTAGAAAAACACCTACACATCTACACCTCTACTTCTACACCTCTACTTCTACACCTCTACTTCTACACCTCTACTTCTACACCTCTATAGTGACATCTATTTGTAATAGCTTGCAATAAGAGTCAAAGGGATAAATTAGTCAATGTGCTCGATAGTGTAACTAGTCAGAGTGCTCGATAATGTCACTAGTCAAGGCTGCTCGATAATGTCACTAGTCAAGGCTGCTCGATAATGTCACTAGTCAAGGCTGCTCGATAATGTCACTAGTCAAGGCTGCTCGATAATGTCACTAGTCAAGGCTGCTCCACTATCTCGCTTCGCTCGATAGTGTCGACAGTGTCGAGTTTAGGAAATTTCATCCTCGTTACCAAGTTACTAAAAAACAAAAATAGATATTATACAAAAAAAACATTTCGCCACTAGTAGGATTTTCTTTAACATTTTAAAAAGTCAAAGGTTTGGGGATATAAGAGAGCAAGTTTTGAGTCATGGTAGTAGATAGCACATACTATGATCTTCTTAATATAGAAACCACTGCTACATCTCTAGAGATCAAGAAAGCTTACCGGAAAGCGGCTATAAGGTTGCATCCAGATAAGAATCCCAATGATCCAACAGCAGCTGCGAAATTTCAAGAGGTTGGTCAGGCATACCAAGTATTGAGCGATGAGACGTTAAGAACCAAATACGATAAGTACGGTATCCAGGAGTCAATACCCTCAGAAGGATTTGAGGATCCTGCCGAGTTTTTTACGATGATTTTTGGTGGAGAAGCATTTAAAGATTGGATTGGCGAATTGAGTCTTTTGCTGGAATTATCCAAATCAGCCGAGCTTTCGGGGTACGCCGAGGATGAGAAGAAGGACGAAAAGAAGAAAAACGAGGCCTCAAGGTCTGGCGGTGAAGAGAACTTGGAGAACAGCAGAAACAATAATAATAACAATAATAATAATTACAATTACAAAAGGCCCCAATCATCTGGCTCTGCTGGAGATTACAAGTTATTGTCACATGCAGCATTTGATGAAAGCAAGCTAACGCACAAAGAAGAAGAGGAGAAAAAGAGGAAAGAGGAATTGGAAAAATTTGAAGAAGAGTGTCGATTGAAGAAGATTGAAACAAGGAATACGTTGGCTGAGAAGTTGACTAATAAGTTGTCTTTGTTCACAGAAACCGATATGAAAGAGGATGTAGTTGAATCATTTAAAGCCAAGATAAAATATGAAGCTGAATCTTTGAAGATGGAGAGTTTTGGTTTGGAAATTTTGCATACAATAGGACACATTTATAAAAGTAAAGCGAAAATATTTTTAAAGAACCAGACATTTTTTGGGTGGGGAGGAATTTGGTATTCTGTTAAGGAAAAGGGTGGTGTTGTTAAAGATACTTTCAGAACAATATCGGCAGCTTTAGATGCTCAACGTACTATGGAAGAATATGCACAGATGCAACAGGATAACGAGTACCATGCAAAGAAAGAAGCTGAAGAGGAAGAGGCGAAAAAAAATGCAGATGTAGAGAAAACCAAGTTGCAAAAAGAATTGGAAAATTTGCATCAGCAGCAGCAGCAGCAGCAACAACAACAACAACAACAAGAAGAAGAAGGACAATCAAATAAAGTCAAAGATGGTCAGGTTTCCAAAGATGGCTCTAAAGGAGTAGTGGAGCCAACCAAACATACCGCTGAGGAGTTAGCGGAGATGGAAAAATTCTTATTAGCCAAAGTCCTAGCGGCAGCTTGGAACGGATCGAAATTTGAAATTCAAGGTACATTACGTGCAGTTTGTGATCTTGTATTGGACGATGAAGAAGTTCCTTTGGAGCGAAGAGTTGCTAGGGCACAAGCAATGAGACTTATTGGTCAAGTATTCTCTTCAATGACAAGAACTGAAGCAGAAGATGAAGAAGCTAGAGTATTTGAAGAGTTAGTTGCTGAGGCAAGTAAGAAAAGGGAGCGAAAGAAGAAACCAAAGGCGGAAGAAACTCGTGTTTGAGAGGAGAAAGGGGAGTTACATAAATGTTTCTTTTCTTCTTTTTTTTTTTTTTTTAATAAATGTTTGCATCTTAAAAGTCGATAGTAAAAGTGCAAATGTCTAGCTATTGGAGCTGTACCATTTCTCTTCTCAACATTCTCTTGAACTGGTCCAACATTATCGAGCGAAGCGAGATAGTGGAGCAGCCTTGACTAGTGACACTAGTGACACTATAGACACTATCGAGCAGCCTTGACTAGTGACACTATTGTCACTATCGAGTACATCACTATCGAGTGAGCTTTTCATCTGTAGCTTAAATTGACAAACAGCTTACTACTTACTCTAGAATAGAATGAAATTTGCCAGAATATGGAACGGCATTGAAAATAAAAAATGGAAAAATATTGAACCGAAGAAGACGGGAAAAATGAAAAATAGTGAAATAAATATATAAGCGCTTTGAAGGCTCCACCAGCTTTGACTTTTACTCCCCGCCCCTTTGAGAAACTTTGAAGCGATGAGTACGGCGCAATTGATCAATAGTATTAGAGAAAAGTCGAATGCAACTGATCCGTGTACGAGATCAAACTATTTCCAGTTCAAAGTCGACGATACTGAATTGACATTATCTGTATCATTTGATAGAAAAATAATTAGTGGTTCGGTGAAATATCATTTAGTCAATACTGGAAACGCTGATGAAGTTATTCTTGATACGAGGTACTTGTTGATCAAGGATGTCAAAGTCAATTCCTTAAAGACCGAGTACATCTTATCTGAGCCGATTCCGATTTATGGTTCTGCTCTACATGTGCCATTGCCAACAACAATAGACCATTCCTCCTTGATTGTTGAAATTGACTTTGAGACTACCGATAAATGTACTGCTATTCAATTCTTTCAAGGAGACACGGGTCCCTATGTATTTTCACAGTGCCAAGCTATCCATGCTCGTAGTTTATTTCCATGCTTTGACACTCCAGCTGTAAAGTCAAAATATACATTTACTGGTAAATCGCCTTTGAAAGTAACCATGTCTGGGAGACCCCAAGAAACAAGTGAACCAAACACATATGTCTTTAGCCAACCAATTCCAATTCCATCGTATCTTGTCTCTATCACCTCGGGGAATTTGCACAAAGCACCAATTGGTCCACGGTCAGATGTATATAGTGAAGAACCACTGCTTGCTGCATGTAAATGGGAATTTGAAAAAGATATGGAGAATTTCCTTCAAATTGCTGAATCTTTAGTCTTTGATTACGAGTGGGAGAGATTTGACTCATTAGTTTTACCACTGAGCTTCCCATATGGTGGTATGGAAATTCCCAATATGACACAATTAACACCAACTTTGATATGTGGAGACAGAACCCAAACGAAAGTAATGGCTCATGAATTAGCTCATTCGTGGTCAGGAAATTTAGTCACCAATTGTTCATGGGAACATTTTTGGTTAAATGAAGGATGGACAGTTTATTTAGAGAGAAGAATTATTGGTGCTCTTGCGAAACAAGAATATAAAGCTCAGGGTAAAAGTGAAAAAGAGGCAGCAGAGTATGGTGAGAAAGTTAGGCATTTCAATATGCTTTCTGGGTGGAATGATTTGAAGGAGACTTGCAATACATTTAATCCAAAATTTACAAAATTGGTATGTGACTTGACTAACCAAGACCCAGATGATACATTTTCTAGAATACCTTATGAAAAGGGATCCTTCTTTTTATTTTACTTGGAAAGGAGACTAGGTGGACTAGAGGAATTTGATCCTTTTATTAAATATTATTTCCGGAAGTTTAGGTACCAGTCCTTGAATTCTTCTCAGTTTGTTGAAACATTGTATGAGTTTTATGAACCATTGGGGAAGAAAAACGTATTGGATAGCATTGATTGGGAGAAACAATTTTTCCAACCTGGATTGCCGGAAGAGCCACATTTGGATACAACTTTGGCAGATGAAGTTTATGCGTATGGTAACAAATGGGTAGAGTTTGTGAATAATCTGAACAATAATGAAACCGCTGACGTGCCTTTCACTGAGGCCGATATTGCAACTTTCCAGGGTGGGCAAGATATGCTACTCATTGATTATTTGGTTGAAAAGTTTAGAAAGTGTAAGGTTTCACCTCATCTTATTAGAAAACTTCCAGATATTTATCCTAGATACGCAACTAGTAAAAACGGTGAGATTAAATCTCGCTGGAATGAATTGTTGATAACTAATGGCAAGTATACTCCCGAGGACCAGTTGGTGCAAGATTTTGCCGAGTGGATTGGCCATACAGGTAGAATGAAATATGCACGTCCTGGTTATAAACTTTTATACAATGGTGTTTCTAAAGAATTTGCAGTTGATACATTTAAGAAATACCGAGATTTTTACCATCCTATTTGCAGGACTATGATTGAAAAGGATTTGAACTTGGCTTAGAGAGAGAGAAAGAGAGAGAAGAAACAGTAATAAATCAGATTACGTTAAATTAATTAGTATCTATGCAATAAGTGGTAATGAATAGAGAGGTGGCGGTTGAAAGCCAACAACTCTTTCCCTCCTCCTATTTTCTTTTTCTTTCTTTACTCTTTATTATTTTTATCTTTTTTGGTTTATTAGGCAGAAGTAATGACATTGGCACCAGCCACATCCTTTCTAAACTTATCCAATCTCTTTTGATGATCTTGAATAAATTTAATAACTTTTCTCCTATTTTCTCTCAAAATTTCGTTACCGATAACATCAATGGCATCTAGTTTCAATGTTTCCTTCAACAACATTTCTTGGAAAAAATTAAACTTATTAACGGCTTCATCTTCAGTTAAGCTTTTGTAGTCTTCTATATATTTATCAATTTCAGGTACATATTTCAGTTCAACGAAATCTAAGATATCTTGAATTTCACGGTTGGCTTTTTGAGCTTTACTCAACTTTTTCTTACCTGAAGATGATTTCTTCTTGTGTTTCTTTTCATCGTGCTCGCTATGGCCACTTTTGGTACCAGTTCCATTTAATGATGATGACGAGGGATTGCCTAATAACCTTCCTATAATGAATATAGTGGTCAAGGAAAACAATGTCAAGGACACGGTGATTGGGTTAACCTTCAAGTTTTTGAAGTCATCTAAGATTTCCTCGGCAGTCATCGACTTGGTATAATCAATGTAGGGCTGTAATTCTGCAAAGGACAATTGAATCTTTTGTTTCAACAATTCAATATAATGATAAACCTCATCTTTTGCAATGGGTATAGCGCTTTTCAATTGATCCATTTTTTTTCTAGCGTATTGAAACTTCTTTTTCGTGAAATATGCAAAGCCCAAAGTGACCGTGAAAGCGGTATTCTAGTAACTACCTCTAATCAATAACCTACACTGAATCGTTGTTCAAGTTAATTTTTTGTCGATATTTTTTTTTTCTGTCTTGGTGGTTTTGCTGGGGTGTTAAAGCCGCAAACGAAGTTGATTTCATTGTGCTCGTTTAAAGGGAAAGAGTGAGAAGGGGAGTGAGAAAAAGAAAGAGTGAGAAAGAGAGGGAGTGAAAGAGAAAAAGAGGGAGTGAGAAAGGGAGAAAGAGGAGAGAAAGAGAGAGTGTGTGAGTGTGTGATAGCTTACAATAAGAGTCAAAGGGATAAATTAGTCAATGTGCTCCACTATCTCGTTTCGCTCGATAGTGCGCTTCGCTCGATAGTGTTTAGTAAGTTAACACTAGGTACCTTTTTTTTGGCACCAAAATTAGGTAAAGTTGGACAACTTGGTAAGCGGCTAAGCTGAACCGAAGCAATTGCTTCAAAAACAAACTAGACTCTAACTATCAACTATAACTACTTGTTTAAAAGTCTTTTTTCTTTCATCATTGTAGTCGCTAGAAGCCCATCAAAACATTAAAGTTATTACTTTAATGTTTTGTGGCTGCGAAATTTGCCAGAGACAAAAAGAGCGATGAGATAAAAGCGATGAGATTGATCCACCAATTTTTCTCACAAGCTTTCGACACCTCATGTCATTTAAATTTGGGTTTACAAATGACGATTTTAGTGATGATGATATAAGTGGTGCTGCTGCTAGACACACTGCCGGTGATACTTTGTTTACTGTACCAAAATACAAAAAAGCACTAGATGCTATAGCACTAGGTGAGAATAATAAACCTCGATTCCATTCGCTTCATAGCATACTAGAGACATTAAAAAATTTGCGACTTACATTCAGCAACCTTGTTACACCATGCGGTAGCATTATCTATCGACGAGAACTATTCGATGTCAAGCATCAGGTTATGACCGAAGAAGAAGTAGCGGATAATGGAGATTTGAGGCAAAAAAAACTACGAGATTTGCTTATTGATGAAAATGTTGCTGATTTACAGTGTAATGTTTATGAAGGAGGATTCAAGAGTTGGGAGTGTTCATATGATGTGGTTGACAAATTAGCTAGCCAAGATCTTGATTTTTCCAGAAACTTGAGTATCTTAGAGATGGGATGTGGCACAGCAATACCTAGTTGCTACATATTAATGAAGATGTTTCAAACCGCTACTACTAATACAAGTTTAACATTGATATTGTCTGATTTCAATTATGATGTTTTGCGATTAGTCACTGTGCCAAATTTATTAATTCACTGGTGCCTGACATTGCCTATTGCAAGGTTACGAGAACTAACCACCGATGAAACAAACACTCGATTTAGTGAGGATGAATTATTGGTGACAGACAGACTAATTAGTGAGTTTGAGACTAAATTGGAGGAGGTTAGTTGCAGTCTTGTTTTTATTTCGGGACCATGGAGTCACGAGTATAATGCCATGGTACAAAGTTATAGGGTGAATTATATAATTAGCTCGGAAACGATATATTCTCCCGATTCGTTAGCTGTTGTAGCTGAGTCCATAATTGAAATTTTATGCCAGTCTCAAGGATCTCGTGCTTCAGCCATTGTTGCTGCTAAGAATATTTATTTTGGCGTTGGTGGATCAGTTATTGAGTTTTTCAATTACTTGAAATCGATTAAACCTGACTCGGTCACGGTGGATGTGGAAGAGATTAACGATACTCAACTTAAGAGGTCAATAATAAAGATTGCGACACCGAGCGAAGGGACACTATCGAGCGAAGGGACACTATCGAGCGAAGCGAGATAGTGGAGCAGATATATATATATATATCCTGCCTTGACATTGAATAGAATTGCCTTGACATTGAATAGAGTAATCTAAACTTCATTTCTACTCGTAGTGCTTAAAGATCGCTCCACTAGTTTGCTTTGCTCGCTAGTGTCACTACAAAGTGTCGCTACAAAGTGTTGCTCCACTAGCTCATGACACTATCTCGCTTCGCTTGATAGTGTTGTTACAAAGTGTTGCTCTACTAGCTCATAACACTATCTCGCTTCGCTTGATAGTGTTGTTACAAAGTGTTGCTCTACTAGCTCATAACACTATCTCGCTTCGCTTGATAGTGTTGTTACAAAGTGTTGCTCTACTAGCTCATAACACTATCTCGCTTCGCTTGATAGTGTTGTTACAAAGTGTTGCTCTACTAGCTCATAACACTATCTCGCTTCGCTTGATAGTGTTGTTACAAAGTGTTGCTCTACTAGCTCATAACACTATCTCGCTTCGCTTGATAGTGTTGTTACAAAGTGTTGCTCCACTAGCTCATAACACTATCTCGCTTCGCTCGATAGTGTCATGAGCTAGTGTCATGTCGTGAACTCACCAATTACGTCAAACAAATTTATACCCTCTGTTCCAATTAAAATATTGCCAATAGTGTTGCAAAAGATGACCTGATTTTCGTAAATTACCAGCTTGTTTCGTAATTGTTGGTATCACACACGACCTCTACTACAATGGAAATGGTTGATATCTACTGAAAAACCTTTCCAACAGATGAAGAACGTTCTTCAACCTCGATATCTTTTTGACGTTAAAGACTTGGATAAGCATCTTATCGAACAGAAACAGTATGTACTTCACCCACTCCCCCTTTTTTTTTGTTTTAGGTTCGAGTGTTTTAAAGATGAGACCCATTTAAAATCTCCTATAGTAAGCGTCTATTTTTCTGGTGGTAGTATAACAGACAGACTGTTAGAGAAACAGAGAGATCCAGATTCAATAAGAACCAAGCATGAAAATATAATCAAGCAACTTATTGAAGATGAAGATATAGCCAAACCCCCATATACATCACACTACACTACACGCATACACACCACACTACACTACACACATACACACTGGGTTGGTTGTTATTCAAGGTTGATAATCCTAGAACCCTCATAAGGTCGTTTGTCAACCAGTTTTTTTTTTTTTTTGTCTTTCTTCTTCCAAGTAAAAGTTCTTTTTCTGCACCATCTGTCTTTTCTAACCAATCAGATTAAGTATTTCAGTAAGACTAACTGAAGAGAATTAACTGCTTGTATTTTTTCTCACTTCATACTTAAGCAAAAGGTTTGAGGTAAGTTTACAAAAAAAAAAACGGATTATGATACCACTAGAGAAAAAAACCAATTGAGAAAAGATTAAGCTTAGCTATTGAGAGTTGTTTTTTCATCTTGACATATCGACTAGTACTCATTAAGGATTATACTAACAATTTTCAACCAACAAGTCAGTTTTAGGAACAAATAGCCACTGCAACCAAAAAACCCCAAGTGTATAACAACAACAACCCGCATCTCTTACATATACTAGTACTTTCATTTTTTTTTTTTTATTCAATATATATTTTCCCAAAATGTTTATGAAATCATTACAAAGACAAGCCATCAGGTTTAATAGCACAGTTGCTAAATCCACAGCATCGAGAGCATTGTCGAATGCTTATATTGGAAAAATAGAGTCAAGATGGACTTCGTTACCAAAGGAAGATCAGCAGACATTAATAGAGGAATTGAAAGCAAGAATGGAATTGCCATGGCAAGAATTGACCCCAGCTGAAAAGAAGGCTGCATACTACATTTCTTTTGGTGAATGGGGACCAAGAAGACCTTTATATGCTCCAGGTCAAAAATCGCAAATCTTTTGGCTTGTTGCAGGCACAGTTTTGGGATCGATTGCTGTGTTTGTTGGTTTGAAGGTGTTTGCCGAACCTGAAGCACCAAAGACCTTGAACAGAGAATGGCAAGAAGCTTCTGATGAATACTTGAAATCCAAGAATGCCAATCCTTTCACCGGTTACTCACAAATCCAATAAACGCTTAATTGGGGGAAGAGAAAAAGAAAAGGAGAGAAAAGGTATCAGTATTGGTATTGGTAAAGGTGTAGTAAGAGAAGGCATGAAGGAGAGAGAAAATGGTGTTAAAGTTCATGTTTTTTTCAAAGATATTCCAAAGTTTGCTTGTGTTCTCTTTTATTTTTTTTTATAAGGAGCTTGGTTGCTTGAAACCAGCTTTTGTTCAACTTAGCATGGAATTTATTTATGCCACTTAAACATTGAATGCAAAATACGAAATTTATATATTAAAAATGAAAAGAAAGAACTAAAATTAAACAAGATGTAGCTTTTTGAAATATCTTTGTAGTTTTCCAAATGTACTCTATTTGCATCAAAACTCATTGGTTGTTTTTTTTTAAGAAAAAAAAAAAAAAAAAAAGAAATAGAGAGGACTACAAGAATAGAAGCAGGGTTTGACAAAAAGGAAATGATCTCACATTACTTTAACGATAAGGAGCATCAGCGTCTATACAGTATTGCAACTCCTGTTCCCATTTATCTCCATTATCCAATAATTTCTCTTTATTGTACAACAATTCTTCTCTTGTCGCAGTAGAATATTCAACGTTTGGACTCTCAACAATAGCATCAACGGGACACGATTCTTGACAGTATCCACAATAAATACATTTGGTCATATCAATATCATATTTATACGTTCTTCTTGATCCATCTGCTCTTTCCTCGGCCTCAATTGTAATTGCCTGTGCGGGACAAATAGCTTCACACAATTTACATGCAATGCATCTTTCTTCACCCAGCGGGTACCTTCTCAAAGCATGCTCGCCTCTGAATCTTGGTGAAATTGGACCTTTTTCAAAAGGATAGTATATGGTATATGGCGCTCTAAAGTACATCTCTAAGCAAATGTACATACCACGAGCAATCTCACTCAAGAAAAAGTATTTGGTTGCTTTACTCAATGCAGATTCTCCACTTTCATCCCAGTTTTTAGGTTTGGCCTGTCTGAAATTCTTTGGCCATGCCGATTGTGTAGACCCTCCAGTTGCAAGGTATTCTGTCGTTTCTGCCGCTAATGCCGGTCTAAACAACTGCTGTGATGATGATATAAAACGCGTGGCTGTGGTTGCCTTTAGTATTGGCGGTGTCTTGATTACTGCTCTAGCCATGGTTATAAGTGGTCTGGACATGTTGGTGAATAAAAATTTCTAAACTCTAGCGAGACTTTTGTGTGCGAGACTTCCTGATCTTTGGTGATTGGTTTTTCTTTCAACCTCAATAAGAAGCTTGGCTCAGGATATGGACTGTAGGTGTATTGAACCACTAAGCAAGATAAGTTTTACTGTTCGTCTAGTTGAACCCTTACTAGAATTGGAATGGGTTTTTTTATTTTTCATACTTTGAAATAAGACATGGTAGCTCTAACATTAAATTCCAAGCATAAGCAGAAAAAGATTCTTTTCTTATTGGCTGATTGGTTTTGTAGGAGAGAAAGATACAAATTATTGAATATAGGGGTTGGGGGGGGGGGGGGGGGGGGGGTTAGGGATTGGAAGAGGGTCAAAGTCAACAGTCAATATTTTTAAAGTGACTAGTCTAGATGCCGATGTTCTTGTAGATGTTACACACTTACTATGTAGTCGCGTACTCTTCACCACTTTGAGCCAACCAAAATAGCTGTTGGATCAGTTGGTTTCTCAACCTTGTTGAAATGAGTCTTCATTAATCTCTCATTGCTTATTGAAAATTGGCGTTCAAAGTCAGTACTCCATTCAATGAATTTAACAATATCCTCGGGTTGCAAAGATAGGTCAAACATAGGAACCGTGTTGTATTTCATCAATACTTCATTGATCCAATCCTTTTCATTGACATTTGGCGCAGCTTGAATTTGGCCACCGCCATTTATGCATCCTTGCGGACATGCCATTATCTCAACATAGTCAACCTTAGAGGCATCAGCAATTTCTTCTGTTGTAGAAACTTTCAGCGCATCTGTTTTTTCCTTGACTCTTGCTCTTCTTCGCCCAGCTAGCGGATTCACCTTTGATGCAACTCCCCGAGCGTTTCCCGGCTTTATCTTCCTTACCAAATTCTGAATATTCCTGAATCCATTAACGATGCAAGAGCTAGCTAACGTTTCACCTTGATAACATAATCTCATTTCCCAAATATCTGAATTCTTGCCCTGTACTATCTTCATTGAAAAATCCTGTGGATTATAACCTTTTGAGATTAGTTCATCTTGATAGATTCGCAAGTATGTGTATGCATAACCTCCCGACGAGGACCCAGGATCATTCGACCATGAATACTGCACAAATGGCCAATTCGGTGGCGCAACCGCATTATAAACATCCTCAATTGGTTGGTTCATTATTAGCGGCTTGATCTTGGGAGTTAACTGATACTGGTTTTGAGATTCTTCCAATAAAGTGACTAGCTCTTTGGCAGTAAGTACGCAATCCACATCAGGTACAGAATCTCCCAGTAATAGTTCGGGTCTTGCACTTTCCAATTTCTTGTCAAAACATGGCATTAGGGATAAATGATAAACTCGTTGTTTGGGAACATTACATGAATATGCTGTCAAATTCTTCAATAAACATCCCGTGATTTGTTGTGATGACTTTACGGTTGACATCATCGGTAAAACATAAGGATGGGTTTTTTCCGCATATAGTACCCATCCCGGGCACACAGATGATAAAATCGGATTGGCAAAATTCTTCTCTCGCTGTTTCCGCTGTATTAAGCTCTTTGATTCGGTAATTAGCGATAGTTTCCTCCCTAGCGATGTACCTACTACATATTTGAATCCCATTTGATTGACAAACAAATTAACAAGCATTCGATCTATATCTTCGATAGATAAGTCATAGGCTGTCGCGAGAGACGCTCTCAGTTGCTGAGATATACTAGCAACAAATATCGTATCTTTTGCCTCCTTCGACTGTAGTGCTTTAATAAGTTCTTGATGAGAATGTTGGGCAACAAGTACCTCCTCCGCAGAGGTTATACACCCCGAGCATGCAAGGCAATCAGCTAGTGAAATCTGAGCTGGCGCTAGAGTACTAGTCTGTTTCTCATCTATTCGTGAAATTTCTAGTGGATTACCCTGATCATCCATTTGAATTTCAACTTCTCCAGGTTCTGCGGCATCTTTTCGCGGTTTCTGTATTTCGTCAACTGGTTTGATGCATGCTACTCCCGGTGATATAAAATCGTTCAAATCGTCGGCCGATAGTATAGCACTCATGGCAGTAGAGTCGAAAAGTGGTTTGCCCTAAGTTGAAGAAAATGCTGACAAAAGGTGAAATTTATATTCATATACATCTCTCATCTTGTCTCTCTCTCTATATATATATATTATTTTTTTTTTTCATTTCTTTTTATCACCGAGATAAGGATAAGCACACAAGAGGTATATCTATCTTTCTGATGGTATTTTAAATGGAGGAAATACACTCAGACAAACGGGTACACAGAGACAGGTGGATAGATAAAAGTTAAAAACTTTTTTTTTTCACTTTATATTGTTTCGGTAACTTGGGCAGTCTCCTCTAATTCGTCATCATTTTCCAAAGCTGTTTCGTCGGCGCTAAGATCGCCAAGTTCAAAATCGTTGGCACCAAGACTCGTATAAGAGTGTGTAACAATTTCTCCCTCTTCATCGTATCCCACTAATTTCAAATAGAACCATAAGCATAATAGAATCCAGAGAAAAGTGAGGAATGCTCCCGATGAGGCAGTAAGGATATATGCCGAATGGTCACTTCCTAAATCGTGCACCATCTGTAATTGCTCTTCATTTGCACCCATGAACAAGATCCCTGATAAGGTTAAACAAAAGGGGGGGATATATTGGAACGACAGGATATTTCCCAGTGGCGAGCTACACGATTCATCTTTTAGCACAAATGAAATCTCTATTATTCTTGTGAGACCGGCTCCCATTAAAGCGATACCAAACACGGCATGGACTTTTGTAGATATTTCCAAAAATTGAACATGCTCCGACATTGACCAGCCGGTGAAGATGAGTAATAATGCAGGAACAAATGTTCTTTTGTTGTTTCTTGACAAGAACATTCCCAACAAACCGCCTCCCCACCATATTATACCCATTGATGTATGTTGATAATCCCCCATATTCCAAGGTTCTTTACCCCACCTATGTTCTGTGAATGTGTTGACTATCCCCCAAAGCATCATCACAGTTGAGTCATAAAACTCCTGCGACCTCAACCCCACGGTATTGCTGTTTTTCCCCAACTGATGTTTCCTAATCCACGGGATTACCAAGACTACCGACAAGACAAATGAATAAAGCACGAATGCTGATCCCATTATTCCGTGAGCCAAACATTGACCCGTGTGCTTGCCGTAACAAAAGCCAAATAGTGCTATTGGTGCCAAGCATACCCTTACCCAGCCAGTAATTGTACAGAGCAAGGATAATGATTTATAAACCTTGTAGGATAAGCCATATTCATTATGTTTTCTTGCTAAATGAGGGTAAAATTTGTTGATCACCAAGTTGCTTCCATTGATCAAAGTACCCATAAAGATGGTAACCCCCAATAATATACTCAAGAACCAACTTGTACCCTTTGACGTTCTGTTTTCGTGGTTATCTACATTATCGGGGAAATCCAAAAAGATTGATTCGATTACCGAATAAGCCGTGGAGACACACTGCAACAATAAGGACCAGTGCAATCTATTGGCAAATGCTAGTGATGTACTTATGGATGGTATAATCAATAGCAAGAATAAAGTTGTAATCCAATGAAATGCTTTTGAACCAGCATTTATTGGATGAAACTCGGGTAAATCTTCACCCATGTCCATTGACGCTGCAGAGACGTAGGAAACACTACCTGCTAGTAATACAGCTAGCAACAGACGTTTTAAAGATGATATATACTGCATTTTTCGACCGCGTAGGTAGTAATTGGATAGCAAATTTAAGTCTACAATATGTATTGTATATATAGCCCTTCCTTTTGAAAAATATATCCAAGGATTTATATACTAAACCCTTAAACCGGCTTAATTGGGATATTTTAGATTTTCGTTTTTCGGATTTCTTTCAGCTTTGTTTGCATTATTGTATTGTATGGTGTAGAAATTTACCCAAGTGGCGTGTTTGACAATCTCGTGCAGGCAGCATTGAACAGGACTAGTTTCTAGCCAACAAAAGATGCAGAGTTACAGAGAAAACAAGATACACAGAGAATACAAGATACAAGACTTTGTCTCTAAATGAAAAATACACACGCGTTTGGTTGACTTTCCAGTAGAGCCCTAAGTCCAAGGTTTACTTTCCAGTAGAGCCCTAAGTCTAAGGTTTACCTTTCTTTTTCATAATTGATCAAAAAATTGGAAAAAAAAAATGAGGAGGAAAATCCTCAATTTCTAACCACCGATCGGTAATTGCTTTTTTGTTCACGCGCAATTCCTATATTGATTCACACCAATTTTTTACACTACAAGTGGTTGAGCTATGACAGAGACTAATATCTACAGCAGATGCCACAATATCTATCACTAATATGCATAAAAGAGAAGGCAAATAGGAAAGAGGCTGCTAAAGTAGAGTCAAGTAAGAAGTTGTAGGTTTCTAAAAGTTGTAGGTTTCTAAAAGTTGTAGAGGTTTTATGTTTGAGGCTTTATGTTTCTAGAAATTTTATGTTTCTTGATGTTTTATGTTTTATGTTTTATGTTTTATGTTTTATGTTTCTTCTTGTTGAGTGGTAGATTTGTAGATTTGCTAGAGGCGTGTTTTGTCGCAATTCAGTGTCTCATTTTGACCCTCATTGTCAAAATGAGACATTGAAATATTTTAACTCTCAACTAGCATAGGTGTTCTTATGTTACAAAGAAGCTCAAAAAACCCAAACTGGAAAGACTTGGTAGTAGAAGTAGTTTAAGCATATATATGCTACTATTAGCCCATCTCCCTACTCCTACTCCCAAGTTTGAAGGGTGCCTATTACTCTCCTCCTCCTCCTCCTCCTCCTCCTCCTCCTCCTCCTTCTCCCCTTTTCTTCCTTAAACAATAAAAGAATTTAAACCACATTTCCTAAAAGAGAAAAAGATAAAGTGCCAATAGGCTGAGAAAAAGAGCCCTTTGTTTGACGTTGAATTTTATGGACAAAATTACGAGTATTAAATTTTTCGCATTTAAAGAAGGAACCTTTATCCCGAAAGTGGGCGATTAACCTACTAGATTTACACTAGAAGAGCTTATAAAACTCATATACTCATTGCTGTTATTAGAACACCTTTAGTTTGAGTGTTTTCTATTTGACTTTATCTGCTGAAGGAGCCTTTTTGTTTCAGTAGAGATGTTTCCAATAAGGCTATTGCTTTACATATTACTATACCTAGTGTCGCTCACCTATCAAAACTATATACCGCCACGAGACTATAACAAGAACAACTATTTTCTAGTTGAGCTAAACACAACAAATAGTCAAAAACCATTAATAGATTTCATTTCTCAATATCAACAAGACTACAAATTTGAACACCAAGTTGCATCGCTAGATAATTATTACGTATTCAGCATAGACAAGTCACACCCTCATAACTCATTCTTGGGCAACCACAACTCAAACAACTATAACAAGATAAAGAGGGCAACAGGATATGAGGATATTCACGATCATTTGATCAATACGGTTGAATCACTACATATGTTGCACCCCAAATTATTGTCAAAGAGACTCCCCGTATTTATAGAACCAAAAGATGACAATGATGCTTTATCAAATATCCCATCATCAGATAAGGATCAAGCTCATCAAAAGTTGGACTTTATTGCATCTGAATTAGATATTCACGATCCTGAATTCTCTAAGCAATGGCATTTGCTAAACTTGGACTACCCGGGACACGATGTCAATGCAACCGGATTATGGCTTGAAGATGTCTTGGGCCAGGGCATAGTAACCGCAATCGTGGATGACGGATTAGACGCCGAGAGCAACGATTTGAAAGACAACTTCAATGCTAAGGGATCATGGGATTTTAACGACAACACAAATATTCCATTGCCTAGGTTGTTTGATGACTACCATGGAACTAGATGTGCCGGCGAGGTTGCAGCTGTGAAGAACGACGTTTGTGGGATTGGTGTGGCATACAAGTCTCAAGTTGCAGGTATAAGAATTCTCTCTGGTCCCGTTACTGCAGCTGAAGAAGCAGCTGCAATGTGCTATGGATTGGATACAAATGATATATATTCGTGTTCTTGGGGCCCAACCGATGATGGAAAGACTCTAAGTGAACCCGAAGTTGCGGTTAAAAAAGCAATGATTAAAGGAATCCAAGAAGGGAGAGGAAATAAAGGTGCCATTTATGTGTTTGCACTGGGAAACGGTGGTCGGTTCAGCGACTCTTGTAACTTTGATGGTTACACTAATTCAATATATTCAATTACAGTAGGAGCTATAGATTACAAGGGCTTACACCCTGTTTATTCAGAAGCTTGTTCTGCTGTTATGGTAGTGACTTATTCATCAGGTTCCGGTGAACATATTCACACTACAGACATAAAGAGGAAATGCAGTGCATTGCATGGCGGTACCTCAGCAGCAGCACCTTTAGCTAGTGGAATATATTCCCTAGTTCTCGGTGCTAATCCAAACTTAACATGGAGAGACATGCAGTATATTAATGTCTTAAGTGCCGTACCTATTAACGAACAAGATGGTAACTACCAGAAAACGGCATTGGGAAGGTTGTATTCTCATAGATATGGTTATGGTAAGATTGATGCTTATAAGATGGTCGAGTTTGCTAAATCTTGGCAAAATGTAAAGCCCCAGGCTTGGTATTATAGTGATATTGTTGATGTGAATCAACAAATTACTATGAACCATCCCCAACTCAAAGGAAGGGACGAAGGCGACAGTGAACCTTTAAAGATTATCAAATCAACCATAACCGTTACTGAAGAAGACCTCAAAGTTATGAATGTTGAGAAGGTAGAACAAGTAACAATAAAAGTCAATATAAGGTCATCGTTTAGGGGCAGGACTGGTGTTAGATTGATTTCGCCACTGGGTGTGATAAGTGATTTAGCAACATTTAGACCGCTTGATAGCTCACTGCGTGGCTTTAGCAACTGGACGTTTATGTCAGTGGCACACTGGGGGGAATCTGGCTTAGGTGACTGGCAGGTTGAAGTGTTTTCAGATGATTCGAAACAGGACCCAATAGATATTTCTTTTGAAAATTGGCAATTGCGGATATTTGGTGAAAGTATTAACGCAGACATGGCGGAAAAATATGATTTGTTAAAGGACTATGCTGCTGTTAGAAGATCAAGAATCGAGGAGAATAAATCAAAGCAGCCTCAGACTAGTACTACCGATACTACTACTGATGTTGCAGAAACAAGTACTGAGATGGAGGAGGAATCATCATCATCAACACCAACACCAACACCAACAACAACACCAACAACAACACCAACAACAACAACAACTCAACCAAATGAAGAAGAACAAACTACTTCCACTGAGCAATCGGAGACGAGTTCAACTTCCTCCACTGATGTAGAAACCGTATCTGCATCCACTGAAACAGTATCGCCAACAGATAGTCACAATGATGAAAATGATGAGGAGCCAACCGATGAACCAGATGATGGCAAGAATAAACAAGCCTCTAGTAGCCACACAGGACAATACTTCATGGCTATGGCAGTAGTTGGATTTATTGCCGTGTTGTTGATTATGAAATTCACTAAAACACAAGGTTTTAGTCAACGCCGTAGGGGAAGAAGAGATGATTTTGAATTTGATATTATTCCAGGTGAAGACTATACTGATTCCGAAGATGAAGATGAAGATGGTGCCGAGCGCGAAAATAGAAGAAACGAAGACTCTTTTGACTTGGGACAAAGAACTGAGAGGGATATTATTAGACAAGACGATGAGGCTAGAGATAGGCTATTCACTCAGTTCAATGCCGAAACTTTACCTGACTATAATGATGATATGTTCAAGATTGATGGAGACGATGATGAAGATGATAGGTTGAGCAAGAATGATAAAACAAAGAAGAAATCTGTTGCTTTTGAAGATGAGAGTGAGAGAGGAACATTGTTGACGAATGATTCTAATGATTTTGGAAAGAATGAAGGCTCTGCTCTGATTGAAGATAGTGAAAGAGGAGCATTGTTGGCTAATGCTGAAAGAATTGAAAACCTGACTTTGGCCGAAGATAAGAAAAGTGGAGAGTAAATAGACGTTTTGAAGCAATATGAGTTGAATCATGTTTAGAAAAAATGGCATTATAGACTTGAAGGGACGTAAAAAAACTTTATCTTATATTTTTCTTCTTATTATTATTTATATCTTTATTTATGTGATTCAAAATGAAATTGGCTGATTGGTAAGCAGTACTATAGAGATTGCAAGATTGTTAGAAGGCACTAGAATAGAAAGTAAAAAACTTCACCACGTTTTTTTCTAGTAAATAGCTTGCATTCATTTGGACTTTGAGGGAGGTTGAATAGGAAGTTAACTGAATAATTTATATTTCTTTTTTGTAGTAAGAGCAATTTCCATTTTCAGTCGCTACAAAAACTCAAGATACCATGTCTCGCAACAACTCTTGCCACGTAGTGTAGAGAAAACTAAAGTAGAGAGTAACTGCTAAATCCGAATTTCTCATTGAGTTTTTTGTTTTTGGTAATAAAACTTTCTTCTTTCAAAACACAGGTTCGTTACATTATTCCTCTAGATTGTCTATTCACCTGCAAATGATTGTGTTGTTCATGCTTGGGTATATTGTAATAGCCATTATGAAACGTCTTTTTAAAAGGTAAGCCCACACTCTAGCAAAGTCTACTAAATAACATGAATGTGAAGCCTCTATCTGATCTTAGCAAAATACACAAATGGCACACACTATTGTGCCTATTGTGCCTATTGTGCCTTTGTTTCTACCCAAAACGGAAACTTTTTTTGCAGCAAAAAAAAAATTGAAAGAGAGGAAATGCTTTTTTTTGCAACATTTGTGTTGAAATTTACATCACTTTTTTAAACTATGAAGCAGACATATTTAATGTAAAAACACTTGAAAGTCGAAACAGCAAGAAACTTTACTATTTGACGCTGAAGACACATTCTTGAAAAAGTATATAAATAGTCTATGAATCCTTACTTTATTCTGATTTTAAATTGAATCATACAACAAACAATTAACTAACAAACAACTAACTAACAAACAACTAACTAACAAACAATTAACTTGAAAATGGCTGCTCAACAATCGAACAATAACGCTGAAAACTCAACCACAGCTTCTAAAAAGGATGCATCAAAGGATACCTGGTCAAGAAAAGTCAATGGCGGATTCACCTGTGGTAGCTGTACCATCGTTTAGTTGCTTCCTCATTTAAAATGTCATTGGTGTTTATTGAGAAAAAATTAAAATAAACTAAGACACGCTTACAATAGCAAGATAGCGACGTATAAAAATATAAGGAAATATAATTAAATAAGTAAATATAATCAAATATTATCGTTATTTTATTATTTAAGAAGTTCAAGAGGATAGTGGGATCTGATCTCTGGGCGGGTGACTCGATACTTCAATTCTCTCTTGTTGGACATGGCAAAAGGTATTCTTACATTTTTTTTGTCAAGGACTTTTGCTGTACCAGACTTTCTTTTTTTCATTCTTTTTTGTTTCCCTGGCGCTAGTACAAAATTTAGGATAAACCGATTTAATTTGGAGCCGTTTCATTCTAAGTTTTTCATCTTTCAAGCAAAAAAAGACAAACACTTTTGTTTTGCAAAGATAGAAAGGGGATAAACGACAGGAATAGATGATTCTTTTTAAAAGAAATTCTTTTGATAGAGAAATTTGAGAGTAACAGACAGGTGAATAAGTATTACTGAATATGTTTATATCTATATCTCTACTCTATAAAATGAACCCAAAAAATATAAATAAAAACCGATTAACAGGACTATTTGAAGTCTATCCATTAACCAACCAGAACTAAAAGCACATCGCGACTCACCGTCTCTTTTTTCCAATACCAATCTTTACCTATTTTCTAATAGCAAAGCCAAAGATTTCACCAAAGAAAGATCCTTCAAATTTACTTTCGTAAGTTTTAGCGCTAGCTTTGATCTCAGCCATGATTTGAGCTTCTTTTTCTGCTCCTGATAATTTAACTACTGGTGCCATTTTAATATCTATTGTTGATTTGTAATTGTTAGCGTGGAATAACACTAATTCTGAATATTGTTAGTAAATTGAGTTTTCAATGGTATGAACGAGTTCTTTGTTTTAAGAATATAATTGAATATTTATATATCTTTCGGACTTTCTACCGAGAACATGAGTCAGTGTATAAAAGCCTTTTTTTTCTTTTTCTTTTTCTTTTTCTTTTTCCATCGTTCCGTCTAAAAGATAACACCACGAAATCATGAAAGTTGAGAGCAAAAGGAATATAATAGCCCTTAATTGACTCGGGCGTATGGCCCTTTTCTTGCCTTGCATATTTGCTTGGTCTAGCTTTGAGATTAATAATATCGCGCGCTTAATATTTGCATAATATTAACGGAAGAATTAATCCGAACCGTTATATTGTTTTTTGATAGAAAAACTAAAAAAAAAAAGAAATGTTTTTTTATTTTAAAAAATGGCTCATGGGTGAATGGGCTTTGAAAAATATTGATAGTTTTCTTTACCAAAGTGTTGATTCCATGGAATATGTAGAATATACAGTAGTTTGTTCTATACAAGTACTGTGATTTGTAAGTTCACATGGGTTTATGAGGCAATGTCAAGAAGCTCTTCAACATACCTCTGAATTTAATAAAAGGCTATTTGATTTTTCTTTTTCTTTTTTTTTTTTTTTTTTTAAAAAAAATTGAATAAGAGGCGGAACCTTCTGTTGTATGTTGCAACGGTTTTTCTCACGCGGCATTACTTGTCCAATCAGGCATCTGAAAAGAAGAAGAAGCCGTATATGTGTTACACCAACACTATTGAGCGAAGCGAGATAGTGGAACAGCATTGACTGTCACCAACACTATTGAGCAAAGCGAGATAGTGGAACAGCATTGACTGTCACCGACACTAGCTGTTACCGATGTTAAAAAAAGATACACTGTGATGTTCTCTTTTTTACCATATCAAGCAAATTTCAGGACAAGCCTTAGTAACACTAAATGTTTGTGTAGAGATATGCAATTTTACAATGTAGCCACCATTTGAAAGAATTTCAATTTAACCACTACTCTCCTCTTTCAGTGCTCTCTTTCTCTTTCGAGTGCTCTCTTTCTATATCGACTGCTCGATAGTGTCGGTGGCAGCTAGTGTGCTCCACTATATCGCTCTGCTCGATAGTGTCGTACGAAGTTGCGCTGGTGATGGCTGCGTGAGTCATACTTTCCATTTTCTTTTTTTTTTTTTCTTTTTTTGCAACAGTTGGTTTTCGGAGTTTCGGATTGAAGGAAAGCAAGCATCGACAAAATTGGAGTGTATGGCTGTTAGTTTGCACGCTCGCACGCTTATCGCGAGCTTATCTCGTTAGGTTTGACCATCCTTTCGGCCGAGCTGATAAACGATGGAGCCCTCTGATATGGAGAAAGTAACATTGTACAGTGTATATCAAATGTAGTGAAGGGTAAAACTGATGTCAAGATTGATTATCTATTTTTAGAGGAGGAAGGTGTTGCTAGTGCAAAAAAGAAAAACAAAGAGGTGAAGAAGAGACGGTGAAGAGGTGGTGAAGAGGTGGTGAAGAGGCGGTGAAGAGGTGAGATAGTGTAGTGAAATTGCGCAAAAAAATGACGAATTGGTATTTAGATGACTCCAAGTTAACAACCATATGATAGTTGCGGCTACCATCATATGCTTTTCTTATTGAAATTGGTTCATTTATTCTTCTCTCCAAGCTATATAATACTCAAGAGCTACAAAGAGTTTGGCATTTCACATCTAATCTTCAGCGTAAACCAATCACGCAACCTATCATTTGCCGGAGTCACTGTCAATCCCAGCAGCTTATCACTCGATGGGCTACTGCTACTACTATTTAAAAACAAACATTCTTGTTTAATCCCGATATATTTTATCCTGGGATTGAAATTGAGGTAGTATAATGCAACATGTTGGACTTTGAGCCATTTATCGAATACAGTAGGATGAACCATCCCTAAACCTAAATTAGGTGCTCCACCTGCTTCATTGCCAATGATTTCCAAGTACTTTAGATTTTTTTGTGTCCTTAATAATTCACCCAAGTATTCTTTACTCTCAAAATAATCATCATCATACTTGTTTTTTGTTGGGAAACTTTCAATTCTTAAACTAGTTAGATCTAAGCACGCTAACATTTTGTAGTACTCATGTATGCCAAAATCATGATAATTGCCATTTCCATTATAAACATTACCCAGGACTACGTCTAGGGATAGTTTTCTGAGGGTGGTTTTATGATGGCTTGCAATGATTTCTATAACACTTATTGGTAAGTACATTTCCCCATCAATGCCCCCATTATTATTATTATTATTGTTGTTGTTGTTGTTGTTGTTGTTGCTATTGGTATTTTCGTAATCCCTTGTATAGATCGTTAGATCTAGTGCCTTCAAAGGTGGGATAGTTTTACATACAGTTTTAAGGATATCAATTCGAACTGGTATATTGAGCGATAGTTCCTGTAAATTGGTCAAGTAGGGAGCTATTGTTTCAATTATTGTTCCTCTTTGTCTACCATTATCATTCCAGTTGTCAATATTCCTAACGATTCTTCTGATTTGTAGGAATTTTAAATTGGACAAATTCACCGAGCGTATCAATATATTACCATCATTTGCTGTAAATGGCATATCCATAAGCGATAAACTTGTCATATTGGGCAAATACTGCAACTTGCTTTTAACAAACAAAGTTTCTATTTCTAAACCATAGTCCGAGTTTCTCTGTTCCAAATCAATAAAATTAGGTCTACAATTCAGACCCGAGAATGCCAATGCATTGAGATTTTTACTAACCTTTGCAGGATCGTTAACATTGATCAAGAGATTATTTACCAACCTCAATATTTTTGCCGAGTTCTGGAATGGAGTTACTTGAAAATTGGTAATATTGGGAAAATTAAAATACTCATAATAATCAACAACATACATCTCGTTACTGGTGTGATCGTGTCTGTAACCTAGTTCGTGTAAATAATTGGTAAACTTGAGATTCAAGATTAACTTATTCATCCTCTCCTTTCTAGGTAACCTCGACAAAAACTCTAATCGGAAGTTTTCACTTGTCCAAATTAAACAACTCAAGTGGTTCAATTTTTGGAAAAATAGCATCAACGAGTCATTAATGTCATTGGTGTACATATTCACCGAATCGGGCATATGTAAACACTTGAATGACCTGACAACTGGCGCTTGACTTTGTTTATTGAAAGTATTAAGAAACTTTTTCAAATTGAAAGCACTATTGATATAAGTTTGATCAACTGTGGGGAACTCAGTGTCAAATATGTTGAAGTTTGTATCAATTGTTATATTCTTGTATAGTCGCATTTTACAATGGTCATATATTGTCTTGCTTCCAGCCCTCATTAGATTTAAACAATCAAATTGAGATAAATGGGATATGATTGTTTCAAGTATCTCCAGCGGTAGGCTTTTAAGTTGGAAAGAAGGGGGGGAGGAGTCACTAGTCAGATTTGCTCTGTCAGCTAGTGGTAAGCTAAAAGGAACCTCATACGTTTCGTTTTCAAAGGTGCTTTGGTGAAGCCAATTATGCTGTTGAATGGGAGACTTGCTATATCCAATTGGAGTATTGATTGAGTATATGAAACCGTTAACTAGATTGCTCATGGTAAGTGGACTTTTGCTTGTCTTGCTTGTTTTGTATTTCCCTGTCTTTTTCCCTGAATTTTTCCCTGAATTTTTGCCTCCTTTATACCAATCACCTAAACCAACTCATACCTTTGACCAAACTAATAGAGTATTGCTGATGAGCATTAATTAGCATAACCTTATAACTCTGCCTCGAGATGTAGGTATACACTTGGTAGCATGTCATATGGTAGCATGTAATTAATAATATATGAATATATATATATTTTTTTTGTGGGGAAAGGCGGCAATGCAACACTATCGAGAAGAGCGAGATAGTGTTGTAATAAGCTATTGGGAAGTAGTGTCGACACTATCGAGCAGAGCGAGAGAGTGTTGTAATAAGCTACTGAGTGTTGTATAATAAGCTATTGAGTGTTGTAATAAGCTACTGAGTGATGGAATAAACTACTGAGTGTTGTAATAAACTACTGAGTGTTGTAATAAGCTACTGAGTGTTGTAATAAGCTACTGAGTGTTGCTCCACTATCTCGCTCCGCTCGATAGTGTCGCGTCTCGCTCTGCTCGATAGTGTCGCGTCTCGCTCTGCTCGATAGTGTCGCGTCTCGCTCTGCTCGATAGTGTCGCGTCTCGCTCTGCTCGATAGTGTCGCGTCTCGCTCTGCTCGATAGTAAAGCTGATGTGGTCATGGACTAGAACTGCCAAAACTGCGATCCAGTTTATATTTGTGTAGTCACACGTTGATATGTCCTATCAGTATAGCTTGGATTACTCTATTACTATACAATAGTTCAAAGTTATATACGATTGACAATCGTACAATATATACGCTATAGAGCAGAGCGAGATAATGTCAGTGTTCTCCACTATCGAGCGAAGCGAGTTTGTGGAAATTGTGGAGTCTCGCTTTGCTCGATGGTGGCAGCTAGTGTTGGCAGCAGCTAGTGTCGACTTTCTAGCAGGATTACTTAAACCGTCGTTACGTTTTGATTAGTTAATAGTAATTAGTCAGTGTAGTGACACTATCGAGCGAAGCGAGATTGTGGAGATTGTGGAGTTTCGCTTCGCTCGATGGTGGCAGCTAGTGTCAGTGGCAGATAGTTTGCTCCACTATCTCGCTTCGCTCGATGGTGGCAGCTAGTGTGCTCCACTATCTCGCTTCGCTCGATGGTGTTGGCTCGATAGTGTTGGCTCGATAGTGTCGGCTCAACAGTGTCAGCGGCGTATCGTTTCAGTGCGCAGGCGAAAAAATAAATTATCAAAGATCATAAGAAAAAGATCAATATCAAATAAGTAATCATTAATTGTACAAGGTGAGATAATCCAGTGAGGGGTCTTTGTATGTGGGCCATTGCCTGAAGGTTGTTAGTAATGGAAACAGAAGCAATACAAGAGGATTTTGAGAAAAGACTAGCCGAAGAAGTTGGTCACTTATCGACTAAACTTGTTACTGCGGTGAACAAACAGGTTGAATTAGAAGAAACGGTTTTACAGCTACGTAAGCAACTACATGCACTCAATGAGAGAAACAAGGCTTTGATCAAGAGCGAGGAAAGTTACAAGTTGATTTTGCCTAAATACATAGAGCTTCAGGATGAGTATAAGGAGGTCAACATCAAGAAACAGGTTGCTGAAACAGAAAATAAGAAACTCAAGGGAGAAGTTGAAGATTTAACAGCTTCCTTGTTCGACGAGGCCAATACTATGGTTTCTAATGCCTCTAGAGAGACACACAACTTCAAGGTTAAAAATAGAAAATTGTACGAGGAGATTGACGAGAAGAATATCATAATAAGCAATTTGCAAGAACAGTTGCAGGATTTGAAACAGATGTTTTTAAAGATTGAAGACCAACAGCGATTGATGCAACATACCGCCACCACCGCTGTGAGTACTCCTCAAAACGAAGAAGACTCGCAATTCGACAAGAGTGAAGGTGAAACTATGGCAACGACAGATGACAATGACCATAGCAACAAATTCCAGTTGCAACAGATATTGGCTGATACGTTGTATTCACCACAGATTATGGCCATGAGATTTGATTTGAATAATTTTAATAAGGACTTTAAGGGTTTTGTATATACTTTGATCAAGCCAGATTTCCAACTAGACTTGACCCATTTGAAGAACTTGATATATTTTAAAAACATATGGCTGGATGAAATCGAAAATGCAATGACTTATATTCCTTCATTGCCACAAACTACTATTTTGAATCGATGGCAAAAGAGCAAAATTTTCTGGGGGTGCTTGATTGATGGAAGGGTATCCATCGAACCTATTAAGGGATTTCATGAACATTTAAAGACGAATGGGAATAACAAAGTGAGCGATGATTTGTTATCCATCGCTATACGAGAACCATGCAGTTTCTGTGGGGAATTTAGAAGTGAGAATTACAGCCATTGCCGATTGCATTATTATAAGATGTATGAAATTGACGAAGGTATAGTTGCTTCGTATCCTCTATGCAACTTTTGTGTGATCAAGTTGAGGAATTTATGTGATTTTTTTGCCAAGGTGAGGTTAATAAAGTCTAATATTTTCAAGTTGCAGCAAAACAATGCTTTTGAGGAATATGCACATGTACCAACGGCGACCTCAAATTTTTACAAGAGGTCCAATTCAAGCCTGCACACTATGACAACAAATGTATTATCTATGACTTCAACGTCTACTACTGCTTCTGTAACAACAAATGTTTCTAATACCGCTTCTGCGCAGCCACCACCTCCTGCTAGTGATTTTATTAATGGTCATGTGCATGGAATTGAGTTGGACGAAAATGAGGAATCCAAACTAATTAAAATATATCTTATGTTAACACTTATAAGGTTGAAAATATTCTGGAGTAAATTGGGTATATGGGATAATATTGACCAAATCAACGAAATCAATTTGGATGGAATCAACTATGAAATTTTTATACACTTGTTACCTGATTCTAAGAGGAAAAAAGTCCACCATAGTGTCCCCACCACTCCACGACAATTTGAGAGACAGCGAACAGTGGGTGACGTAGCAAGGAGTAATGAACGTTCACCACATAAAGTTGAGAGTAATAAGGATTCATTTAGTGCTACTGAGGAATATAGCAAAACATCTCAAGAAGAAGAAGAAGAAGAACGACAACAAAAGGGCAAGAAAAGTGTAGTTGAAAATGACGTATCGAAACCAAGTACAGAAACCAGAGTGTCTCTGTTGTCAAGACCCAAAAATGTACAAGACAGAATCAATTCCCTTAATGCTCAGGCGAATCAGAAACCAGTTCAACCTACAATCAGTAGCGATACTACAAGAATTGTTGGCACTGCAAATACACCTAATGCTAGACGTGGCGCTGATTCTGTACCACAGCCAAGAAACAAAGTTGAGGTACCAATAATAACGGCCATTGATGATAATGGACAAACTGAGGAGTCTCTGGATGCGTCTGCTCAAAGTTCAAGTACGGAATGCTCAAAAAAAGGTAAGCAGGGACAAAATAAGAAGAATGGAGGTGGCACAGATGTCTCCAGTGAATTGACAAGAGCCAAATCTAAAAGTAAACTGTTTAAGGAAAAAATGGACAAGGATTTAAATGAGACATTGGAGATGTTAGCAGAGAATTTAGAGAGTTCGAATGTAATCTGAAAAGTAAAAAGAGAATAAGAACTAGTAAAATAGTAAGAGAGCTCTGTATTGGTGTTTTTTCTCTATGCGACACTATCTACACTGACTAACTCTCATCACCCCAGCTCCTATATACACTGACTAACTCTCATCACCCTAGCTCCTATCTACACTGACTAACTCTCATCATCCCAGCTCCTATCTACACTGACTAGCTCTCATCAACACTATCGTTTGTATTAGTGTTTTTTTCTGTATTGGTGCTTTTTTTAAGACAGTTGTTCCTTAGTGGACAACTTTTTTTACAACCGAATGCTACCATATCGGTTACATATAAGAGATTAATTTTTATTTATTTGCAGTAAACAAATGCGTAGAAAGTGAGTTAGCTCCACTATCGAGCAAAGCGAAATAGTGTCGTATCCGGAACGGAAGTAATGATTCCTCTTAAAGTTTGTGCAATGGAAGTAAAAAAATATGATAGCTAGTCAATGTGTCGGGGAGCCAATTATATACATTATCGATAATGTTCTCACTATCGAGCAACACTATCAACACTATCGAGCAACACTATCGACACTATCTCGCTCTGCTCGATAGTTGTAACTAGTTAGTGATGATAGTGAGCAACACTTTGTAGCTTGTTGCAACATTATCTCGCTCCCCTCGATAATGGCTAGTCAATTCACCCCTCGATAATGGCTAGTCAATTCACCCCTCGATAATGGCTAGTCAATTCACCCCTCGATAATGGCTAGTCAATTCACCCCTCGATAATGGCTAGTCAATTCACCCCTCGATAATGGCTAGTCAATTCTCCACTATCTCGCTTTACTCGCTAGTGTCGAAAGAGCATTCTACAACTTCCGGTTTTTTTCCAGGAGACATTACAAATAATTGAGACCCTTTTTAACAGGATTAGGAATTTGGAAGAATAAACAAGAGGGAAAAAACAAGAAATTATATGGAATTTTCTACACAAACAATTTTTTTTTGCGACATTTTTGTAATCAAACCCTTTGTTTTCTGGAAATCAAAATTCACCCCCCAGCACATGAATAATTTTAACATTCTAAAAAACCGGAACTAAAACCAACGCATCAGAAGCAAATCTATTACACTACCATAGGAAATACAACAAGAAAATTATGAAAGAACAATTTTCCAACAATGCCATAAAGTGAATCTTATGGTATGGTGGCAGCTAGTATAACTGGAAGCTAGTGTGCTAACAGCTAGTGTGCTGGAAGCTATTGTGCTGGCTAGTGTGCTAGCAGCTAGTTTTTCTCCACTATCTCGCTCTGCTCGATAGTATATGTCTTGAATGTAATACTCTATCCATTGATATATTGAAACATTAAACTTGCAATGTTTCAAAATGGTGTTAGACGATGTCTGAAAATCAATTTACGACATTCAAACTTGACAAATACTCTCTCACGCGCTACACTCCCGTACCACTTTCTTCCTCCCGTACCACCGGCCTCTTCTTTCTCCCCGTACCACCGGCTTCTTCTTCCCCCCCCAACTTCGTACGGCCAGGTCGGTCCACAGTGACGGAACCAAACGACTTTGAAAAAATAACAACCAGTTGAGGTTATAAAAAAAAGGCCATTTCAATAAAGAAGGTCAACAAACATTAAAATAGGAGTGTTTAAAGGAAGGAAAGAAACGTGTTAAAGAGTCACCGAGGGTTGAGTTTAGTTTAAGAACCTTTTGTAAAGCCATAGAGAGCTATAGAGAGCTACAGAGAGGCTGGTTTGTGAGTTATGATGAGAAGGAAGCAAGGGGATCTATCTAGCGCACCCCCACTACACTTACCACCAGGACAAGGACAAGAATCATTCCATCCAAATCCATATAAATCTCAAGTTAATTCTCATATTGGCGACGAATTGAGCAAAACACAGCCTTATTCTTCAACAACACCTGCACAAACACCCTTTTCAAGCGTTTTGACAAGTAGTAACGCGACTAATCCAAATAGAAAGTCGTCGAGCTCTATATTTAGTATAAGGCGACATAAGGACAAGGACAAGGATAAGGATAAAGAAAGACATAACCGTAACGAAAGCTTGTCTGATTTGTCATCCAATGATTCTGCAAGTATAATGTCAGCAGGCACCCAGATCTCTTCGGCTAGTCGAAAACTGTCACATAATTATCCCATTCAACAACAACAACAGCAACAACAGCAACAGCAACAGCAACAGCAACAGCAACATCTACATAACTATCATCCGCAGAGTTCCTTGTATTATCTGCAGCTGCAAAGCCTACCACCTCAACAGAACCAGCATTCCTCGATTTCTGCTAGAAGCACCAGTACCAGTACCAATACCAATATCAATAACCCATTACCCACTTCTTTTCAAACGTCTCAATCACCGTATAATAAAAAATCATCAACCTATAGCATAACCTCCATTGGACTGGGAAAGTTAGCACCAGCGACTCATGACCACCACAATGTACAACTCACTAGACAATCAACTAATTTCTCCCCCAACAACTTTTCAACTAACTTGAGCCGCAAATCAACAAACTTGTCAATAAACTCACTCTCCAAATCAATCAGAACCCCAACATCAGAATCGGTTCAAGAACAGCTAATTATTGAAAAGCCGAGTTCTGCTTTTGAAATAGATCGAATGTTCAAAGAATTGTTGGAAAAAATAAATTTTAAAACCTTACCGCCACAAGCAGCTAGAGAGCTATTAAATTATGATACTGAAAGAAAGTGGATGATGATTGCTCAAGACCAACGAGCTGAGTATGAAAGGCAAAGCAGGCAAGCTAATGAGCACTATTCATTAACGCCCCGACTATATGCACAATTGTTATTACTGAAGAACATAACAAAACAACAGCTAAATGAATTGTGGGTTCAATTGCGTAGTGAGCCAATAGATTGGGTCAGAGACTTTGTCTATGATTGTCAAGGTGATACTTTGTTGGCTACTACTTTACTGAAACTTCATGAGGATATGGCAAACAAAAATGTGGTTGATATTGAAGATGAGCGGTTTGATGAAGAGCATTACATAATGAGGTGTCTCAAGTGCGTATTGAATCAGAAATTGGGAGCAGAAAGAATTCGAACCGATGTGGATATTTTCGTGAATGCTGTTTGTGGTTGTCTCTTGTCACCCCGGTTGCTAACTCGGAAATTGGCAACAGATGCGTTGACATTTATAATCAGTTACAACTCTAAGGATAAAGGAAGGTATCACAAAGTCTTGAAGGCTATTGATTCATTGAATGAAAAAGTGCGGTATGATTTTGAGGACTATGATGAAAACAATGCCAATAAAAAGAGAAGTCTTGTAAGAAAGCCACCGCCAACTACTGGTCATAAAAGATTCGAGGTTTGGTTAAGTTTGATTGAAAGGACTGTAGACGCAAAGGGAAAATTCAACTCCAACGTTGGAGAACGTGAAGAAGTGAGGTCTCAATATATTGGTACAACATCAAAGGAGAACCATTTTCCCGATTACTGTGCAGCTACATTATTGTTGATTAGTATTTTAGTGCAATATGGTGCAGATTTCCGAGTAAGAATACATCTACGTGCTCAGTTTCAAGCTGCAGGGCTTAATCGTTTACTTTCCAAGTTTCGAGATTTACAGGTACCTTACTTGACGAATTTAATGGACAAGTATTACGACTCTGCCAAGAATGATGAAGAAGAAATGAAGTTCACTCAGAACATAGATGAAAACTTAAATTTTAATGACCCCATCGACTTGATGCGCACATTGTGGGAGAATTTTAAGGATTCAGAAACGCAAGATCACTTTCTCAGCACAATGCAACATTTGTACTTGGTGCAAAGTGAAAGAAAGAATGATCAACGAGAACTAGGGCATAGTTTGCGAATACTCGATAATATAGTACAAAATCTTTCTTCCGTTCACACAAGCGACGAAAACACGGCAATTAACATTGCTATTAACAAGTTAAGCTCGAGCATGAGTACTGATGACCAGTACAGGAGAGCATTAGAAGAAGTCAAATATTACAGGAAAGTTGCTGAAGAAGCTACAGCAGAACGAGATGAAGTTTCAAAGCAATTATCAATGGGGGTAGATGGACTAATTACCAATCTTAACAACGAGATAAAAGAGCGTGATATGGTAATATCAAGGTTCCGCAGGACTAATGAGGAAATGAAGGAGGAGATGAACGACTTAAAGACGAGATATATGCGAGAGAAACAAGAACTGGAATTGGAAATGAGAGAGTTACTCATACTATTGAATAGTAGTGAGATTGAAACTAGCAAATCAAAAAGAGGAAAAACCACAACTGTGTCACTTTCGACTTCAAATAAAGAGTTAGTTGACAGATTGAAGAGGCAGATTCATCGCCGACGTGCAGAATCTCGTTTGGACAATAAACAACTTGGAACACAAGTAGAACCACTGCGAAGATTGAGGGCTCTAAGAGATCAAATGGGTGATATTGAGAACATGGCTAGAGAATTGGAAATGACTGAGTTTGAAAACTATATTGAAGTAACTGACGATCAAAATCAAAATCAAAAACAAACCCCATCTGAGCCCAAAGTCAAAGAAATCATTTTAGAATCAGAATTAAAATTGGAATCAGAGACAGGGACCGAGCCTGAGCCCGAGTCTGAGCCCGAGCCCGAGCCCGAGACTGAGCCCGAGTCTGAGCCTAAGCCTGAGCCTGAAACTTTATTACCTCCGCCACCTGTACCAGGTCCAAAGCGTGGGGTACGAAATGACGATTTAGTTAAACTCGATAAATTGAGGAAAAAATTGTCTAGCTTACAGAGTGACTCCAACGAGATCATGAAGTTTAATAGCACCACAATGCTTAGTAAACAAAAATACTTGGCTATGGAGAGATTGCGTGAGTTGGAAAATGACTTTAAAGACTTCAACATAGATTTTTCAAAACAAGATGAGGGTGAGTATTCTTTTGTGGCAACTGAAACCGTAGACGGTTCCATTAAAGAGAAGACCGAAGAAGTGCTTGGAGAAGTGGAAAGATTGCGGAACGAGTTGAGAAAGCAGTTGGCTGCGGCTCAAAAGTCTTCTCCATCGAAACGACTGTCCATTATGGAGAGAATTGAGAGTAAATTTGTGAACGGTCAAGTGAAAGTGGAAGCTGATGTACAACCGTCGAAAGAGATATCAAGGGAGAGTAAACGGGCGCATCGAACAACCACAATTGGGGTAATGGATCCAGAGTTCTTAAAAGAGTTGAGTAACAAAGTAAACAAAGCGGATTCTATTGATTCTGATAAGAATAACAATAACAATACTAATGATAGCATTCCTGAGAAAACAGAAACTGAAGAGACACCTGTATCATCATCATATCAGGCTCTATCATCACCACCGCCACCACCACCACCAGCTCCTCCATTGCCTCTGGATCATGTCACCAATTCCGCCTTGAACTCCATCCGTGTCCAAACTCCAACAGAACCAGTACCAACACCGACGGAAGCAGAAGCAACAGCAACAACTCCACTTCCACCTCCACCTCCACCTCCGCCACCTCCACCGCCGCCATTGCCATCACTTCTTGGTGGACTGTCAGTATCCTCACCATCACTTCCTCTCCCACCACCTCCACCACCTCCACCTCCACCTCCACCACCTCCAAATTTCTTGAACGGCTCAACAACCTCATCCGCTCCACCATTACCTGCTGGAATTTTGTCGCGCAAAGCACATACAGTATCATTCCTTCCTACTGCAGGTACAATCACCCCATTTGAACATATTCCTAGACCAAAGAAAAAATTGAAACAATTACATTGGGAAAAGATAGACCATACAGAGGCTGCCAATTCTTTTTGGAAAGAGCCCAAGACTGATACCATTGCAAACGATTTGATGTCCAAGGGTGTATTTGATGAAATTGAAGTGATATTTGCTGCAAAAGAGGTTAAGAATTTGTTAACAAAGAGAAAAGAGGATATCGATAAAGTTTCCTTCTTGAGCCGGGACATTGCTCAACAATTCAGCATCAATCTTCACGTTTTTAGCTCTCTATCCGAAGAGGAATTTATTGCTAAGGTATTACGATGTGATAAGGATATTATTAACAATCATTCAGTATTGGAATTTTTTGGCAAGGAGGAGATTACAGAGATTACAACCTCTGCTGCTAGAAACTTTGAGCCATATTCAACTGATTACAAAGTTGAAGAAATTGGGAAGCCAGATAAGGATCCTCTGGAGTTGCAAAGAACCGATAGAATTTTTTTGGAGTTGATGTACAACTTACAGCATTATTGGAAATCTAGAAACAGAGCACTCACTGTTGTAGCACACTATGAAAAGGATTACGAAGATCTTGTGCTGAAACTTAGGGCCATCGACGAAGCAGTGGACAGTATCAGAAACTCTACAAATTTGAGAGGATTGTTTGAAATTATTTTAACCGTTGGAAACTATATGAACGACTCGACAAAACAAGCCAGAGGATTCAAATTGAATTCATTACAAAGATTGAGTTTCATGAAGGATGAAAAGAATAGTATGACCTTTTTACATTATGTTGAGAAGCTTATTCGAATGCAATACCCCCAACTTTTAGAATTCTTGAATGAACTTGCCAAATGCAATGATATTGCCAAATACTCTATTGATAATATATACACCGATTGCAAAGAATATGTCCAAAATGTCAAAAATATTCAAAGCTCAATCGATATTGGTAATCTTTCAGATATTGCCAAGTTCCACCCACTGGATCGAGTACTAAAAGTGGTTATGCCTGTGTTACCAAAAGCGAGTCAAAAAGCTGGATTACTTTTAGATCAGGCTAATTTTACAATCAAGCAATTTGATGATTTGATGATTTACTTTGGAGAAGATCCCACCGATCAATTTGTAAAAAACTCCTTTATTAGCAAGTTTACAAATTTCATGAAAGATTTCAAGAGAGTACAAGCTGAGAACATTAAGCGTGAGGAAGAAATTAGGATTTATGAACAAAGAAAGAAACAACTTGAGACACCCCGACACAGTAGTAATAGAGAGAATACAGCAGGCGACCAAGACGTTGGAAGCAATGACGAAAGTGAATTTGGTGTGATGGATTCCTTATTAGAAAAGTTGAAAGCAGCCGGACCGGCAAAGGGTGAACCTTCTTCGGCTAGGAAGAAGGCAATGATGAGACGTCAAATCTTGGAAAGTCAACGAAAATATGGTAATGCAAACTCTACTTCACCTACTAGGAAAAATGCAAGTGACTCAGGTATAGACTCAGAAATAATTGCGTTACCGAATAATAAAAGCTCCGAAACTGTAACTTTAACTGATGACAACGAGTCGAATGAATCTAGAGCCAAAAACTTGTTGCAGGAACTTCGAGGTGCAAATGAGGAATCTTCAGATGAGACACTCTCTGCTGCTCAAAGATACAGGCAAGAAAGACTACGTAAAAAAAATGGTAACAATAGTAACACCAACACCAACAACAACAACAACAGTGAATAATAATACTAATAAATAAAATAAATAAAAGTCAAAATTAATTACAAATCATGATGACTATAACCCAATTTTTGGCAAACAAACCGTTGAAACTTCTTCAAGGTCGTAATCGAGGTACTGTAGTGCTTGCGATCTAATCTCGGATGGTGATGGTGATGATGATGATGGCGCAGAGTCACATCGAATGCGTTCAAAGTATGGCTTATTTAACGAAAATAACCCCGTGCCCGCATTTTTACCTTCGAAAGGACGATCAAGCTTTTTTAAATGCTCTTCCAATGTCAACTTAAATGTACAGTTTTTATTAAATTGATCAGTGATCATTTTAGTTTCTTCACTATTCTCACCCACAGATCGAAGTGCTATTATTGAGCCACTCACTGTTACACAGAGTATTGATATTTCTTCGTCGTTATCCTTTGTGCTTTCTTCTTTATTTGTATTGATCCATGGGTTATCTAATTTTGCACACAAAATTCTTGCAATACCTGGTAGCTTTATCGTAAATCCACGATCAATATACCAAAGAGCCGGTGGTTGGCTTTTAATCTTCATTACCGAGACCTCGCACGTCAACTTGTTACTTCCGATTACGGTTGATTTGTAGTTCAACTGACTAACAAAAGGCTCTGAGGGAGCCCTTCTACCTATTGCTTCGACCTTACCTTGATTAAGTGTACATTGTTGTATTGAGTCTAATCTGGTGCACACTAAAATTTTATCCTCTTGAACGGTAAAAGAAGTTACTTCACTGGGGAAAGAATGAATAGATTTGGGCGTTGTCAACCTTTTCTCATTTTCGTCATACAATGTGGTCCAAATAGATGAGCCACTAGCAAAAAGTAACTGGTCTTGCCATTGTTGAATGTGTGTAACTGGCCGTGCATGATCAAAAGTTGTCAACTCGAGGATCGCAATTCCGTATCCCTGATCGGTGTCAGTCTTTGTCTTTTTTAAATCTAACACTTTAACGAGACCGGATTGCTTGCCATTGTTTGACGACTTGGAACATCCGACTACGACCTTGTGTGATGTTTTTTTCCCGTTCCGATCGATTTCCCAAATGCAAAAACTAATTGGTATTTCGTCGTCATTAAATATAGAGCCTCCTCCCCCTGTGTCTTCTTTATTCTTGCCAACCATTTTGACATTACTCACAACTTTAAATGTTTTCCGGTCTACACATGTCAATCTGTCTTTTGCTACCTTTGATTCACAAAGAATCAAAAATAGAGACAAGTACTCCAAATACATCACCTTCTTCGATGTGTCCGGAATCTTAATTTGGCGTACCAATGCTTTCTTGTGCATGAATATTTCCGCTAAAACTAGGCCATTATTTCGAAACAATGCAAACTTTCTTTTTTTGACTCCTCCTCCTCCTCCTCCATTCAAAGGTAGTAGTATTGCTGCAGTTATAGAACGATATTGGCTTTCATTAAACACAACTCTCTCTGGATATTGGCTGTTTCGTGGGTCCACAATAAACAAGTCGTTGCAAATAATGAAAAGAACTTTACTTTCATTGTCACGCTCAAAAGTAATGCTCGATTCGGCAACCCTGAGACAAATATCACAAATAATCGAGTTCTCTTGAGGTACAAGCTTAAGATAATATCCATCTTTTGTACCAATAAAAATCTCATCTTCCACACAAACTAAGTCGTTGGGCACAATATCTTGTGTTTTAGGTAAATTCTTATTCAAGAGAAGATTCCTAAAGCTAACAGATTCCGCACGCAATACCACCACCACATCCTTCTCCTCCTCCTCTTTTTGTTCTTCAAATCGATAAAAATGAAGTCCTCCCAGGAAATCTCCAATTGCAAAATCAAATTTCCTGCCAAAGGAACATTTCTTAAGTAGACAAGGGTCATACTCGAGAACAAGAACCTGAGCTACAGTAAGAGCCTCCTTGAAACTCATAACATCATCAAAACTTTTATCAGTAAACCTGTACGTCCGTAAGTAAATCTTACCGCCATCATCACATATAACAATTAGAGTGTCATTAACAACCTCTGCAAGGATTAATGTGTACTCAAAAGATCCGGTAAGGTAAATGTCTGACAAGTTGCTTAGTACTATCGTATGCAGAGTTATCTGGATAATAAAGTGATTTTGCTTACTCCTCACAACGCATGCAAATATAGTGGTTTCTTCTCGATTGATCAAGTGATCTCCAATCTCCACAATGGAGTCCTCCTCCTCCTCCTCATCATCATCTTCTTCTTCTTCTTCCTCCTGCTTCCTTATAACTTCTAAAAGAACACTTTCAAACGGTAGGGAACACATCAAATACAAACATTCTTCGTACATTATTGTCCAAACGTTTGTTACTTTGCGCAATTTGTCATATATGCCTCCAATTTTGCAACCATCATATCCGGTTTTAAATAGTGTAAGTTTTGACTTTTTACCAAGACCTGTGATACCCCATAACTCCTGTGATGGACTCAAAATGGAATTAACTGGTCTACTTTTATTAGCCAAGGTCACATCTCGGATTGGGGCCCATGAAGCAAATTTCTCAAGTTGCTGAAACCTACAATATTCCAATCTATTATCATCGCTAATGTCCGTGTAATACTCTTTATTGTAAATCGACTCAAATATAAGCGATCTGTTTGAGCCGCCAAAACTTGTATATAGTAGGTGATAATCCCCCAGGCGACGTTTTTCAAGAGTAAATGCTGAAGGTGAGTCTGAAATTCTCAAAATAGGAGAAATTGACAAAAACTCATTATTCAGAATCAAAAGCGAGTATAGCACTCCATTGTCAGTTGCAATTATTACCTCATCTGACTGCGGTACCATGGTGGTCAGATTTATGATACTACTCTCACGCGGTAGATAGAAACAAGTAGGAAACGAGTTCCAAGGTGCATCGGTTCTTCGTAAACTATATTGAGCCGATATCACCTCATGGATCGATATTATAGAAAGGCTCGTTGAAGAAACAAACAAAAACGCACTATTTTTTTCCAATGGCACAATAAAAACTGGAATCTCAAAGGAATTTTCTAATGGGTATGTGGACTTGGTTACTTCTGTACACGAGCCAAAAAAGTTTGACCACGAGTATAGGTTGATAAATAATCTGCGTTGTTCTGTATAGACGAGCGTCAAGAACATATCTGTTGATGCTGAGCTCATGGGTTTAATAAAACACGAATCCACTAAAAACCCGCCCAATGCCACATTAATGTGATTTTTAAGAACAGTACCATTTGGCGATTGTGGGAGAACCATGTATAACCGGAACGAGTTTGAAGCTGAACACGAGACAGCCGAGAAACCGGAAGGGGATGCTTTCAAACTGAAACCGCTAGTGCTAAGGTCCAAGTGTTTATTTTTCAGTGATAGGTTCCACCATTGGATTATAAACGGTTTGAAAACCAAAAATTTTCGATCTTCATCGTTCAATTTTTCAGCCTGATACTCATAGTCGTTGTCGCGAACATGGATCGGAATCCGATAGATACGCAACAAAAGTAGGAATCCCGAAAGCAACGAAACTAGTAGATGATCCTCTTCCTGGGCTGCGCTTGCACGAATTACGCAACAAGACCTCACCGGTGCCTTCAATGGATACTCTATTTCGTCTATGACAAGTGATTGTTTTCTTACCAAAAGCAACGGGTACTCAAAAATTGGTGCTATCAGTACGGGCTCATACTTTGCTGAAGAAGTTGGTTCAAGGATATCGCCATAAATCTCATCTATCTCGTCGAATGCGTCTATTTGAGAATCTTCGTCTGTCGCTAGAAATGACTGGTATTCCCTATCGTTTCTCAAAATACCAAACAGCCTCTTGAACGCCTTGTTTGTTTTCACCTTGAATTGGGGAATTATATCCATAATTGTAGGCGACAATGCCAATGTTTGTTTAACAAATATTTGCTTCTCAACCCTCCCCAGCTTCTCTTCCAACTCAGCAATAAAAGACGGATACAGCAGCTCATCATTATCATCTAGTGAAGCATCTTCCATCAAAAACTCCTCTCCTATATTCATAATCCTTCTATACTTATTACCAAAGGGGGAGGCCCACCACCTCCGTTCAAAACATTTCTTCATATCAACATTTCTCGTTACTTTGTTTGGCATCGTTTCCTCTTTCTACTTTGCGAACCGCAATGTATGCGGCTCACTTTTTTTTCCCCAAAAAAAAAAAAAAAAAAGAAAAGAAAAACATCGCCAATTTTTTTTGCAACCAAATTTGTTTTCCTACTTTCAATTCCACCACTTCTTTTTCTTCTTCACCGGCTGTTGAGGGGTTAGTTGTTGAAGGTATTAGGCTAAAAGGATGAGATCCAAGAGACTTGATAAGATATACAACGGCTATGCAATTGGTATTAGTTTGTCCTTGCTGAGTTTTGCTGCTGGTATGGAAATGGTTTCATACACGAGTTTGAGAAGCTTTAATTTTTTTACCACTTTCTATGGTTTCCCCACGAAGATTGAGGTGAACTTGCTAAAATCAAGCAACATTCTTGGAGCTATCGGTAGGTAATTATACACCGTTCTAGATGATGAGGCAAGAGGGAAAAGAGGAAAGCAACTCCCTTTTCTTTATTCAAAGAGGAAAGCGACTCCTTTTTCTTTATTCAAAGAGGAAAGCAACTCCTTTTTCTTTATTCTTTCTTTTTTTTTTGGAAGGTAACGAGTCTAACTGAGAACCCCCAAACCCACCCCCTTCACTCGTGTGTACAATGTAGGAGGTAGCATAATTGGCGGAGAAGTTGCGGAATACTTTGGATTCGTCAAAGCTATGAAATTGCTCTGCTTGATCTGGATTCTGGGAATCATATTTACGTTTGTTTCCGAATCCGTTTCTATGTTGATTGTGGGCAAGGCTATCAAGGGTATGGCAATTGGAGTTGCCTTTGCCACGGTGCCAACCTACTTGTACGAAATTATTCCCCTTAGAAGACGCGCGAGAATGTTGACCCTTTTCACGTTTTTCTGTGCTTTGGGGAATTTGTTTATGTTCTTGTTGCCAATAGTCTTGTCGCATTCTTTACAAGGGGAGCACTATCTAAATTTCCATTGGTTGGTAGAGCTCATCCCTGTAACGTTTTTAACTATAGCCGTGCTCTTTATCCCTGAAAGTCCGAAATGGCTAGCTAGTAGTGACAAATGGACCAGAGCAGCGGATATCCTTGAGTGCATTGAATGGAAAAACTCGGGAAACTTGGAGAGACGCAAAACTAGAAATGAGAGAGTCAAGCTTGGCGACAAGCACTTTGTCGTTAAGAAATACTCAACTACAGTCGAGATCAAAAGTTGCAATATCAATGCACTTTTTGGCAGAAAATACATCAAGGAAATTACTGTGGGTATTTTGCTACAATTATTGGTTGATTTTATGGGGGTCTCAAAGTTGGCTGAGTCTTTGAATTATATTTGCAGTGCTTGTCAAATCACTTCTTTGGAAGAGCTAAGAATGGTGCAAACTTTTGTTTTAGTTGTCAGGTGTTTGTTCATGATTATTCCTATTCTAGTGCTTGACTCCATGAAGAGGAGAGATGTGTTGGTGTTTGGAGTTTCCATAGTTTCCATCGTTATGGTTTCTTATATGATCATGTTTTTAGCCTTTTCGGTACGGCGACCAGCACGTTCGGCTTATTTGAACGTTGATTGGGTTTTGAAGGTTGAGTTTTTTAAAGAGAGAGCTTCATTGGTATTGGCACTTACTGTTTTCATGGACGTTTTGCATTACGCTCTCATTCTACCCAGCAGCTGGCTACTCATTTTGGAAACTTTTTCCACCTCATCGAGAACTAGAGGATGGGTATTTATCTCGAGTTTGCACTGGTTGTTTGCGTGTTCGACATCCTTGGTGTTTCCATTTTTGTTGCTGCATCTAAACGGTTGGCTATTTTTCATCTTCAGTTTAGTATGCATGGCGGCGGTAGCAATGAGTTTTACTATTCAAGAGACGAGAGAAATAATGCTTTTAGACTCTAGTCAAATTGTGTTTGAAACAGCTAGGAACAAAATGGGGAAAACGTCAACTTTGATTGATACCAAAACAGATTCAGATTGAGAGAGATTTCATAGAGGTTGTCATTTATTGTTTTCTTTTTTTTTTTATTTTTATTTTTATGCTCAGTATAATACCAATTACCTTATTCCTTGTGTTTTAAACAAGACAAGTTTGCAAAATCCGATGGTAAAAATCGTGATTTTGGGTAAGCTACCCATCTCATTTTTTGCAATTTTGTTGTAGACACAAATTGTTATAAAAAAGTTCAAGTTGAAAAGAAAAAAAAAATTTTCATTTTATTTTCAATTCCTTTCATCAACTACTTTTCTTTAAAATCTAAACTTCAACTTAATTGATTATATAACATTTGGAGGCTATGAATCCAAAAGTTATACAGTGCAATATGTGCTAAACAAAGTGTATGTGGTAGATTTTTTCTTTTCTATCATATTATTCAAACCACGACGGCGATGATTAATTGCATTTTACCAATTGTTCCAACTGAATACAGAAGTACAGGTTGACAAAAAGCAAATATCGTTAAGTTTCAGCCTTGTATGAGCCGCGCTCGTTTCGAAAGAACTTGGGAGAGTGAGAGAGAGAGAGAGAGAAGAAAAGAAAACTGGAGGGGGATCATGCCCGTTTATTTTTCATATTTTTACTAACAGCTTGTGTTTTCTTTTTTATAGGTATGTTATCCATTAAACTTGAGTTACAATTTCAATGACGATTTATTTTCGACCGGGCGGACATAATTGCGTCTTCCATCCCTTTTTCTTTTCTTGAAGAGGAGTCGCATTCCCAGTGTACAAATTTTTAGGGATTGCTGGTGGATAGATTATTGATGAGAGGTCGCTTTACTGATTGAAATTAAAAAAAAAAACAAAAAAAAAACGCTAAAACGTTAAATGATTTGGAATTAATGCTGACCAAATTATACTAGGCAACAAGAGTATCTTTATCATATTAGTAGCTTTCTAACGTCCTTTTTTCTTTGACAGGAGGCGAGAGTGATTGCTCAAGCATTTTCATGATGATCTTTATTTTAATATTCACACTGTACGAGAAGGTTCTCCTTCATTGATTACTAAAAAAAAATACTGATTTAATGACTCTGAGAAATGCTAGAACACGGCCCTGTTAACCAAAAAAAAAGCGATGTTTTTATTGGCAACTAATTTATAAAGGTAACATGTATAAACATAAACTATATAGTCTCATATATTCTTTAACAATGTATTTATACCTTATTTATTCATGTTATACCTCATCTCATATTTATTCATGTTATACCTCATCTCATATATTTGTGTTTGTGTTATACCTCATCTCATATATTCTTGATCTTTAACAATGTATTTCTGTTTCACGTGATGGCTCATCGCGAAAATATAATCACGTGATAAATTGTTGCAAAATGTAATCACGTGATGGCTCATTGCAAAAACGTTATCACGTGATGTTCAATCACGTGATAACGTTTTTGGTATTTTTTTTTTTCAATTTTTCTTCAAGATTTGAAAAATTACTGGTTTATACGGATTTGGGTGATGGGCATCATTGGTTTACAATTGCTGTATTCATCTTGTACATAAGTTTCTTCTTCTTTAACGGGCTGCTTGCTTCTATAGTATGATATCATATTGACAATGATTCGACTACGAAGCCGCCATTCGGCTTACTACAACATTTCTCGCAATCGAATGCTATGTAGTAATTGGAAAGTTATATTGCCAATGAAAAGAAGTTGTTTATTCTCTACAAATGGAACGCGACCGTTTCCAATGCATGGTACCGAAAGTATCAGTAATACTAATAAGCATCAAGATTCAACTGACAATTTGAAACAGTTTCGTGTATATAAGGCAAGGAGCCTACCGATTTCAGCACCATTGCGAGACAGAACCCAAGAGTTTTTGGGAAGCTTTATGAGTAAAGGGTTTGCAAGGGCCAATCAGATAATATTTGATGAAGACTACCAGAATCAGTACATTGATTCGTTGCACAATAGACCAACAACAACAACAACAACAACAACAACAATAAAAACAAATTCTTCTTTTGTCTCCGAAGAAGAAATCACACAAATAGCATCGGATTTTTCAAGAGTTGTGGAAGCTTCTTTTGAATTTGAGACCCAGGGGTTGATCACAGTTAAAAGATTATGGGATGCGATATTTTCTTCGTCTCTAAAGGACGATTTTTTTGACAAATTACGACGGAAGATTCTCATTGATAGAGCAAATTTGTTGCGTCTACTATTAAAGACTGGAGAGTACAACTTTTACGATTTGGAAGTTTTACCAGCCATCCACAAATTTTTCAGTCCAAGTGAGATGACAGCTTTGGATAATGAGTTACAAGTAATACAGATGAAGAGACTAGCTGACTCAAGAATGGTTTTTAATGTGCAAAATGTACAGTCATATTTGATGAATCCAAAATTTGAAACTGCCGATAAAAGGGCGCTTATCAAAAATCTTGTTTCCACATTATTTTGTAGTGATAACAAGAACAACGAGTCTATCTTGTTGTCCGTAACCTCATTTCTCAACTTTACCGAAATTATTGAGTCAAATGAGTGGTTTACAGATATAAACATGACCGAATACGATGAGATTTTTCGATTATTTGGTGTACCTCCGCAGGTTACTATTGGGTTTGAAGAATTTTTGGAAGACATTGTGCTTCTTGTAGAGCGTAAGTATGAGCTGCGGCTGCACATATCATATTTTTTTTTGACGCAGATCATGAGAAATAACATGGATGTGAGTCCATATCTCACGTACAGATTATTTGAATTCAAGTGTTCAGAGGTTAGGCGCAGGGGTTTATGGAGAGATAAGGTTTTGAACCCACTAGACCTAGCCTACGCAATGAGGGCATGTCTACAGTTTGATGAAAACAAGATTTACGAACTATACATGCAGAATAAAGATTTACACCAAGAAGAGTCCCAAGAAGAAGTGTTTCTCAGCTTATGTGTACAGCATAATGATTGGAGAGCGCTACAGGAAAGATTTGAAAATATGTATGGTCATGGTAACTTGCCAGAAACAGTCCACTATGGGATCACAATGTATGCTCTAGAATACCTCAATGCTGATAACGAGTTGGAAAGATTGTATGAACAGATTTTGGGTCGAAACATGAATATGAATGCAGCCATATTTATTGCAAGAATGAGAGCAAGAGTAAAACACAATGACCAGGCTGGTCTCAATCAGTTGATAGATGAATACATTGCTTTGATACGCAAAGATAAAGCCGAAGCATCTGGTCTCGCTCAAGTCTTTCCATACATATTCAAGCTATATATGAAGCATCAAGATTTCACATCCATTCTAAGTACACTTCACACATACTTGGAAATGGAGCAGAAACATAATCTTTTGATAGTATCAGGAACCCTCCTTGCAAATTTGCTGCAGTATTTCGCAGCAAATTGTGCTCTAAAGGAGTTGAACGAACTTTGGAGTTTGACAACAACTGTATTTAACAAACAGAGTCCCGAATACTTTTATGGTTTAATAAGATCGTATTCGATCTTGGGACAGTTTTCCAAAGCCGAAGAGATTTCCTTTTTTGCACACCAGCAATCCTTAGTACCATTTTCCAACCTTCAAATATACGCAGCACAAATGCAAAATTATCAAGATTGGAGAATGCTGGATCCAACAGTGCCGGAAATGAGGTACATTAATATGAAGACAAAATTCATTATGGCGAAGGCTTTGAATATAGATTATTCAATGTTTCAGTTGCAAGCAAAAGGAAATCAGTTGTTGGCAGCAACGATGGAAGAGTTACAATATGAAGCTAAAAAAGTTGCAAGAGGAAGAGGAGCAAATACACTAAAGAGCATGGAGTTAAAGGCCTTTGTTTTATCGGCAAAGGACCAGCAAGTGCACCATATGAACCAGGATGAGCTTCTATATTTACCAATATTAAAGTCATGCTTTGTTTACGAAAATTACCAGCCCTTACGAGCGATGAAGATTTATCAAAAAATGGTTAAAAAGAATGTTTTGCTCACAGCGGCGTCATACAAATACTTTATTAGAGCAGTTCGAGTTTTTGATAAGAAGTTTGACATGAGCTTTAAAAATACAACTGAACTATTGAAGGGACTTTTTATATCCTATGGCATTTACAAAAAGAAAACCAATCCCAAGTTAGGATTGGATTTTTACCAAGACTATCTTTTAATTAGTGACATTGTTGTATTGTACGTGGATGCAGTTGGCAAAGATGAAGGTAGGCGTACCCTAAAAAAGTTTATATCTACTTGTAACGAAAAATTTGAAGGAAAATTACCTACTGACCTCAAGTTCAAAATAGATGCTGCCGTACGGATGGAAATTGAACTAACAACAAACAAAGCGGAATACAGGACATTACTAGAAAGTGATTTTGAAAATTACACGAATATGTTGGATGCTTATATTGAATCCTTTGCTGCCGGGTCTAAAATAGTAATTGCATCTTCGTTGAACAAGGCAATTGGTGATGTGATTATGGAAAAAGTTGATCATTACTCCGACTATGGAGAATTTGATAGAGCTATTCAGCAACAAGTGATTGACACCTTGCTAAAAGGCGTTACGCTTCCAGTACATTCCTACAATCGTATTCTTCGATTTTTGTTGAAATCTTCACCTGAAAACATCAAGCCGGTATTGCAAATCCTTGAGAAGTTTGTGATTGAGCGCAACTTGACCCAATTGGAACTTTACAAACAAAAAAAGTTTTGTTACAAACTTTGTTTGAGATATCTTGGAGAATCTTACAAGGACTCATTGATTGAGAAAAATTACAAAATTCTTTCTGATTATTATGGAGTAAAATCATTGCAACGTGTTAGGGAAGAATTGAAAGAGGTTGATATGAGCAATTTTTTGCAAAGTTCTTCTGGAAGGCTATTCAATATCAAGTTAAGCCCATATGCTTCGCGCAGCATGAGTCAAATTAATTTTATCGATTATTTCAATCCGTTAAAGGAGATTGTACCTGGACTTAGGTTACTTGGTATAGAGTCCAAGCTAGTGGTGAAGCTCATTAATGAGCATTTTCCTAATCGATCTGCGTTGGAATCATTAGAAAAGGAATTTCCCAAAGTTGTAGAATATTACAGGTCGAACTTGAGCTATTATAAGAGATTGGAGGATTTCGAAAACACGGTTTATTACTTGGATTCATCAGAAGGCACAAAGATACGAAAAGCCAAAAATGTTTTAACTAAACTCCTTTTGACTCAGAATAGCGCAAGAATATTTATTGCCATGGATGAGAACCAAAAAGGAGTAGAGGAAATAGACAAACTCACCAAACTTACTTGACTGAGTAAATTTTAGAGTTTTTGAGTGTTGTTTGATCGCTATGAATACACAACTTGTAATTAGAATTTTTTTATTTATAGATTTGTAATTAATAGCACTCAAATACTATACTTTGTACTTTATTGATCACAATAGTAATTATTGATTTGTACCAGAGGGGAACTCAAAAAATCCCGTTTTGGATGTTTCGCCAAATATGAGGGGACCAATGTGCGGTTGTATATTCCATTCTAATTTTACAGTTGCGTTTCTTCCTCTAAATCCCTTTTCGACATCCCAAACGGAATATTTCCCTCTCTGTCCCTTTAAGCTCAATTTTGCATCCTTTTTATCCTCAATAATTCTGTCCCAAAACGTTACTTTGTTCAAACTACCAAGAGATTTTCCTGGATATTCAGCTGTTAAGTAAACAAATACTTGCTTGGTGTTCCAATTGAACAAATCACTCAAGTCCGTTTCCAAGTCAAATGTGATTTTGGCATTTTCTTTAGGTTTCCTGTTAACTGAGCCGTATTGGAAGGAATACTTGATCGACGATTTAGCATCAATGTTTGAGATTGAAGTTGTTGAAATATTCCATACATCAGCAAAGTACAATTGTAGCAAAGTAAGTAGTATAACAGCACCAGCCAATACACTGGCAGATGTCAACACTTGGTTAGTAGCTGACTGCACTCTGGTAGCTAAATTAAACATCTATCTTGATGCGGAAGGGGGGGGGGGGGGGGGTG